ACTTGGGGAAGTTACTGACCCTCACTAAGCTTCAGTTTTCCCCTCTGGAAAATGGAGATGATAATAACAAATCTGTTCCCATAAGGTTGTTGAGAGAACTGAAAAAGTTAATACCCACCAAGTGCTTAGCACTAGGCTGAGCACAGAGTACATGTTCCAGAGATACTGAGGTCTGTTTTCAACTACCTGTCAGCCCTCAATCAAAGTAGATTTCTTCTTCAACGTCTTCCACTGATCAAAGAGAATTCTCGAAGAAAGTTTTTCCCTCTGTGGTCCCATACAGCTTTCTTACATCATTAGTGACAAGAAAAGCCAGGAGATGAATTTGTAACTGATAACGACCCATAACCTACCTACATCTTTCTTTCAAGCTTCTGTTCTGTGATATTTACAAAGTGTATAACATCTGAGGCCAACAAAATTATATAGTTTTGTATATAATTACTGCCTGAAATGAATAGTCTGAGAATATTTTCCTTCTGCTTCCTGAACTGGGACTCTCAAGAAACAACAGTCAAGCTTGAACACTCTGATTTGGAATCTAAGTTTGTGTCTTGGTCCACAAACCCTCGTGCAGCAAATGGGTCCTGCTTTGTCGCGACAACGAGGACAGCTAAAGGCTGCAGCCTTTCTTCATAAAGGGGGTCGTACAGACTGAGAAAGGAAAACTGAAACTCGAGCCTATAATCAAAGAACACACAGAGGAGCTGATAGCCCTTCAAAAGGGAAAAACTTATGGTCAAGAAACACTGGAAAAACATTGAGCTTTACTGAAATGCTGATAATGCCGTGTCATTTGTCACTACCAAAGGTGGAAAGACTTGAGAATGGCCAGCATCGGGGAGGGTGGGAGGAGATCAGCATTTTCTCAGACTGCGGGTGGGAGGTGTCCATATAAGAAATGTTCAAATTTGGAGAGAATTTTGATGAGTGTATTTGAGCCAGAGTGAGGACATGTGCCAGAAAAGAAGATCGCACAGGAGGGTGACATGAAATCCATGGGTGGTCGAATGAGGGAGCAGGAGGAGGCAAAGTAGGGAAGCCTGTAGGATTATGTAAAAGACAAAACAGAGAAATGCATATGTCTTTTACCTCGGGTGCAGGACAGCTAATAACACTTATAGCACCTAGAGGTGGTCCATGGAGAAGATGACAATGAGGGCTCTGCGGCCCGCGCTCTGGTGCCCCCGGTTGTGCCCTCAGGGGGTCCGGAAAAGAAAATCACTCTGACATTTCTAAGGCATGTTATCCTAGCTGCGTAAGAACAGTGGGCGGGGCTCACCTAAGGGAAAGAGTGACCTTTGCGCTGCAGACCCGGGACGTGACTATACGCCATAACCCAGTCAGGAATTCACGGTCAGGCGGTCCTGCGTGGTCGCTCTGAGTCACTTAGCTTGTCAGGCCTGCCCCGTGGTCCCCTGAGCTCATCAGGTTCGCTGCAGGGCCCCTTTTTCGTTCGCAAAGGGTAAACTGATTCACGAATGTATGTACCAGAGCGTTATTTGTAATATTGTGAAGTAATGTCCTAAAACATAACATATAAGACTACAAACTATGAAACAGCTACATGCAGACATTAAAGTATCATTTAGAAAACATTTCTGGTGACATAGGGAAATACTTATGCTGTAAAGATGATTACAAAGTGAGACATAAACATATACAGTAACTATCTGAAACAACACTAGAGAAGGAAATGTGTTGTTAAAAGTGGTTATCTCTATGCCCTGAAGTTACAGATGATATTTAGTGTTTTCTCCATTATGTTTCTATTTATCTACCATCAGCATGTATTTACTTCATTATAAACAGAAAAAATTCAACTAAAAATGGCAACGATAACTCAGCAGCCTCTGAAGGAAGCACAGGCTTATCATTAAAGGGAAGTAAAAGGCTCATTGTGGTGAGAACGTGATTATTACGATTGTTAAAAGCCACCCCAACCTCAAAGAAAACGCAGGGTCGGCTCTCAGGACATCTTAGGACAGCAGAGGGGAGGGCTGCCAACCAAACGTCTATTGACTGTCACTATGGAATGTTTAGAAAAAGAACCTAGGACGAGCCTCCACTCTCTCGGTCCACAAGTTCCTGAAGTCTGTCCATATTCCCAACGGGAAGTGTGCGCGAGCCATCCCAGCAGCCTGTGGACTGTGCATGACACAGAAAACACAGCCTCTCACCTCAAGGTGTCTTGTTAAGACATGTACGTAAAATAACTAAAGGATACTATTGTTCATGGCAATTTCGTTCATTCCAAAAAGACCCCCAAAACAATAAAGCACGAGTTCCTCCTGTGTATCAGCCACTGTGCCTGGGAGAAAATGGAAAGCAGATCAGATGAAAATCGTTCCTTGGAGACATCATGGCTAGTGGGAAAATCACTAGTCTGTTGTGGTTTTCGGCTCAACCAGAGTGTGGGCTGAGGTGGTCCAGGGAAGCTGGGGGGAAATGAGAAGGATTTAAAGAGACAGAAAATAGGGTAGGACTTTAGGAGGTGGCCAGAGGGGGGACGGGGGCAGCCCAAGCAGAAGCTGGACTAAGCAAAGCAAGAGGGGAGGACCGAAGGGAGCAGGGCCTTCCTGGAGAACTTCGAGGTCACGTCCTAAATCACTCCAGATGGCGTAGTGCCCCAGGCACAAGAGTTGGGACTGAACTATTCTGGCATACACAGGCAAAAAGAAGAATAAAAGAAACCAGGGACTGTATCGCCTCTTCACAGGCCTGATCGGGGGCTTGTTAGCCTCTCTTTTATTTTGTTTCAATCTATTGAACACCTCCAAAAGGTCAGTAGAGAGAAAAAAAGGAAGTTAGAAACAAAGGCCTTCCCTGCGTGGAAGGCGGCTGATGCAATGTCCGGAGAAGTCTCATGAATCTTTTCCAACCGAGCACTGTTTTCAAGTAAAAAATGCTTAATCATGACTTTTTTTTTGAACCCAAATATACAGGCTTGGTATAGGAGAATAAGAAGCATTTATGTAAAGGCAACTCCCAACCTGTTCATTTCTGCACAACAGAGGCAAATCAAACCTTATTTCCTACAACACAATTAATAGGGGTCCTAGAAATCTATTTCCCATCCTGAAATACCCAGCTCCACGAAAAACGCAGATAGAGGCTGATACAAACATTTGTTGCATATGCAAAGCATGTCCCTGTTGGGAATTTTTCCCCTACCCAAGACTGAACTGGTTAAAACTTCTCATTATACCAGTTTAATGAACTGAGGATTAAAGACACCACTTTCATTTCTGACAAACCTTTCTTTAGCGTGCACCCTCGCTCCAGGAATCTCCCAACCACTTTCAACTGGGCCTCCAGACCCTCGGGTTTGTCCTAACTCAGGCCTCCAAAGACTCAGAGGGCAAGTGCTTGCAGGGGCAGATCCCCGGGCCTCTGCCAAGAGAACCCCTTGTGCTCCCAGCTCCGAGCTCCCCAGAGGGAGATTGCATGGCCAGAGCCCGGCGTCAGGGACTGGCAGCACGGATTCAAGCCTTCACTCTGTGCACAGGTTTATGTTTCTGTCCTAATGGGCACCTGTCTCACCCCAGGCAACATCCTGGGCCCCAAAGGAGTAACCGATAAATCTGGCCTCTCGTTATTTGCGTTCACTTGGGCCCTTAAATGGAGCCACCTGCCAGAAACTGAGTATCTGTCTCCTCGGCTCTGGCCCAAATTCGTACGTTGGAGCCTGACCCCCAGTGTGATGGTATGAGGAGGTGGGGCCTTTTGGGACACGATTAGGTCATGAGGGTGGAGCCCTGGGGGATGGGACTGTGCTCCTATAAGAAGGCTTCAGAGAGCTCCCTTGCTCTTTGACAGTGTGAGGACACAGAGAGGTGTCCTCTCTAAACGTGGAGGTAGGCAGCACCAGACACTGAATCTGCTGGCACCTTGATCTTGGACATCCAGCCTCCAGAACTGTGAGGGATACATTTCTGTTTTTTGCTTTTTTGCTTTTTTTAATAGTCCCCTGAGAGAGGAACGGGCAGGGTTGGGGGGTGGAGAGAGAATCACGCTGGTCATTGCCTTCTGTAGGTACCCCGCCCCTGCCGTGCCCTGGTCAGGGGTCAAACCCTCAGCCTCCGGTGCACGGAACCAGGCTCCGGCTGAGCCACGCTGCCAGGGCTAAATGTCTGGGTTTCGCAAGGTGCCCAGGCGATGGTACCCTGCTACGGCAGCCGTGGGAACGGACTAAGGCACTATCCTCTCCTCCACCTTCCCGCACCCTGTTGCCTCACAGTTTCTTTTTTCCACTTGGTGCCTTTCTTTTCTCACAGACAGGATGTGCTCAGACAGACCCGGTCAACCCTGGGAGAGAAAAGGGGGCAGGGCCTCTCCCCAGGGCCACCAATGGACACCACCCGGCATGCCTGGTTGGGGGACTGGCAGGACGCGCCTCTGCATTCCAGCCCCAGCCCTGGGTTCCTAGGCACTTCAGCATATAAATGGCTATTTGGTTCCGTGGTGGCACAGACTATTGTTTTAAATGCCAATTGGGAGGAGTCCTTCTGATTAAAAAGGTAGCGAGACAGTTCTTCAAAAATGGTGAGGAAGATATATACCATATACTACGGGTAGCAAGTTTTCTGGAGATCAATTTGGCAATATGCAATAAAGTCACTAAAAAGTATTAACATTTCTCCTCTTAACTCAGTAATTGCACTATTACATATCTAGTACTTTCCTTGACTACCAATTATAATGGTGAAAAATGGAAACAATCTGTCCAATAACAGTGTAATGGCTTACGATGTCCACGCTGCACGGCTGAGGTTCTCAAAGCTGGGAGCCCGTCCTCCTGAACTCAGCCCAGAGAGGCGGCTGATGACTGGGCTCTGGCGATGGGTTGCCCCCGCTTTCTGAGGGGTGGGGGAGTGGGAGAGAAGGGGGGCGTTTGCCACAGGTTTTTATGGAATTCCGGAAGGCAGAGCGTGAGCTTGTGAAGAGAGTGGGAGGGAGAGCAGGGGAGCCGGACACTCACTAGTGTGACTTTCCCTCAGGTCCCCAGGGGGGTGATCCTGCTGAGGGCAAGGGAAGATGACCATCGCAAGGCCATGGCGGGGCGACCGGCTGCTGCTCCTCGGCACCGTGATCCTCGTGGTCACAGCCATCTGCCTGCTGTCCTACGCTCTCCTCTGGGAGGCCGGCAACCTCATTGACTTGCCCAGCGAGAGAATCGGTTTCTACAACTTCTGCCTGTGGAGCGATGAGGCAGGCTCCCTGCAGTGCTACCAGTTCCCTGAGCTGGAGACCCTGGGCGTGCCTCTGGTTGGCCTGGCCCTGGCCAGGTTCGGTGTGTACGGGGCCCTGGCCCTCACCTTCTCCATCCCCCTGCCTCTCCTGCTGGCCTGCTGCCATGGCAACGAGGGAGCGAGGCACCTGGTAGTGTACTTCCTGTTGGCGGCCTCCCTGATGCTGTTCAGCGGCCTGACCCTCTTCCTCATCTACGTCTGGAAGTGGGTCAGCCTGTCCCTCCTGGGGCCTGGGTTTCTAGCTCTGTGCCTTGCCCTCGCCTTACTCATCGTCTCGCTTATGGCCACAGTTGTGTTCCCTCAGAGGGGAGCAAAGTACACCGCGCTAAGCAAACTTGAGAGCTGCTAGTCCTGCCCAAAGGCTCACATGATTGATTGCAAAGGCTCTGTCTGAACGATGCTCAGAGAAGGTGCCAGAGGACTCGTGGGTTGGTACGTTTTCTCAGCCATGCTGTCTCATAGCTAATGCTGACCTCAAACTCTAGCAGACAGAACCCAGCGAGGAGGGGCACCCGGTGCCAAGGAGGCTGGGGCAAACAGGGCAGCCACACCTGCGGCTTCCTAGGGCTGGGCTGTCTGTCCTTCAGGACTACCAACACCACGTAGCTCACTGGGACAAGGATTCCTGCTTTAATTAACAGATTCAAGCAAGCCATTCTTACTGGATTCTCAGGATGGCGAGGTGAGCGCGGTTGCTGTCACAGGGCCAGATTTCCAGGACAATCTGCTGAAGGCCAAACGGAAGGTTTATGACAACAAATGGGGAACACGGAGAGAGCACCTCAGGGTCCTTGGGGCCCTGGTTGGCAAGCTCTCCCCTCCCCCACCCCATGACACCACTCCCAAAGGCGCGGGAGAGATCTGAGGGAGTCACCGAAGACAGCACACGTGGCTTGCAGTTTCCCTGGACCTGAAGCCAGGCAGTGCAGGAGAGTCAGCTGGCAAGTCACTCCTAACGTGGGACCTGGGAGGTCGGGTGCAGAACCTGCCAGATCCTGGGCAGGGAGGAAGCCGAACAGGACTGAACGGTTCCACAGATGCTGCGTCCCTTCACTGCTCAGCCCAGACTTGGAACAGGCCCAAGTACAACTTGCGCCTCAGGAATTTTGTATATTTTTCAGCACCTGTATGTTGGAAACCTGTGCAGCTGTCGGTTGCCGCATTCTATGCCTGTCATAAGCTGCGCTGAATACAAGACAATATAGCCTCTGCCACGATCTCTTGTCCTTAGCACCTCCTTTGGGGTTCTGTCCCAGTTTTAAGAGTGCCCAGGGGTCAAGGCCAAGGCCGCCAAGTAGAAGGAAGGGGGCAGCTCAGGGGAGGAGGCCTGTCTCAGGGCCGACAGGGGAGGGCTCAAGGATGCACGGGTTGCCTTGGGAGGGAAACTATTTTTAAACCAGGCTTCCTCCCAGGGAGAGACAGTGCTGACCAAACTGAAGGATTCCAGTGTACTTAGCAGCCATCCTTTATTTTGTTTGAAAATTATTAACTTGATTCTTTAATGCCAGGAGGTTTGACCACCACCACCTCATTTTCCCTGCCATCTGGTCACTGAGTGCAACAGACAAGTGGGACTGCAGACCCCCGAGCTGGGAGAGGACGCGGTGCAGAGAGGAATACTAATGGCAGCTCCTTCCCAAGGCCCTGCTTCCCTGCTCCAAGGTCGATCCCCGCAGCCCAAGGGTGTGGAGCTGGGAGCAGCCCTCAGGGAGAAAGCCCAGCTTCCTTTAGCAGTTCCGGACACACAGTCCTGGGAAGCCATCCTTTAGCTGAAGAATATCTCTCTGACGTACTTGAACACATCCTCCTCTTCCTCGGCGCTTCTGTGGCAGGCAGAGCCCGAGCCTGGAGGCCCCTGAGAAGGGCTGAGGCCTGGGGGAAGGGCACCTCTTCCATTGTCCTCGTCCTCGCTCGCGCTCCCGGAGCTGGGCAACTCTGAGCAGGTGGGGGACAGCTCTGGCTTATCAGTGCCTGCCAGAGGCGACTGCTCCGGGACCTTTTCCTGTTTTCGGCTCTGAAGGCAAGACACATAATTTATTTCCCCGCCGTGCTGGTCAGTTGTGTAAATCCCGACCAGGGGCCAGCACGTGACCAGGTTAGGCACTTCTCCGAAATCAGAGGCTGCTCCCCCTCCCTTCCCCCAACTGCTGCCCTCTGCGCCACGGCTCCTTCGCCATGGCTCCTTCCCAGCTCTTGAAAAAACCAAGGCCAACTCCGAAGAGGAGGGGGCGGGGCCTGGCTAGAAAAGAAAAATAAATAGAAAAAACTTGTCTGGGAGGGCAGGGTTCAATGGAAGGAGCCCAGGACACAAAACTTGAGTGTGGGCCTAAGCTCTGTCACTTATGGGCCATGCAACTAAGGGAAAGTCCCTGAACCTCAATGTCTTCATCTGTAAAATGGGAATAATAGTATCTGAATAATAGTATCACCAGGTTATTGCAAGGGTTAAATGAGATAGTAATATGTTAAAACACCTGGTCAACGATACAGTACTGCCCAAGGTGGTGCGGTTAGTGTTCCCTTCAGAAGCCAAGAGGCCGCACCCAGCGCTGCTCTGCTGAGCAGTGCAGTAGCTGGAAGTCATCTTGCCCCACGGAGATCCTTCAGAGAACAGCAGCAGTTAAAGGCTTCCTGTCCCCACTGCATTTACCCAGCACAAAGAGCCACCCCCACACAGAAGGCTGCTCTCCCTCACCCACCCGCCCCTCCCCAGGCATCTGGCCCCAGGGGCGGCTCACTCACATCCCAGGGGGCAGAGGGTGGCCAAGAGAGATTTGTGAGGGCAGGTGCAAGAAGGGCGGACAGGTGAGAGGGCCCCCCCAAGGCTGCCCGAGAAGGCAGAGCCTCTGCTCTAGTGACAGTAACCAAGGGCTGAGTCCAGTTTCAGCCCATAAAGTGTTTGCGGTCCGATGAGAACACACACAGATGGCTTTACCTCAATCAGGACCCCGAGAGCAACGTCGACGAGTTCGGCTTCATTCATGCAGTACACAGTCTTCCCCACGGGAAGTCTGAAAGGAAGGCATGAGGCTACAGATGGGGACAGGTGGCTCTCAGGTCTCATGAGGACGAAGGAGAGCAAGAGAGCCACACCCCTGGGGCTTCTCGCCAGGGATGAGAGCGGCCGCTTCCTCAGGGCACCAGTGTGACTTCCCTCCTTGTGACCAGAGCCTAGCATAGAGGGGTCATGGAGGCAGCAGGGGTGTTTCCCACCCTTTGCCAAGTGCCCCAGGGATCTGGAAATAGGGCATGACAGCCACTCCTGAGAGGGAAAGCGACACACATACACTAGCTGTGAGCAGATAAAAGGACCATCAGGCGAAGACAGCCTGACACCCCGCTGAAGGCACACACATAGCACCGAAGGGCTGTGACAAGCAGGAGGGGGGCTGGTCCACTCAGGGCCCTGGTCAGGTGGCTCAGTTGGTTGGAGAGTCATCCCGTACACTTAAGGGTCGTGGGTTCAATTCCCAGCTGGGGCTTGTACAGGAGGCAACCAGTCGATGTTTTTCTCTCTCAAATCAATAAACACATCCTCAGGTGAGAATTTAAAAAAAAAATTTTTTTTTTAAAGGAACCTTAGAGAAAAAAGAGCCAGAGGAGCTGCACTGAGCAGCCGGTGCCCCATCACGGGAGTTCAGGGACGTCCCCTTGCTGGCAAGCCCGAATACCCCACAGTAGCCATCGTTCGGCTGGCCCGCCCCCCAGCCTCCGACCTCACGCCGGCCTGGTGGCCTGGGCTCCTGCCCCAGGAGGCCTGCACACGGGGAGGCTGGACAACCCGGCCCTCTCATCTTGCCCACTGGTCTTAATTATCGTTGCAAATGAAGAGAGTGGCATTTTAGACAACTGGTATTTGACAGCTTGGTTGATGTGTGTGACCCCGGGAATGGGAGCTACTGTCTGGGAGCTGCAGGACCTGACAGCGGAGAATCACCAAGAACCAGAGGTGCCTGTGCGCAGGAGCGCTCGCTCAGCCTCCCACTTGCAGCCTGTGAGCCTCCTAAGAGCCGAAGGACGTGGATGGGAACGCCCACCCACCTCACTGCTCTGCCATCATTGGAGGACCCAGCCCCAGCAACTGTGATGTCACCAAGCCCCGCCCCCTCCTCCTGACGGAGGTCTGCCCACCTGGCTGCAGCCGCTGGCACCGCGGCCATTCTGCTCCTCTTTGGGGTCTTCACCAGCCTCATTCTCTTCTCCGGCGCCTGGGCTGTCATCCAGGTGGGAAGGACCCTCTTTTTATCCCCAGAATTTAAGGCTTCCATCTCTCTCATCGCTGATGAACAGGGCCAGGGCCCACACTCACTGACTTGCTTTTCTAATTCAGGACAGCAATTCCCACATCCTCATCACACCAGGAATTGTAGGTCTGTTTGTCCTGGGAGTCACGTTTTCATTCCTACAAAGAAGAAGCAAGTCCTGTGAATTCTAATATGCTGGAGTACTTCCAGTCATCGGCCACAGCTACGGGCCAGGGCAGGCCACAGGTGACCAGTTGGTAGGCAGGGTCCGGGAGACTCAGGCCGTGCACAGGGCAGCCAGGGAGGTGTGGTAGTGGGCAGGCTGATGGGCTGGGGCGAAGCAGCCCTCTGACCTGCCGCAGAGCCCTGGGCCCGCACGGGCGGGCCCAACAGAAATGCCTCCGGTAGCCTCTGCACCGAGCCAGCAAACATGGGAGAGGGGTGAACACCCTCCCAGGAGAAAGGAAGGAGGCGATCCCCACTTCTCCTCGCCACCCCACATGCTCACTGTGCCCTATCCTACCCCTAAAATCTCTCTCAATGATCTCTCTCTCCAGACTTCTCATTTCCTCTACCTTAGTGTGCTTACAAGAAACCTGAGGCCTTTTGATTCGCAGTAAGGTTTCATTGGCCAACATCCCTTCCCTGAATCCAAAGATTTTTGACTGGTCACTTTTTAACCAGCACTAAGGATCAGGGACAACTGTGCCTCGCTTCCGGATGCGGAATCCAGCAGGGCCCGGGTAGTCTCTCCTCTCACTTGCCCAGTCTTCTGCCTACGCCACCTGATCCCACCTCAGCCCCTGCGCCCCACCCTGTGACTCAAAGGGCGCAGGTCTCTACCTTCCCCCCGCCCCTCCGGCAGTCAGCTCCAGCTCGGACAGCAGCGCCTACTCCCCTAGGGAGGGTCTCGCGGGAGCACAGGTTTACCTAGTAAAGGGTAGTCCGCCAAAAATAAAGGCTCCTCTCTGGATCACGACTTGATCATTTATTGCTCATGGAGAATGGTTGTTGACAACTTAAGAAAAAAAATAAGCCGGCCATCACCCTAACCTGCCCCCAAGAGGGCAGCCCTTTGACCCCGGGACTCATTTCTGTCAAAATTCAGGCTTGATCAAAGTTACCCCCACGGCTATGGGCACGGCAGGCGCCAGGCACAGGCACAGGCACAGCGCAGCGGTGGATGAGCACATTTATTCGACCACGAGGCACAGACTACTTAGCCCATTTTACAGGCGGGAAACTGAGACAGGGAAATTTCCACAAGGTCACAAAAAAGTTGGAAACTGCAGCCAGGACTCGTTACCAGCTCTTGCAGACTCCAAACCCCGGAAGCACAGACGCCGCGCTGAGCGAGCAGGGAAAATTCGGGCAGCGAGCAAGCGATGTACCCAGCACTCCCGACTCCGAGGCTGCTCTGCCCTCGGGGACACTGTGTCGTCCTGGCAGCGACCAGAAGAGAGCCAACGTGCAGGGCGGAGAGGCTGGGAGGACGGTAAACGCGGGGACATCCACGCGGGGCCTCGCTAGCGACGGGAGCCGCCCATTCGCTTACTCCTACCCGCGAGAAGCCCCCCGCCGCGGCCCCAGAGATCTGGACAAGACGGGGCCTCCGCCAGTGGTCAGGACGAGCCCAGGCCTGGACGGCGCGCTCTTCGACGCGGGGCCCTGTCTCCCGGATTTGCGCCCCCTTCTTGGCTTCCGGCGCGTCCGGGTCTCCCATGTGGTTTCCGCACTTCCGGCTCCCGGCTGCCTGCTCGCGCGGCGGGCCGGGAGCGCCCCCTGCAGGCATCTCGCGGTGTCGCAGCCTCCCGGCGGGCGGAAGCCTAAAGCAGACCCCCGCTGTCCTGGGTCCTGACAGTCTCCCTTTGACTAAACTATAAACTTTCTCCGCTGGCCCTGACGTTTGGACTTCCGTGTTCATCTCCGCATCGTCCAATTTTAGCAAGAATCTTGCTAAGTTGGTTTAGCCGGAGTCCCCTGCCCTCGACGTCTTATCACCCTAAAATCTGTTTTTTAAATATTAATTACACTTTATTTTTATTCTTATTTTATTTTTTAAGGTTTTTACATCATGTTTATTCTATCACAGTTGTCTCAATTTTTCCCCCTTTACCTCCCTCCACCCATTCCCCCTACCCCCCCGCTCCCACAGTCAATTCCCACTCTGTTGTCCATGCCCATGGGTCATTCATACATGTTCTTTGTCTAGACCTTTCCCCTTCTTTCCACCATTGTCCTCCTTCCCCGTCCCCTCTGGTCACTTTCAGTCTGCTCCATGTTTCCATGCCTGTGGTTTATTTTGTTCATTAGTTTATTTTGCTGAACAGATTCCACTGATAGGTGAGATCATATGGTATTTGTCTTTCACCAACTGGCTTATTTTTCTTAGCATAATGTTCTCCAGTTCTACCCATGTTGTCGCAAAAGGTAGGAGTTCCATCTTTCTTTCTTTCTTTCTTAAATGCAGATTGATTTTGTTTATTTTTTAAATGTCAAAGTCAATTATAAAATATTAAAAAATTTAAAACCATTATAAAGTCTCAGCAATTAAAACAACATGACACCAATACAGAAATAATCAAGTATGTCAATGAAAATAATGAGCATTCTGGAAACTAAAATATATACTGTCTAACAATGTAATATGTGATTAAATTGATATTTCAAATCCATGGGGAAAATAAGGCTTATTCAACAAATAAGGTGCATGGACCACTATTATTTGAAATAAAACAAATATAGAGCCCTATTTCACACATTATACAAGAAATACTCAGGTGAGTTAAAAATCAATATGTAGAATATAAGGAGTTTTAGGAGAAAATACAAACTAATATTTTTCCTACCCTAAAGTAAAATATTCAAACCCAAAACGTATAAAGTAAAATATTGACAATATGACTATATTAAACATTTAGGACTGTATACATATAAAAAAAATTAAAGGACAAGCAAAAGAATGGAAAAGTATTTGCCACACACCTAAAAAGAAGTTAATAGTTTGTTTTTATTTTTTAGGGAAAAAAAATTCTACAAACCTTTAATCAATAGATGGATAAAGAATACCAAAAAGTCATTTAAAGCTTTTTTTAAGTAATAGGAATAGGCAAGAAGTATACAAAAACAGGTTTAGTTTCAACAAATAATAAAGGAACAATTGAAATAACACATCATTGTCACTATCAGATTAATACATACGAAAAAATATTGGCAATATCAAGTATTGACAACTGTGAAAGGAACTGAGTATTCATAGACTCTTTTTCTTCATCTTAAAGCAGTCCCTTTAACATATTTTGCAGTGCTGGTTTGGTGGAGGTGTATTTTTTAGCCTTTTTTTGTCTGGGAAACTATTTCTCCTTCCATTTTCAATGAGAGCCTTGCTGACTAGAGCAGTCTTGGTTGTAGGCCTTTGCTGTTCATGACTTGGAATATTTCTTGCCACTCCTTTCTGGCTTGCAATGTTTCTGTTGAGAAGTCAGCTGCTAGCCGTATCGGGGCTCCCTTATATGTTACTACCTCTTCCTCCCTTGCTGCCTTTAGGATTCTCTGTTTGTGTTTGATATTTGCCATTTTCATGATGATGCATCTTGGATTGGGCCTCATTGGGTTCCTCTTGAATGGGACCCTCTGTGCTTCCTGGATTTGTGTGACTTTTTCTCTCCTCCAATTAGGGAAGTTTTCCATCATGACTTGTTCAAAGAGGTTCTCTATCCCTTCCTCGTCCTCTTCTCCTTCTGGTATTCCTATTATATGGATATTATTACATTTCAGTCTGTCCTGCATTTCCCTAAATGCCTCTTCGTGCTTTTTGAGTCTTTTTTCATTTTCTTGCTCTTTCTGGGAGCTTTTTTCTATCTTGTCCTCCAGCTCGTTGATCCGATCCTCTGCTTCATCCAGCCTGCTTTTGATTCCTTCTACTGTGTTCTTCAATTCAGAAATTGTATTCTTCATTTCCTCTTATCTCTTATTGATGGCTTCTATTCATTTTTCATGCTGATATCGTTTGCAGTAAGTTCCTCATAGTTTCCCTGTAGTTTTTGGTAATTCTCTCTGAGCTCACTGAGCTCATTGAGCTTCCTTAGAACTGTTGCTTGGAACTCAGTATCCGATAGTTTACTTGCCTCTATTTCATTTAGTTCTCTTTGTGGGGATTCCTTTTTTCCTTTTGACTGGGGGGGTATTACTTTGTCTTCCCATTATCTGTGAGACTCTTCTTTTTTGCTTCTGCTTCTTAAATTGATCTGTCTTGATTTCCTGACTTTGTGGTGTGAACTTCTATGGTAGGAGACCACTGTTTTTACTTTCTGGATCTGCCTCTGATAATGTCAGATGTTGTCCCTGTCTGACCTTGGGCATTCTGTTCAAGACTTCCAGGAATCTGCTCTCTGTGGCTGTCTCCTTCAGCTGTTAATATAGTCACTCTGCACTCAGCAGGCGGCTTGGAATCCCACCTGAGGGCGGGGTGGAATCCCACCTGAGGGCGGGGCTATTGGGTCCTCTGACGCTGCTGCCGCTTGGGGGGAGTGGTCTCTGCCTGAGCAAGATGGATGCTGCCACATGGGAGATGAGTCAGCCCTGAGATCCCGCCGGCTACTCTCTCAGTTCTCCCCACAAAGCCTCCTTCCCCAGTCTCTCTAGCCCACTTTATGCCTGCCTTTGCCAGAGACCAGGGTAAGTGGTTGCAAATAAAAATGTATGCATTGGCCCTTTAAATAGCTCTTTGTGTCTCCAGCCGCCCGTCTCTGGCAGAGAACCCTGCCATTTTTCAAATCTGCATACTTTCTGGGCACTGGTGCTGTAGGCTGGAGAGCTCCGCTTTTGGTTTAGACCCCACTCTTCTCAGGGGGATCCAACGGGCCCTTTCAGTATCCTTCTGGCGCTGCTGCCCGTGGGTGCCCCGCCTGCCTTCTTCAGTCTCTGCCGCACTCCTTACCAATGAGGTTGCACTAAAGCTTATTCTTCTGTCTCCGAGGTTGTAAAGCTCCTCTCTCGCTATTGTTCGGTTGTTTGTTCCAGGTGATTTCTCCACAATTTAGTTGTAATTCCGGGTTGGTCCTGGGAGGAGGTCAGTGTGACTTCCACTCACTCCTCCACCATCTCAATTCTCTTATCACCCTAAAATGTGATGGGGTTCGTCATTCACTACCTGCCTCCCACCCCCAGGTGATGTCTGATTACCCAGGTTGCCTTGGCAAGAATTCTGTTAGGTCGGTTTAGCCAGAATCCTCCCTTTCCCCTGAGGTTTCCTCTTATTAATATGCCACCCCCTGATTCCCAACCTGCTCCTTAGCTATAAATCCTCACTTTATTGCATTAGGAGTTGAGCCTGATTTCTCTCCCACTACAAAAACCCCACTCTAGTAGCCCCCCTTGAATAAGGTTTGCCATACCGTTCTTTAACATGTCATGAAAACTTTTTATTTAACAGAATATGTTTTCTTTAAACTGTTCCCAAATGTTGCTCCATTTGAATTTTGCTGGTTGGTCTTTGTTAAAGTCTGGATTCCTGGGCCCCTCCCCAAATCAGAAATTAGAGAGAGGAAGCGGTGTAGGGCGAGTCCCCTAGAGTGCAGGAAGAGAAATGCAAGCCACTGTCTACATTTATCTTGAAGTAAAGAAAGTAGGTGTTTTACTAATATTTACTATCCAAATTGGCAGTCAAGATTTTTCCCTCTGTAAACAGAGTAGCTTCACAAAGCTGCTCAGGTGTCCTCGCTGGTTTCCTTTCAGCCAAATGCTGAGCACTGCACATTACACATGGAGTTAGCATCTAGCATTAATTAAAGTCACACTCGCAGCTTAAAGCAGCGTAAAAGGGCCCAGCAAAGAAACCCCCCAGGTCGCGGACGACTCAAAACCCAAGCACCAGCAGTCACGGGTGAACCTTTTCCTACGGCATTTTGAGGCAAAAGAATGATCAAAATGGACAGTCTATCCCCAAAATGTGAAATTATCAAGAGAGCCCTTTGAAATGTGATTTACAACAAATCAGCTGATGATAGAATAATTACTCTCCGTATACAAGAGACAATAGGGGAGCTTGATCCAAAGTTTGGAGACCCGTCTGACTCCGGAGCCAGGACTCTCCCCTCCACCTGTGTGGTGCCTCTGGTTCCTCCAAAGCACCTTCACCTGTCTTCCTGAATATTCATTTCAATCCTAGGAAAGTAGGCTGGGAAAGTGTGTATCAATCAAGGCTTAAGGAAATCAAGTTACAAAACCAACCTGCCCAGCCTTGGTTTAAACCTCTGCTCCGCCTCTGGCCTCTGGAGAACAACCCACCTGGGCAGGGACTGCTTTTCCCGCTTTCCATGAAAGTCCTTGAGCCCCCAGTGTCTCAGACCTTCTGTTCTCACAAGTTGTGAGCCAGGACAACCCCAACTCCAATTGGTAAAGGAGAGGCGTTGTTTCATTTTGCTATGAGTAGTACCGCTCCCTCTGTATTTGTCTCCTCGAAACCTCTTCCTGCAGGCAGCTGAAAATTGTCTGAGGAGCAGGGAACCTGTGCGTCTGCACACAAAGCTTTCTGAGTGAAAGGCAAGAAGCCCAAGTAGGGATAAACCTGAGCTGTGGGATTCAGATGCGTTGGAGTTGACTCCTGAACTTTTTTTTTTTAAGATTTTTAAATTTATTTTCTCTTTAGAGAGAGGGCAAGAGGGGAGAGAGGGAGAGAAACATCAATGTGTGGTTTGCATTGCACATCCTCCACTGGATGGGAGGTGGTGGGGAGTGGTTATGCACAAGAAGCAACCATACATTGATGTGCCCTGACTGGGAGTCGAACCGGCAACCCTTTGGTTCCCAGGCTGACACTCAATCCACTGGGCCACATCAGCCGGGACAACTCCTGAAGTGTTTTGAATGCCGCGCTCAGGGAGCCCAAGACCTTGGAGCAGAAGCGGGCAGACACAGACAGGTCTCAGGACGGGGAGATGTCCACCTGCACTGGGCATGTCGGCTCTGGGGCCTGCCGCCGCACGAGCTTAATGATTTCTTTTATCTGCCTTTGCCCAAGATGATGGAAGAGTCTTGCTGGGGTCTTGGGGAGATGCTGAGCAGGCATTGTGGGGGAGGAGTCTGGGCAGGGCAGGTAAGACCACCAAGAAGAGAGCACTCAGGAAAGAGTGAAGGCAGGGGAGACACAGGCCAGGAGGGAGCAAGGCTGCCTGCAGTACACGGCGCTGTACTGATTGATTTCAAAAGGTCAGAGGTTAATGGTGTGTTGGTTTGCTGTTAGGCAGTGTTGTTGGACCCTCCGCCACCCCTCCTGGAGGAGCCTCGATCCCATCCCGCTGTGCGCCAGGCTTGAAGCAAGAGGGAGGGGGGTGTCCAGCCCAGGGCAGAAAGGAAATGAGAGAAGAGACAGCTTTTCAGTGTTATTTCTCTGCAATCCTTAAAAACGTTTCAGAATGCTGTGGGGACCGTATTGAGAAGCAAGAATGGGTAATAAGACAAAAACTGAGAAAAAACTTGGAAGAAAAGTTGAATGAATTCTTTCACTCGAATGAAACACCTGACCGTTTTTAAGATGGCCTACAGGATCACTGACGGAGGTAAGGTAGGCGGCTGTTCAGTGCAGAAGATGGGGAAAATCATAAATGGGAAAGTCTTGCTTCTCTTCCTTCAAAGGGAGGATTATCAGGGTAGAAATGGATAAAAATGTGGAACTACTTATTATGAAGACCCTGGTGGTTTCTCATAATTGAGCCATGTACATCCCTCCCCCTTTTCCCCCAAACTCCCAGCAGAATGGAGCCAAGGCTTTGTACCAGTTCACTCACGGTTTTCCAAAAGCAGGTAACTGGGGGTGTACCCCCGCTCCGGACCAGCACCCCACGACTGGGCTGGAGCCCAAAGCGGCTCTACAGCAGCCACCCCTAGCAGGTGGCAACAAGGCTGCCCCTGTCAAGTGTTGGAGCCTGAGGCACAGGCCTGCCATCCCACCATGGGACAAGCAGCTGACGGTGCCTCCCCGCCTCGGGCGGAAACGGAAGTGGGAGGGCCGCCCTTCCCTCATTCCTCCTCCCCCTGTGGGAGCGTCTGACTCTTCCAGGTCCCACGGGCCAGGGAGCAGAAGGCAGGTCACAGGCAGGGCTGTGGACCCCATGGGGATGAACTTGGTCAACTGGACCCAGTCAGGTCGCCGTTCGCCAGCAGAGGGCGCCGGCAGCAGGCGCCATTCAACCTCAAGGATGTGTAGTTGAAGGAGAGGACCAATGACAGAGGTACAAGGGAACTGCAGCCACCAGTTTGGGGTGGGGTGGGGGGTTAGGGGGGGTGGGCAACCAGGAGCAGAAGCCTCAGACCCGCCCGTGTCCAGAGAAGCTTCTGTAACAGAAGCTACCAGCTTTCAGGGGACAGAAGAAATGCTCTGGCCTCCTTGTCTTTGGCCCAAAGAAATAGGGACAGCACAGCCTCTTGGCCTGTGGCATGGAAGAGGGCGACCTCCCACAGCAGCAAGGAGAAAACGCGGGACAGGGCTCAGCCCACAGGCGGTGAGGGAGAGCTGGGGGTGGCGGCGGGACCGCCCCACAGCTGACCGCCGCGGGCGGAGGGCGGCGCTCTGCTGCGCGTGCACGTGGCAGAAAGACACCAGGTAACCACAAGAGCATTCTTTTTTTGAAAAAGAAGGAAACTGAGCAAATATATACAAAAAACTGTCCTTCTCTCCTGGGCCAACACAGCGGCCATCACCATGCTGTCTGGAGTGGGCTTCCGGCACAGCCCCGTGTGCTGATCTCTGGGGACCTCGTGCCACGACTCCACGGGGCTCCCGCTCCAGTCACTGCACTGGACAGCGCCCCGAGCCCCCAGACAGCCTCTCCTGCAGATTCCGGCCCCGGCAGGGAGCCGGAAGTGGAGCGTCCCGTCCTCCTGTCGTCTCTCCCCGTGCCCAGGATAACGCTGCTTCCGAGAAGTCGCTCCGGCGGCCCCCTCAGACTTTATGGGCCAGGAGGGTGGTCAGCTTGACCTTGCCGTCCATGGAGGCAGTGAGGCAGGTCCCGCAGTCCATCGCCGTGCTCCAGTCCACGGTGACCACAGGCGCTCGGTGGCCCCCCAGGCTCAGGCAGCTCTCCAGAACCTTCTCATCCCCGCCCAGCTGCAGAGGACAGGAGAGGGGAGCGGGGATGAGCACACACCATGCACAGATACGTCCACTGTGTCCCCCAAACCACCTCGAGCCTGGGGGCTGCCCCCACCCCGCCCCGCAGTCCGAGGATATGCCTGGGCACACGCGCCCACGTTTCCAGAAAGTCTCTTTAATTTCCGGGACTAGGAAACACCTTCATTGTCCTGCCGACAGTTACTCCATCTGAAGTGGACAACAAGTCTGATTTGCTCTGAAAGATGGAATTCCCTCTGCTGCCTCTGACTTGCTGTGGGCCCCGCCCCACCCCACTGCGCTCTCCTACAGTCTCTATCGCCCCCAGACATGATAGCACATGTCCACTTCGCAGCTCTGGGTCTGCCCCCCAGGGGTCGCAGGCTGCGAGAGGGCGCATCTGGGGCAGCTCCTGCAGTGTGGCCAGCCCGCAGCACCCAGAACTGCAGGTGGCACCTGCGGGCCCTCCGTCAATGCACACGCCCGCTCTCCTCCACCCCAGCGTCAGCAGGCCAGGGCTCCTGTGCAGGGCGGAGGCGTCGGGAGGCAGTGAGGGAAGGGAGACCAGGGCCAGACTGAAGGGTGACCGATGCAGCCACGGACACTGTCCGTGAAGGACACAGCGCTTGTGGAGAAAACATCTTTACAAATCATAAATTGTGCAGAGATTGCAGATATGGGATCTGAAGTTCATTATGTTCCTTAAGTAATTAGACCCCATTATTGGCATTTTAAAAATTATACAGAGGAAAATCTTTTTACCCATTAATTGGTTACAGAGCAAATCCTACTGCAAATCATATAAACTGACTGGGACAAAGGCTGCATGATTAAGAATAAAATACATATACACACAAACACACACATACACAGCATGCATACAACACACAAAAATCACACAGAAAGCAGAGGAGAGCCTACCTGAAACACAATTTTTAAGTAATAAAATAAGGCTTGCAAACAAAAAGCGTTACAGTATTTCACAATAACAATGACAAAAAATGATGGAGCTAAAGAGGGCAAAAGCCACCCAAAGCCTCACCATCTGTGGGAAAGCAGAGCCTCGCAGACAGTGAACCCAGACTTTCCAGGGCCATGCTCCTCCTTCCTTCCCCACCCCTTCCCCTCACCCCGCCAAGGCCTGCCTTCCTCTCCTCCCTGTCCCCCAACTCCTCCTCCTCCTCCAAATGCCCTGGGGCCACAGGGCCGCCCTCCTAGGGGTCTTCCCCGACTCAGACCCCCAACACTGCACTGTCCCCGCGGTTGCTGCCGTGTCTCTTTCAAATTTGAGTGTAAGCGCAAGGGGAGCGGGATCAGACCTCCTGCGTCTGTGTGCCCACCACAGGCCTAGGCCAACGGCCGCACGCAGCTGCTGGTCGCGGACGGATGAGCCAGGGCACTGAGCGCACGGCCGCCCCAGCAGAGGACCTCCCGCCTGGTGACTCTTTATACCCCAGAGCAGACACCACCATCAGGCGGAGCTAAGGCCGAACCTACCAACTGAGTTCACCTGGCACCAGAAGTAGGTGCGGGCTGAGGCCACCAGCACAAAGCCTCACCGCTCATCTGTTAGATAACACTAGTGAAATAGAAGATGTTTACAATTGCATATAATTACACACAAAAAAGTACATGGACCACAGAGGCCCTGACATGAGAATTAAAGCAAAGAAATAAACTGAGGGACAAAACAAAGTGGACAACTTATCTCCCGGCCTGACAAATCCCACCCCAGATCTGTCTTGGCCATGGGCCGCAAGGCCCTTGACCGATGGAACTTCCAACACAATAATAATCCTACACCAGGTTAGCGTCACTAAAACAGACCGCGCAAGAACTTACCTGTCTGGAGCGTGCTCCTCCAAACCGACACACTTCCCAACCCCCCTCCCCACTTCCTACTTTTTTCTACAGCAGGGATTATTATAGAAAAGGAAGGGAGGCAGAAAAGGGGCAGAGTCTCGTCAAAGGACAGCAAATGGACCAGTGGAGAAAGACGGGCATGTGGCTCCCTGCCCCAACTCCCCTGCCCGCACGCTGCTCTGCCCGAGCTGGGCATCAGCCCTGCGGCAGGGGGCTTCAGGCGCTGTCCCTCCTGGGTCAAAGGCTCCCCCCCGGCCCACGGGGCAGGGGTGCGGACAGAGGCCCTGCTCAGCCTGGCCCAGCCCTCCAGGGAGGACGCTCCCTACCCACCGCGACACCCTCGGGTACCTTGTAGATGACGCCCCCGGTGGCAGAACATGTCAGCATGTAATTCCCCTCCGAGTCGAAAGCGAAGAGCCGGCCCCGGGGAACCTGAACCTGCTTGTAGCCGCTGTAGCCAGACAGCACAAAGGGGCCCGTGGCGTCCGCAGGGAGGCTGAACTCAGACACCTTCTGGCCACTCTTGTGGATGTTCCACTGGATGAACTGCAACCACAAAGCACAGCCAGAGCGACCTCAGCAGCGGGCCAGCCCCCAGAGCAGAGGCCTGGGGTCCACAGGCCACTAGGACAGGTGGCAGGGTGACCCCCGGTCTCATCTCTTCACAACACAATGTGAGCATTTTTTTAGGGAAGAAATTCTAGAAAAGGGGTCAGCAATCTGACATCAGAGTCTGACCTTTCTCTCTGGTTGGACCCCAAGAGGAAAAGGGCGGACAACTGCTTCTGCATGAATTCCTGTCTCAAGCAATGGGAACACTTCAGGTGACTATTGTTCTTGTTCTTGTTCTTGTGATTATTAGGGTTAGAACCCAAGTAGCTTTTTCTGACTTAGGAATTCCCAAAGTAGAGAAGACAGATCCCAAATATGCTTCCAGCTTCTCAGCAGCACAATCAGTTGAACAGAGCAGTGCAGTCATAAACCGAGCTTCGTGTATTGTGCGTACAATTCTTCAGCCTGCCCAGGGACAGGCTGCCTGGGTGTGACCGCCTCTTCATTAGGGACGCTACCCCAGTAAATAGGGAACCAGGCTTTAATTTACAAGCCCTCTTCCCACAGTTTCCACAAGAATTCATTCATTCTGTGCTAACTACTTTCAAGTGGGTAATACAGGTAGACAGGATACAATCCAAAAGCTACGGGAGCGCACACATGAAAAGCATGCATGCTTGGCCCGCCTCTGCTGACCCCGCCGCCAGCTCCCTTTCCAAGGATCCCGGCATGTCTGTCCAGAGAGAATCTACAAGGTGCACTCATTTCACATGACCTCACTCTGCGCAGGCCCACGCGCCCTGCTCTGGGAAGCTGCCCCCAGACTCACAGAGAACTCCGCCTGTCCCTGCTGTGGCTGCCCCGTGACCAAGCTCACAAATCCCAGCCCCAAACCCGACCCCGCAGCTCCATGCACAGCAGGGTGAGTCGCTTGCTGCGGCCGGGAGGAAGGATGTCGTAAGAACGGCCAGCTGCCCCTGACCCTCACAAGGAGCCTGTGAGCCTGGTTCCTTGTATGATGCCTATTCTACAGAGGACAAAACTCAGGCCTGGAGGGGCCCCAGGTCACAGCACTAGGAAAGGGAGTGGTCAGGCTTTAAGCCCAGCCCACCAGGCTACCCTGGTTGTGCTCTCTGGATGCTCCGAGGCCCACGCCAGGGAAGGGGAGTCCTCGACCCCACCTACCTTCCCATCCTCGCCGATGCTGTACACGGCGTTCTCATCGTAGCTGAACTCCACGGAGCACACCTCCCCACAGTGGGCCTTCCAGCTCATGGCACACTCGTGCTGCTGCATGTCTGAGGCAACGAGATGGCGCTTAGATTCCCAACCGGGCCCAGGGAAGCATCCGCCCACGGCAGGAGGCACCTCCCACCTGTGCCCAGCGGGCGGGAGCTGTGGCGGGGTGGCGGGCCCTCACAGAACTGGGCCCTGCGGACCAGGGTCCCTGGGGGCTCCGGCTGGCTCATCCTCTCCTTGGCTGTGTCTGATCGTCTATCTCACCTATCTGAAAGAGAAGCTTCCTTCCCTGGGGCTGGAGCGGGGTGCAGGAATCCCCGGGTGGAGCCCAGGCTCATCTGTAAGTCTAGGAGGCCTCTGTGAGTTCCCAGCAGGAGATCTGCTGAAGACACGCACAGTCCCTGGTCCCATCTCCGGCTCTCTGAGGCCGGGCCTCCTGGGACCGGCTGGCCCAGGGATCTTTAAGCAGCACGCTGATGGTTTTGAAGCACATTGTTCTGGCACTTTACGGGGACAGCAACCCAGCCATGCTGAGAGGACAGGGCGGCATTACTCTCGCGTGTCCTCTTGGGTCTCTCTCAGGCCATGAGCAGTCACAGGGAACAGCTCTGGGCTGAAGGGCTGCTAAGCTGCACCCCTCCTTCCTGCATCCACAGGCACTGACCGTTCGTGTGGTTGCAGGGGCTCTGAAAACAGCAGGTTCTGACCAACGGGAAGCTCTATTACGAGCACCCTGAACTGGGGTTTCGCTCATAGTCCAGGCGGCAAAAATCCAACTCTCTTCCCTGGGACATTTCAGGAGGGGTCACGAGCACGCCTGCTCACCAAAGAGCCGGATGACGCCGTCGGCCGCCCCTGTGACCAGCAGGTTCCCATTGTGATTGAAGGCTGTGCAGTTGATAGCAATGGGCCCAGGGTCCAGGGAGAACTGGAGCTAGAAAAAAAAACCACCAACTAAATATTACAATGTACCAGAACAATAAACCAAAATCGAGGACAAGTTTTGTGTGAAAGGGGGAAGGAGACCGAGACCAGGGAGAGCCCACAGGCGCACAGAAAGCGCGGGGAGCCTTCCGTCTTTAAACCGCGATGGTGCTCGGCGCTCACCGCACGCCTTTTCCTCCTATTCTCCCACACGCCTGTGAGTTCAGTAACCTTTCGTATGTGTTCACTATTTAATTTAAAATGTTAAAATAGCAAGTAAACATAAAACTACACATCACGGTTAGTGCCTTAGAGGAGAAGTTTAAGGGGGACCTGCTTACACTGGGCTGTAAGGAAAAGCACCTAAGAGACGCGGTGGGTTAGGCCCTCCTGGCGAGGGGACAGCCCGCAGGAAGGACCCGCACACAGGGCAGGGACTGAAGTCCAGCAGGCTGAGCGGGGGCGGGGCGGGGGGGTCACAGCGTGCAGGGTCCAGGGGGGACGTGGATGAACATCTGGACAAGCAGGAAGGACACGCTGCAGTGTCCCACATCCCGGGCAGTGCTGGGGGCAGGGGCAGGGAGGGGTGGGCGCCACAGTAGGAGGCGGCCTGCAGCTGTCGGCTGAGGGGCACCAGAGAGCGGGTCTCAGGCGTGTCCCTGGAAACGCAGAGGGGTCTTCAGACTGGAAACACATTTTGGAGGTGGCATGGGCAGTGTTTGCTCACGGGCTGACTGTGCAGGTGAGGGAGAAGGACGGGCCCAGAAAGGCACCCCGTTTCCAGGTGAGATGCATCGCCAAGATGAGGAAAACCAGAGGGACAGGCAGGCAGGCGTGGGGGTCAGGAGCTCCTGCGTGGCCCTGCCAGGCTCGGATGCCTGGGAGACTTCCCAGGGGGAACGTGAGCCATTTCACAGGCGGGTGCAGCAAGACACACACTGGACACCTGCCAACACAGCCCACCTCTAAGACAGGGACCCTTCAAGTGTCCGGTAACATCAGGAAACTTTTCAGCATAAAGGCTACACCGCTTCTGAGCACCAAAACTAATTTTAAGGAGAAACACCATCGCCCTTTAAATAGGCGCGTTTAAACATCTTTTACTCTCTTTGGGGCAGGGGGCCCCAGCGCTGCGGCCACGGAACGGTACTGATCTGTGGCCTGCTAGGGGCCGGGCGCACAGCAGGAGGTGAGTGGCGGGCGGGCGAGTGAGGCTTCGCTCGATTACCGCCTGAGCTCCACCTCCTGTCCCTACCACCCTCCGCGGAGGAAAAATCATCTTCCACAAAACCAGACCCTGGAGCCAGAAAGGTTAGAGACCGCTACTCTGGGGCTTAGGGTCATGGTCGTGGCCAGGCAAGACTGTCCGGGTGGGAAAACGGGCCCTCAGTCCCTGATTCCTCGTGAAATCACCAGCTTTCACACGGCTGTCGCTCCTGAAGAACGCACATGTGTGTCCTTGCTGCTTCTAGCTGCTCCTGTAATTTTTATGCAGTTCTAAGGTAACAGGGAGGCAGAAGGAAACGCCACTTGTCTCCTAAAAAATAAACCGCTTGAATGCATAATAAAAGAAACCAATCTGAAAAGGCTGTATGATTTCAAGCATATGATATTCTGGAAAAAGCAAAATTGTGAAGACTGTAAAAAGATCCTACATTGCCAGGGCCAAGTTGGGGGTGGGGGAGGGGACGAGATGGCAGCGCTCAGAGGAGTTTTAGGGCAGCGAAAATACCCTGTATGACAGTGGATATGTGTCACTACATATTTGCCCAAACCCACAGAGTGCAGCAGACTAACGCCGAGCCCTAAAGGAAACTATGGACTTTGGGTGAGGATGTGGCGGTGGAGGCGCATCGATTGTAACAGACGCTCCACTGTGGTGCAGGGGCAGACAGTGCGGGGCAGGGCGTATGTGGGAAATCGCTGGGTCTTCCTCTGAATTTTGCCGTGAACCTAAAACTGCTCAAAAATAAAGCCTTTCAGTATAAAACACATGTAAAATAAGCCACAAGGGCCCTGTAGGAGGCTCTGTGTGACTTCTAAACTTGAGGCACAAATCTGAATGACTTTAGCTGCCAGCCATCTGCCCTGCTGGAGTATCACTCCTTTTCAATAACTGAAACTGCGGCGTTTCCTCAGGAAGCAGAGCCTGCGGAGACCTGAGCAGCGAGCGGGAGGGGACAGGGAAGTGGAAGGAGCGAGGGCCCAGCCCCCGGGAGACCCCAGGGGCAGGTGGTACCTGCTGCTTCATGGTTTTCGTGTCCCACAGCAGCAGCCTGCCGGGCACCTGGTTAGTGCCCCTGCTGCCCATGTCCAGTGCCGGGAAGTCCACCTGGGAAGCAAGGCTCGGAGCTGCAGCCGAACAGACGAAAGAGGCCCCGCTGGGGCTGCACGCCAGGGACAGGATTCTGCAACACACGCGGGGCAGGCTCAGCACTCTGCTAGCCACCGGGAAGGATGAAAGGGGACGAAGGCTCGGCGCAGGACCAGGCCCGCAGAGTGCAGCGAGGGACTGGCCTCCAGCTCACCTGGGCATGTCGTCGTTGATGTTGATTTCACAGAGATTCTTCTTGGCTTCCGTGTCATAAAGGCGCACTGTCCCCACGCCGCTGCCCAGCAAGAGCTGGAGTGACAAGGGGCAGGAGGTGAGAAAAAGAGCGCAAGGTCAGGCTGGCTTGGGAGGACCACGGGGGGCGGGGCCTCTCCTCTGCGGTCTGGGCGGCCTCCACTTATCCTGGGGGAATCTCATTCAAAAATTAAATAAAGCCATCGGGCCAGACCTCGAACAGAAGTAAAACCACACCAGGCATCTGGGGGTGGGAGAGAGGTATCACCCCACATATACCTGGAAAGGATCTGGCCGATTAAATGAGACCCTCTGCTCTTTCCTCCTTTCCTTTCCATTTTAAGTCCCAGTTGTTCCAGCCCTTGCTTCTCCCCCCTGACCTAACCCCCGCCACCTCCTTGGGTGCCGCCTTGGCTGGCCACGGGGCCATCTGCATGTCTAGGGACAGCTCCGGCTCTGAGCCTATAAAGGCCTCCAGAGAAAAAACAGAAGCAGCTATCCTTGCCTTCCAGAACTCCCGATTTACTTGGTGAAAGCTCCCAAGACAACGAGCATCGCCAGGAGGAAGCACCAGAAGCAGGCCTGCAGGCATCCCGCAGGGTCACCACCTGCCGTACGGCCTCAGCACTCGCCTGGCAAACTAACCCTGGGTCTGCCCAGAGGCCCTCGCACCGTAACTGTAATGCCTGCGGTTGTCAAAATTATTCAAGAAACAAGGTTTGCCCCTTGCGTTGCCTGCTATGACCGTTTCGAAATGGAATACAGCAGGAGAAAAAAATCACAAAGGAACTTGACCTCCTTACGCCTGTCTCACACATTAAAGTCCAGAAGGAACGAGGACACTGTACCACCCCTGCAGGCCCTCACGCCCACGGGGACCGCCGTCAACCTGGGTGCCACCCCCACCAGCTTCAGCCGCTTCCCTTGGCCCCGACACAGCAAGGGGTCTCAGCAGTAGGAGGGAGTGGCGGACAGTGTTCGGGGTGGGTGTCGGAAATGCGGACAGATGACAGGACCGATGGGGAGCACAGGGCGTGGGCCGGTCTCCCCAGACAGGAGACAAAGCGAGCCAGACCACCAGACAGGCAGGCGCCTCCACACCGTCTGACCGGAGAGGGTTCTGGCCCCACTGTGGTCTCATTTCAACTCTTGTTGATCCAGTAACCGCCCTGCTGCCCCCACAGGAGCCTGCAGGGACAGCCCAGGATGTGTGGTCCCTGAATTCCCAATGAGAGGTAGGGAGGGGTCAGGCTCGGCTGCTCCCACTCGGCCTGCGCCGGCGGACCGCCGGGGGACAGCCTGGGGGGCTCCTCACAGACCCGGCGCGCACGGTGTGGCCTTCTACTCACCAGCCGGTCCCTCTTGGTGGCCCACTCTAAAGACAGCAGCGGTGACTTGGAAATGGAGGACGCTTTGGTCTGCATGATGGGGTTGAAGGACCACACTTTGATGACCCCGTCCACATCTAGGCTGGCGACCCTCCTCCCCGAGCAGTCCACTCTACGACAAGACGCAGGGGGAGCCGTAAACACCCTCGCCGCAGTCCGCCGGCCTCTTGGCTGATTCAGGTGATTGCTTTTTCTGACTTCTGACTGTGTTTATTTTATTTGGCTTATGTATTTACTATATTTTTTATTCTTTAAAGTAACAATACTTTGGAGTGCATTCTCTGTACTTATTAAAAACACAGTGTGCTGGTAAAGGATATGCTCTGGTTCCTGGGCAGCAGCCCCGTACACCTCATTTGCTGCATCTCTTAACTGCTTCCGTTTTCTTCTGTTTTGCTTTAATCTCATGCTGTTTTGTTCAGCATGGCCTCCAAGGGCCCCACATGCACTGCTAGTGCCGGAGAGAGGCTACTTCCAGTCACTGACCGATTTGAAATGAGACTCCAACAGCAGATTAAAGAAAACAATATCTGCCACTCTGTTGCCTTAGACACAATTCAAACCGAAAAATACAGACAAGCTCTCCGACGCTGGGAGGAGCCCGGGCTGCTCGGTCTGGGCCGATGGGCAAGGCTGCTGGGAGATGCAGTGCCTTGTGAAGGCTGTACGTCAGAGCGAAAAGCACGCGGGAGTCCCTGTTCTGCCATTAACTGACTGGGTGACTTTGGGCTAACTTCCTATTATAAAAATAATCCTGAAATGCCTATATTCCAATGACGAGTGGACTATTTCTAGAAATCACCTGTTCATTCACTTGTCTAAGAACTACTATGAAAGACCTACTAGGTGCTGAGCCCTGCGGTAAAAACTGGGCACAGCACAGCAGGCCAGGTGCGCTCGGCCCCGACCCCAGGTTCCTGGGGGGCCATCAGGGCGTCAAAGCGAGGGACCCACCGACCCTCTGAACATTACAGTCTCTGAGGGTTTCTTCATGAGAGGTCATGTTCTTACCATGCGCAGGTACAAACTTGTAAATGGTAAATGCAGGGTGGGGCAAAAGCAGGCTCACAGTTGTTCATATGGAAAAATAATACAGGAATTTATAATAATACAAGAATAAATGCTGTTTTATGTCCTTAAAACTATAAGCCCACTTTTACCCTACCCTGTATTTATCTAAAATGCCCAACATAAAGCAAATTAAAATTGAGTGAGCCTTAGGGAGTTCAAATAAAAGGCAACTGTTTCTAAAACTCAGAGTCCCATGATTCGAACGGAGAGAGAGGCTGAGGGGCCCGCAGCTCTGAGCAAGACGCCCGCACACACAGATGGCGGCCGTCCAGCCTTCCTCTGACTCTGGGGGTGACCACGGTCGTCAAGAATCATCCCGTTCTCCACACGCAGCTCCCTGGGGAGACCAGCCCCCGACCGGGCCGCGCGGCCCTGGCTGGGCCTCGCCCTGCCTGAACCCACCTGCAGTGCATGATGGAGGAGTGGTGCTCCCCGTACTCCTCCTGCCCCAGCACAATGAACGGCTGCTCGGGGCGGACCCCGCCACCCTCCGGGCCGCCTGTGGAGGCCCGGGTCAGCGTCTCCAGTGCCTCTGCGTGGAGCTCTGAGTAGGGCTCTGGCTCTGGGCCACAAGCTTCAGGCTTCTTCTCTGCGCCCTGTGCCAAGCAAAGCGGGGGCACGTCAGCTGTGACAGGGCTGCGACGGGCCCGGCCATTCGCTACGTCCGGGCACACACTGCAGGGCAGCTAGGACGCCAGGCTACCGCTCCCTGCAGGAGGCTCTCCGTGGTCGCGGGGCCCAGGAGAAAGAGCTCTGAACTGCAAGAGCAGGGTCCAGCCCGCGCAGGAGTGGCAGAGGCCTGCTCTCCTGAAGCCCCTTCTTACAGACCTTGCTCTTTCACAGGCCCTGCTGAGTAAGTCAGAGGGCACCACATTGAGAGACCAGGGCTCTGATGCCTTTAAAATGGGCAAGTAGTCCCAGAGAGGGGACAAATGGTCGACAAGGCGACAGGCAAGAGACTCAGGCAGCAAATCCCTTGGGCTTCAACCCAGAGTGTTTGACAGATGTGGAGGCAGCTTACACTGCCAGGAAGAGCAGGCGCCGACCCACGCTCAGCAGTATGGGGAGCCCCGGGGCTCAGCACAGCAAAGGCTGGGGTCGCAGAGTGACCCTGTGTGGGCACGAGGCCCTCTGGGCAGCAACTCCAGCAGACGGGCTTTGGGGTGCAGGGGAAAAGGGTCCAGAGATCAAGCAAGTCTGGGGATTCAGCACCCAGCCAAGGGAAACAGGTCTCTGTCCCACCAACTCTGGGAGCCCATGGCATGCCGATGTTAATATGCACAGCTAATCTAAGAAGAAAAAGCAGTACACCAGGCGGTCCCAACCCGACTGAATCACAGAACTCTTCTTGTGGGAAGATTTCAGCTGGCATTTTATGGCCCCTATCTAGAAAATGCTGCATCAAAAAGAGGAGCCACTGAAGAGCCAGGCAAACTACGAACAAAACAACTGATGTGCAATTAAACCCAATTCAGCAAAACCGCACTCCACACAAAAGCAGAAGTCACGAGAGATGAAGGCAGGCCCTGCACCACCCTGCCGTTTTCCACGGCCACCCGTGGGCGTGCGCAGGACGCTGAGGATCGGCCATACCTGCAAAGTCATCGACAAAAGCTCCTTCCGTTCCTTGCCGTGGTCCTGCAGGCGCCGCTGACGGTGCTGCGACCAGCTGGATTCCCCGGCGGCCAGCCCACTGAAGGGGCTCCTCCCGTCCTTGGGCCCGCAAGCTGGGTCCTTTGCCTTGGCGGTCTGGAGGATGAGACACCAGGCTGTGAAAAGTCTCTTTCTGTCTGTGCCTGAGCTGTGACACCTGGGCCGGGGCCGGGGGTTGGGGACAGGGGAGAAGCAGCCTGGGAGTGGCTTCTCTACCTAACAGCCCCTGGTAAGCTTCTCCCTGGCCAGGCTGGGCAGGTAGTTAAAATGCTGCTATCTTCCTGGTGGACAAAGTCAAGTGCGACGTGGGCAGTCTGGCTCTCCTCCTCTCTGCTCTCTACTCCCGTCATGAGAGGACAGGTGGCCAGCACTCCTTAGCCTGCCTTATCACTGTCACCTGGAAGTAGGTGTACGTGTACCTCCTGGATCTGGTCGGAACAGTTAACGTTAGTCAAGGGGGAAGAGATCAGCGCTCACTAAGCAAAGGTTATGAGGCAGGTCAGGCCCAACACTAGGGGCTCTAAGCATTTAACAGCAACAATATGTTTGGGCAATACAAAAAAAATTATGCAACATACCATCACCTCTCTGGAGGGAGAAAGGAACACAATGCCCTTTTGCGTCAAGTGTACGACTAAGCCAGCTAAACATGAACAAATACTTACGTTATTTGGAAAAGATTACTAGGCACTTAGAAATTCTTAATAGAAATTACTGGAAACTCAAGGACCTTTGAGCAAGATGAATAACACCCGAAGGAAATTAGCATCTTGTGGCTCCTTTTCATAACAAGAGTGGTAAAGTCAACCAAGGTTAGAGCAAATAAATGCAATTAATTCCCACTCCACTCCCATGGAGAGAAGATTCTTAATCAAGAGCCTTTTTATTTATTTATTTAAAAATATGTTCATTGATTTTTTTTTTTTGAGAGAAACATCAATCGGTTGCCTCCCATATGTGCCTTGACCAGGGATCAACCCTGCACCCTAGGCATGTACCCTGACTGGGGATCAAACCCAAAACCTTTTGGTGTATGTGATGATGCTCCAACCAACTGAGCCACACCAGCCAGGGAAATCAAGAGCCTTTTTTAAAAGGAGCCTCCACCTGATCTCCTTTCCAAATTATCTGGCCGGGATCTTTTTTTCCAACCTTATTCCCACAAATTGTGATGGTAAAATATGGCTCCGTCTTTTTACAGAGATAAGGATACAAACAGCCGCTCAGGTTTGACACCAACTTCCCACAAGCCATTTATACACAAGACCCAAGGCAAGAGAAGAAACTCCTCCAAAGTCTGCTGTCCCCTCTTGTTCTGCTACTTGCTATTTCTTATGTTAAAACAACTTAAGATGATTAACATAGATTCCTGGAGACCCTGGAACCACGTGAACCATTGAGGAAGGAAATTTTAAGGGAATGGAGCCTACTGCAGCTGACCTGCAAGGTATTTGTTATTTTTTGTTTTTCTGACTGAAGAAACCTCCAGTCCTCCAGTGATGTCTACTCATGCTTGTAACAGATGTTTCTTCTACAGAAAGCACTTGACTCTTTGAATTCTGGCTTACTTTGGGAGAAGGAGGGTTCTTAGTCAAGATAAAAGAAACAATCTAAGAAGAAAACCAACAACAATGACAGTAACAGCACTGGTATATTTTATTCACTGTATGCTTACCATATGCAAGGCACCATGCTAAAAACTTTACAAACATTCCCTTAAAGATGAAGACATTATTTTAACAGGAGGAACTGAGGCTTAGAGAGGTTAAGTTACTTGCTCTCCACACGTATAACTTGAAAGAGCTGAAATTCACACCCAGATCTGACAGCGGCTCCACGCTCTGAGAAACCTGAAGAAAGCAATACCATGAAGGGAACATGTGGAAGAAAGTGACACTGAATAGAAAATAAATGTCATAATACTGAAGCCAAATTACATAACCCCAACAAGGCCCTTCTCTCAGTGCTCTGTCCATTGTTGGGAAGGACCCCACAGTCCATGCAACCCAGGACAAGTTCCACAGTCTTAGAAAGTGAAAGGCTTCTCTTACTTCCCAGAAGCAAAGGTGGTCAAGACAATTGTTAACAGAGAGGTCCTGAGGGAACCACGACATCCCTCACACGGTTCTGGGTGGGTGTATTCACTCCCTGGGAAGTGATCCAAGGGTGTCAACCCCCATACCACAAATCCATTGATTCCTTCCCATACCTACTGATCCAGAGGGCAAACTGGTCAGACTGAAGAATTCCACAGGGGTAGCTACACCTATGTCAGACAAAACAGACTTTAAACCAATGACTGTGATGAGAGACAAAGTCATTACATACTGATAAAAAGGTAAATTCATCAAGAAGATGTAACAATCGTAAATACATACACACCCAACATTGGAACACCTATACATAAAGCCAATGTTAATAGACCTAATGAGAGAAATAGGCAGCAATACAGTAATAGTAGGGAACTTCAACACCCCACTTTCAACAATGGCTAGATCATCCAGACAGAAAAGCAGTAAGGAAACATTGGACTTAAACTACGCGTTGTATCAGTAGGACTTAATGGACATTTACAGAACATCCCATCCAAAAGCGGCAGAATACACGTTCTTCTCAAGTCCACATGGAATGTTCTCAGGCACCCCGTCATATGTTAGGCCACAAAACAAGTCTTAATACATTTAAGATGATTGAAATCATATCAAGGATCACAATGGTATGAAACTAAAAATCAATTAAAGAAAACTAAAATATTCACAAACACATGGAGATTAAACAACATGTCACTGAACAACCAACGGGTCAATAAAGAAATCAGAAGAAAAAATAAAACAGCTTGAAACAAGTGAAAATAGAAACACAGCAAACCAAAATCATGGGATGCAACAAAAGTAGTTCTAAGAAGGAAATTCATAGCAATGAACACCTCCATTAAGGAAAAAGAAACTTATACCTCAAGAAACTAGAAGAATAACAAACAAACCTCAAAGCTAGTCAAAGGAAGGAAATAACAAAGATAAGGGAGGAAATAAATAAAATAGAGACTAAAAAGGCAAAAGAAAGGATCGATGAAACTAAAAACTGTTTTTTTAAAGATGCATAAAACAGACAAACCTTTAGCTAGACTTACCAAGAACAAAAAAGAGGCCTCAAATAAATAAAATTAGAAATGAAGAATTCCAAACATTTCTCCAAAAGTCTAACATTTTGATAGAAGAGACAAAAGAACTGGCAGTAGAGGCCGTGTTTTCTGAATGCAAAGGTGGCCATGGGAATTCCACGGCCATCTACGGAAACAGTGGTGAGCAGAAGATCAGCGTCCTGGGCTGACAGCTGTTTTCTGCAATGGTGGGATCCTGGAAAGCGAGGAAGTCTGAAAAACCCTGGAACCTACAGGTTTGAGAGATCAATCAACCCAACCAAGAGATCTTTAAACTGGATAGTGAGAAGAAAAGGGAGAGAACCCATACAAAACTGCATCCATGCCCAGAGGAAGTACACAGACCACAGGGGGATCCTCCCTTGGAACCAAAGGTGGGAAAGGCTACAGAAGGGAGACAAACACTATTATCTCTCCTTATTTACCCACTGCACCTGATAAACGGTGTCTTTTCCTTTTTCAATGCTTGACATTAAGAGTGCTCAACTCAACTGGCCCATACTGATGGAACAGGGAGGCTTAGGAGGAACTTCAAACTCCTCTAGCTCATACAAAAGCCCGGACAGAAAACACTTCCCGTAGTACAAGGCGGAGCTCCCTCACAAGTCAAGCTGGCAAGGGAGTGGTCCAGCACATCATCAGCCTGGGGGCTGGACAGTATTCCAAAATGGAAACAAACATTCAAACAGGCACTACCGAAAGGCACTACAATAAATTAGGAAGAGCTGCCTTTATAATGACAGGGCAGCTTATACCTAGAGCGCCATGGACCTCAGTGTGACCTACCGGAGCCTGCCCTAAAGAGACCTTTTCCTTAAACTGTATCTAAGTTACTAAACAAGGGTAAACAACAACTAAAAATGTGCTAAAAGCTGATAACTGCTGCTGACCACAAAACACTTTAATAAGAAGGCTCAGGTAAACTTGTGTCTAGCTACAAATGTATCTAACTTAAATAACCATTCACTGTGACAGAACCAGTAATTCAAAGTTTTATTTTAAGAGCCAACTTCGTAAAAATCTGAACTACTGGATCCATATAACATTGCAATGGTCCAAATTATATTCAGTCATATTTCATCACAGTCAAACTGTCTCCTGCAGTTCAGGAGAGAGGTTTTTAACTGATGTTTCATCACTGACCTCCTCGCTTCTCACTCTGAACAAGGCTATGAATTAATTTTCGGTGGCCAGAATAGAGCCTACCAGGCAGTCATCCAAATGGGTCAGGAAGCAAGTCCCAGAAATCTGATCTCCCCTGAAGCAAAACAAAGCCACCTAGAAGACAGTCCCTTGCAACAGAAATTACCGAATGATGGATGGGCAAGAAGGCGCCCTTTTCCCCATCCTGCTCAGACCATGGGGAGAGCCCCCAGGGCAGCTGCACCTACCACGGATGTCTCAGTAGCTACGAGGTAATTTGAGAATACAGATGTTTGTGGATGCTTTGTTTTCTTTACATGACAGCCAATTAGAGGTTATCTCTATACTAAGTAATTCCCACGTGCAGTCCCTCAGCTGACTGAGTGGGCGTGGAAGGAGTAAAGTTAGGGCTGGAGGGAAGCAGGGTAGAAAAGTGCAGGTGCTGAGCTTGCTGCGGAGGAGCCCTCAGGGACCGCTGTCTGAAGGGTCCTTCAGGAGCTCGGAACCCGGGTTTTACAGCTACTTGCATTCGTTGTTTAAATTTTGCCTCCAGATTCAGACTGAAAGCACAGAGAGTTTGACCACCTATTTTGCCCCCTCCGATGCTATGAACATTTCAGTAATAATGACAACAGTTACAACAACCAATGAATTACAAGTGGGCAAAATACTGATGTGACCGAAATTTATACTGATACATACAAATAATATTTAAAATAGGAAAGCCTAATCATTTGATGTGCTGCTAATTTAATAACACAGCTTATGCTGTCTTGTTTGCTTACTCGTTCCTCGTTTAAAAAAAAAAAAAGGAAGTTCTGGTAACAGTGAGAAAAACACTATACACTTCAGATGTGCTAACAAAGCAATGTGGCTTTAAAAATACCAACATCATTTTCTACTGAGTTAAAAGCAATGTATTATTAAAATCAAAGGAACTGATCATACAACCTACTGTATTTGGTATTGGTAAGAAGGCATCCCAAATTTTACACTTAAATTTGGCCATCCATTGTAATAGGGAAACTAAAAAATCGGAGTGTCCCCCCTAGAGGAGGGGAACCAGGATGGTGAGGGGACTAGAAAACAAACCGTGAGTATTAAGAGTTGTCGGGGAAAGAGGAATAAGCAGAGTGCTTAGCACAGAAAAGATAGGAAGGGTTGTCCTAAGAGACACTTTGGTCTATGTAGCTCCAGAAAGCAAAGCTAATCTAAGCTCAGTGAGTATAAATTATAGAGGTTTCCACTGACAGATTTACAATGGGCAAATGCTTCCCATGTTGACAAGCAGTGAGCTCCTCATCACAGGAGGCAATCAATGGGAGAACGTGCCCCGCTACTCAATAGGTGCGTGGGCCAGATTCTGACTTTAAACTTTGTTGGACTTGAAAATTCTTTGATTACTTTGAAACTTAAAATTCTTTGATTACCTTGAAACTCAAATCTACTGGTTATTTTTAGAATTGAAACATCAATGCTGAGTCTAATTAATAAATCAGTAAAAAAAACACAAAAACAAAAACAAGGGACAGACCCACTGTGTTTTTCAGATTGTAGATATTTGTCATCTCCACTCAGGAAGTGGAAAGAGGGCAACCTTTACTTGACATACCATGAGGTGACCTGAGCTTTGTTTGAATGTATACTACAGGCAGGGTAAGGAATGTTTGCTACAAACTACACATTCTCACCCTCATCTCTTGAACATGAACTACGCAAAAAATTCCCAACCGCATTTCAACCCCACCGTTTGATACTTAGTTCCTGAATCCATAAAGAGCAAGGCCACAGGCTTCACCCCAAAGAACCTGTCTCTGTTTTTTCTTTTAAATATTTTTTAATACAATTGAAGAGCGTAATTTCATGCATACTACAAGGGACCTAACACTCCCTACATCATCTGCAACACTCATAAAATATTGCACAGTGAAAGAGATCTGCAAAGCAAACAGTAAAACTTACTCAGACACATTCCACGGTACTGGAATCTAATTAAGTTTGAATTTCAAAAATATAGTCATAGGTACTTCGACTGATTTTTGACTCATGGATGCTAAGGCGATGGTCATCGTGTACTGCTGGCACTTTAGGTCTCGGAACTGACTCGGGAACCCAGGCAGGCCAGTACCTTCACAAATACAACAAGAACCCTGAGCCGGTGTGGCTCAGTTGGTTGGGTGTCGTCCTGCAGACCAAAAGGTTGTGGGTTCGATTCTCGGCCAGGACACATGCCTGGGGCGTGTGCAGGAGGCAACTGATCAGTGTTTCTCTCTCACAATGGTGTTTCTCTCCCTCTCTTCCCTTCTCTCTAGAATCAATTAAAAAAAAAAATACAACTACTACTAAAACATATTGAGTCTTTATAACCTGCCCAGTATTATAAGTACCAAGGGCCCTTAGATCAGCTCAATTCATGCACCGCCCCACCCAGGGGGTAACTACTGTTACTGCCACCCCGGAGCAAACTGGGGCGAGTTTAAGCAATCTGAGCAAGGGCGGCGAACCAGGGCCTGGGGCGGGAAGCACAGTTCCTTGACTCCAGGGCCCCTGCTTTCTAACCCTGTGCCCGGCGCAGCAGCTGCCCTTCAACAACAGCACTGAACCCAGTGCTGTGCTAAACCCACTCCCACCCCAGCGGCGGCCTGGGGCGGACCCCAGCCTCCCAGATGCAGGGGCCACCGCCACCTGCTGTGTCACTTGCAACTGTTGTCACACCCAGGGTGGCAGGGCTGTGACGGTTCACTTTATCTGTGACTTATTACACAAGAAGAGTAAGAGAGAAAGGGTCCCTGCCGAAGCGATAGAACCTAGCGCTGGGCCTGTGAAACCTTCACTCTGGTGGGCATTTCTGAAAGCGATGAATTCTGACCATCTCTGTGAGGGAAACCACCCGGTGGGGCCCTCGGCTGTTCTGGATATACACTGGCATGAAAAGAAATTCTGTAAGCTTCTGTAAATGGGAAAAAACAGTAAAAATCCTTTGCAGAATCAGTAAATCCCAACTGGTAAAAGAAATTCATTGCTTCAGAAGTAACTCTAACTTGTTCTTTATCTACACACTACTTTATATCCCCCAAAACTCAAAAATCCAGAAGCTTGAGTCACCGAATTTGTCACAAGCTCTCCAGAGAGCAGAGGCAATCTCTGAGAAGTGAGGCGGGACCCCTCGAAGTGCGCTTCCGCTCACTGCCATCCACCGCTGGGGGCTTCTGAGAGCCGGCACCGGAGCTCAGGCAGGGTTAGAGTGCCGTGGCAGCGTGCCAGGGGGAAGTCCGCATGGGCTAGACCGAGGTCTGAGATTGGGCACTACCTTCGGTCAGCACCCACACATCTACCTGCAGCTTGTGCAACTCCAGAGGCGGGGAGGTTGGACGGGAGGGCGGGGGAGGGGGCGGAGAGCGCATTAAGTGGTGTTTCCTCCCATTCCCTGGTTCCTCTGCTACACTCCACCTCCAATCTCATCCTGCAGAGCTGCCACTTGTCTGGAGGGTGGGGGCGGGGTGGGGGGAACCGGTGAGGGAAGGCAGGGAAGGAGATGTGAATTTCAGATCTTACCAGTGTACCCAAGAAATCAGCCCTAAGGGGAAGGCAAACATGTCTCCACTTGACAAGTAGGTGTGAAAGTCTAGTCAGATGTCAGGGGCCTTTTGGCGAGAGCTAGGAAAGCAGACATATGCTTACCTGACTACTGATGGACTCTTTCTTGGCCGAGCTCTGAGTCTGAGGAGGACCTTGGGCGGGTGACAACCTTGAGGGGCTCTTCTTACTCTGAGGCAGCAGCGAGGACAGGAAGCCCACACGAGGTGACTGGGAGAGGGACGTGTTCCTCTGGCTGCACACCATGGCCCTGGACAGGCACACACAGCACACGGTCACAGGGCTGGAGGGGGATGGGGAGAGGCAGGAGCCCAGGCCTGCTGGGCTTGGACGGCGCAGGTGACCAGGCCATTGGCTGGGCTCCTGTGCTGGGCTCTAAGGTAGCGTTCTCCTCAGCGCTACTGCCCGGACCAGAGGGAGCCAGCCGCCGGCCGGGCACCGCGTGAAGTCTGCAGCTGTCCTCGGAGGGCCCTGGTAAAGCTCAGATGCGCTGTGTATATTCATCACGTGTTTGAAGTGATAATCCACCTATACTGGGCTAAATAAAATCTCTCATCAAAATTAACCTCACCCGTTTCTTCTTACTTTATTTTTTTTAACATCGTTTCTAAAATTTTTTAATTACATTTCTTGGCTTGCATTTTATTTCCATCGGGTGGTGCTAGCTCAGAAACTAGAGCGCTGTCACCTGGGCTGGGACTTCTGGCCACGTGTGGGTTTGCAGTCCGGCTGGGTCTGCGGCCTGACTCACCACTCATCCACCCACCCACCCGCTCACTGTGACCCCTGTGCCTACGTCTCCTCAACCACTACTATTGTTATTATCCTCAACTCGGTCTTCTGTTTAGCTGGCTGTTTTTTTCATGTCGCTCAAATGCTTCTCCCCAAATCTGCCTACCTCTTCACACCCTCACACAGGAGCGTGTTGCTCCCGTGGAATGTGCCCAATGTGTGGTCACCAATCTTTTCAACCACGAGGTACTGCTTTCAGTGCCCAAAACCTTCCCCCGGCTTTAGGACAAGCGGTTGTGTTTATTTATCCAGGCTGCACACACCTGCGTGTGCAGGCGCCTGGCAGACATGGGCGGGCTCAGAGGGCCTCAAAGGCCAGGGGCGCTTAGGCAGAAAGCCAGGAAGCAAGGACAGTGAGCGCAGGAGGCTCTTGGCAGCTCTGCACCTCCAGGAGCTGGGGGGCCGCAGCAAGGTGCTCCCCAGAGAAGTGCAGAGGGGACGGGGGAGGAGGGGTCTAGGCCCTCCCCACCATGAGGTGAGGCACACACTCACAGTTCCGAGTCCCCCAGGCGGTCCATGTTGGAGACGTAAGGAGGCAACTTGTGTTGGACCAAAGTCTCTTCCTCTTCTGGCTGTTGCTCCTCTTTCTTCAGTCGGTGGATTTCGGCTTGCAGTGCAAAAAGCTACACAGAGACGGGGCCAAGTTAATGAACAACATCACCTTGCTGTGGGATGGGTCAGACACAGCACATCCAAAGCCCAACCTCACTGGCACAAGGGGCCCCCGGCCCCCGGTCTCAGGGTGCCGGTCCCACTCTGCTCGCTGAGAACTGCAAAAATGGGAAAGTACAGCTGCTACGTGACTACAGTGAGGTGAGAAACTAAAAACCGTCAGCGACACAAAACCCACTTTTTTTCCTTTTTATCATTTGACTCGCTTCCCTTTTATCATTTGACTTGCTTCCTCCTGAATTCACTGAGAAAAACAGCTCCACCCAATTCTTCTTTGCTGTTGGGACTCTACGAAAGCAGACTTTGGAGCTCTCATGGAAAAAATGTTTAAAATGAGGTTCAGCATTTATGATCCTTTGCCCAAAGGAAATGATACACACATACCCAACACTCAAGCATGTTAAACCCCCAATCTAAACAGTTTATCATTTTTCCTGTTCTGAAAACCTTTTTCTAAAGATATCTTAATTTCAAGGACAGATGAATGCTCCTCAGGCAAAATGTAAAGGCAAATGTGGGTCCATAGGCTCTATCATTTTACTAAGCTAGAGGGATGTAGCTGAGCAGAACAATTAAATTATATCTGGGTTGTAAACAACACAGATGTAGCTATATGTGGAAAAGGACTGGGGGTAGGTATGAAATAGACACGTGAAAACAGGTCCGTTGCCAGGTTATGGCATATGAATGCATAATTGTTTCCCTCTGAAAAGTTCCTTACCGTTACTATGTTGGTCATGCTACACACGACTTAAAACATGAACCTCACCTCTGGTTTTCAGAACCTGTTACAGCCCCCAAGCACCAACACTGGTTTTCTGGTGACACTCCCGTCCGAGATCAGTGCTGTCCTACACTTAAGCAGCCCTCCGCGGCCACGAGCCAACTTCAAACATGAAAGCAGAAGTACTTCCCAGGACGCAAGTGTGTTCAGAACCAACCTTCTGACGCAGAACTTCATTTTCTTCTTGAACCTGGTTGGCCCGCTGGCACTCCGCATCAAAGTTCAGGATCACGGGAACTGGTGCGCAAAGTTAAAGAATAAGCCGGCCTGTGACACGATTCAGAGGCCTTCCCAAACGCCTGACACCTGCGCACCTGACATGACCACCTGCCTGGCTGGCCCACAGAGAGGACAGAAACCCAAACCAGAGGCTTCTCTCCCAGTGCCAGCAACAAAGATCCATAGCCCGTGGGCTGCACAGCCAGCCTCAGCCGCGGCAGCATTCGGCTAAGGGCAGGCCCGGGGCCACGGGCCCTGCGGGCAGGCTGCCAGCAGCTGCACCAGCTGGGCAGGAGGATCGGCCTCTCAGCTTTCCTGTGTCCAGACCGAACCTCTCCCTGGCAGAGGTTTAGATGGAGGAGAAAGCTTTCTGCAGGTTGTGTGGCCACATGCCACCACGGGAACACCCACATTGTAGGTGAGGGTGTCAGCCACCTCCAACAGTTACCGTCATGGGGAGCGCAAAGCAGGCAGGGCCTCAGTGCCGAGGAAGAGAACAGTGGCTCGAACGGGCACTGTCTAGCACTGAAAAGACCCGGAGTGACATTTTCAGTTTCCCTAGATGGCCCATGTGGTTGTGCCATACCCAGCTCCAGCCTGAGCCCCCTGCTGGTTTCACCTGAAGGCCCCTGTGAAGAACAGCAGGAGCAGGGCCAGAAGAAAGGCAGAGCTGGCCGGAGCGGAATTCCCAGCAGCCACACCACCAAAAGAAAGAGCCCCCGTCCTACCTCTGCCAGCAGATGTTCCTCACAGAGGCCAGAACGGCCGCCGTGGGTGGGCCTCCACAACGCCCCGTTTATCAGTGACTCACCAGGCAGCCCCACTCAAACCAGGCTCTGTCTCCCCTGGAACCCCAGCGTAGAGAGCACCAGCGATGGATGACGGTCCCAGGCTGCGGGGTCGCAGGCATTTCATGACGAAATGGTAAATATGGTAGGCTGTAAACTATTTACATTCTCTCTTTCTCAAATAACCACATCTATATTCTTCAAGCTGCTCTGTTTTCTGGCAAGTTGAGGAACACTGAGGTCGCCGTCAGAGAAAGTGACCCAAACACTAACACGGGGAAGAAGTGCCAACCCAGGAAGCGTTCTCATGTGCTACCTAACCCCAACAGAGGCAAGCGGCATCCTGGGGGACACAGAGAGGGTGCGCTGGAGGATGGCTGGTTTCACTAAGACGCGGCTGCCTGCCAACCTCTGTATCCACTGAGAGAGGGCCCCAGACCGATGTGAAGGCTCCTCTCAGAGCCCAGCACTAGCACCCCACTACTGCTACAGCCCCCACCCCCGGCAACCCGTGCGTGTCATCTATTCCTGCAGCAGCAGAGTGTGAGAACGGAGACTTAGGATTCCCTGGCCCACCGACAAAAAAAACCACAGCCTGTCCAGCCCTCCTCACATGACATATGAAAATCACCCCGGGGCATTCTGTCGAAGAAATGATTGCATCAAACGCGGTGACCACTGATCACATTGTCTGGAGGCTTCAGGCGAGGCCCACAGTGCCAGGCAGCTGAAAGGATATGCATGCACTGAAACAGGACGCTCAGGAAGTTGTGCAGGGACACAATGAAGGTGTCGGCCCACTGTCGAGAAAAGTAGGTAGCAAAGGTGGGGTTGGTGTCTGGGGATGGCAGGAAGGGCAGGACAAACCAATCCTTCCACTCGGCCTGGTTCTGGAGCTCCGTGGCCTGCTTTACAAAGAACTCCTGAGCCTTGTCATTTCTGTTTGTCTGCCAGGACACAGAGGAGGTAGCAAGGAGGGGAAAGAGACAGAGTCCAGAGGTAAGATTCTTCATCACCGCACAACAGAGAGCCTTTGGATGTCAGCTAGGTTGAGTGCCCACACATGATCTACAAACTCGAAAAAATAATGGAAATCACCACTCTTTCCTCAAGTTCCTTGTTAATTTCAAAGAAGCTGGTTTAAACTTAAGTGCTGATACTAAATGCCATCCTAAAAATTAATTCCTAGTTGATTTTCAAATAATGTAACTATTTCCCCAGGTCGGCTTATGATCTCTACTGCTCAACCTTTAGCTACGTATAGTCTTTAAAACACCAGCCAGGCTCACATGCATCAAACAAGAGAAACAGGACTGAGGAAGACAAATGAGGTGATCTACAGATAAGAAGGGGGAAAGAATTAGGAAAACAGTCAATAATAACGTGCACTGGGACTCTTCCACCCTTTCCCAGAGTAACACAAACAGTCCTCCCTGGGAGTGAAAAGAAAACCTATTTCTGGATCAAATAACTCTTTCTGCCAAGAAATCCCTGAACGAACAAGCACCTGAATTGTGTAGACGAGATAAAAGCGGAACAGGCTGGTTTTCAGCTTGTTGATGGTAGGTCTATATATATCCTCCAAGCGGCTGAAGAGTCGACGCTCCAGGTAGCTCCAATAATCCCGCAGGGCAGCCAAGTCATACACCTGCATTAACTGCTGCAGCTGGTCCACAATCTTGTCCACCTGGTGAGAGAAGGCGGTGAAGGACAGAAGGGAATTCTTCCCTCACTCCACAGAGTTAATACAGCTTTTTCCTGTTGGTGTGGCTTCTGCATGTTAAAAAAAAATTTTAAGTTAGTGATCTATAAAACTTTAAACACTTTATTAATGTAATAGCTTTTAAGCTATTTTCTGATGTTAGATATATGGCATGACCCTTTCGTAAGTGCAGGAATTTTGGGTGTAAAAATACTGACTCAAGAAGGAGACATGGGTCCAGGTCTTAGAAAAGAGAGAGCAAGACAATCTCCATGGTCCTCCCCTGAGCCCAACTATTCCAGGAGGTGCACGGACTGACTCCTTCAAGTCATCCAAGCACCCCAAAGCTCTTGCTCACTGTGTGAGCCAAAAATGTCACCTCCCTGTAAGGAGCAATCACGCTGGAGTACACAATGTGGAAAAGGTTTATGACTACCAATACCAATCCAACACCTTCGCTTTACAGATCACACACTGAGGCCTGGGGAGCTGAAATGCTTTGCTTTTGCCACTGAGTAGCCACTAGCTTAGGCAAGACAAGAACCGGGCCTCCGAGCTCCCTTCCAGCACTCTTGCTGCTAGCTCACTGCCTCTCTCTCAATTCACCTATCAACATGAGCTGAAGTCAGCAAACACACACGTATAAATTCCATGAACTTCTCCACGGAAAGTCACGTCTTAGCAACGGAAATATAAAGTATTAAAATGCGCTACGAGGTCTTCCTCAACTGCTGAAGCAAAATTGCCAATGAGTCACTGACAAGGCCATTTTAAACAAACACTGCAGACACTTGAACCCAACTATCATTTTGGGCTGCAGACCCCTTTGCTCCCAATGCCACTGAAAGCTACCTACAGAATACCTGTGCTGCCCAGATTCAACCACCTACCCAGCCTTAGCTCTCAAAGCCTCATCGCCATCCCGGGCAGCGACTGGCCAGCACCTGCTGGAAGGCTGGGGTGGAGGACGGAACCCTGAACCAGGAGTTAGGGGACCTGGGCTCCAGCCTCGGCGAGGCTCCTGACTCGCTGGGCAACTTCAGGCAAGTCATATACCCTCTCGAGGCCTCAGTTCCTCATCTGTCAAGCGAGGGCCAGATGCACTGAAGTCGAACGTCCCCCAGCCCGGTGACAGCGCCGCTCCCGCCCCAAAGGGCAGTGCTGGGGAAGAGCCCGTTCTGGGCTCCCTCAGGGCCGCCTCTGCTCGCGCCGCCCCCGCCGGCCTCTCACCCGAAACCCCTTCTCCTTGTCCGCCTTGATTTCAGCGTCCAGCTGCCGCAGTGTGTACGTGAAACCGCGGAAGAGCAGGTACTCGCGAACCAACTCGTCAGTGCGCTCCACGGCCTCCGCCATCGCTGCGCCAGCGCCGTAAGGGGCCGCGGGCTAGCGAGGGGAGGAGAGGCGGAGCCTTGGCAGCAGGGGGCTGGGCTACGCGCGGGCTCCAGTTACGTCACGCCTTGACCGACCTACCAGCCAGCACGCACTCCCTGCCGTATGCCTGTGGCCCCGCCCCGGCCCCGCCCCGGCCCCGCCCAGCTGTCCCGTAATCACCACCCAACCGCGAGAGCTACTGGAAGACGTAATGCTCTCCCGAGCTCCCCGGTAGCGGCGGCAGCGGCTTTGTCGTCTGAGTTGCTGAAAGTGGCGGCTGCCATCCAGGTCAACTAGGGCTGGACCTCGGAGACCATCCCACATAGTCACGAGGTGTGCAGGGGGCTGAGGTACCCTGCTCATTGGCATTACATCCCGGAATCCTCTAAGCCCTACCCCATCTTGCAAATGGGGAACCTGGAGTCCCCAGAGGTAAAGGGACTTGTGTGAAGTCACACAACCAAGTGTGCCATTAGGGAGTTCTAACTCCCCCAAAGACCTTTTTGTGATATTGTACCATCATTCTGCAAGATGTTACCATTGGGGGAAACTTGGGAAAGGGTACGTGGGATCGCTTTGTATTATTTCGTACAACTGCATGTGAATCTACAATTACCTCAGAATAAAAAGTTTAATTTTAACAAGTGTGGTACAGAACTCTAGATGCAATATGATTACTTTATATAATATTTTTATATTATACATACACACAAAATATTTACAATTATTAACATTAGGTAGTTGTGTTGGATTTTATGGGTATTTCTGACTTTTTATACTTTCTAATATTTTTCAAATTTCATACTGTAAATACATTTATTTTATTTTATAAATGTAACGAATATCTTTAAACATAGCACATTCATTCGTCATAATAAGCATATGTTAGTGCCAACTCACACAAAGATTTTAACCCCCAAACTTTTAAATTCAGACTACTGCTAAACTAGGAATTCCCAATCCTGAGCTTATACAATTCAGTTTTTGGAACCAAATACAGGCCCTCACACCTGAGCTCTGATTATCAAGTTGCACCGTTCCTCTGGCTCCCAGTTTCCTCCTCTGCAACATAGAAGCCTTGGGTCAGAAGAAACCCACTCCCTCCAGCTCTTACAGTCCACAGGCCTCATGCTGGTATCAGCACCTGCTGGGAACCTTGGTGTGTCTCTTTAGAGATCATGGGCCCCAAGGACTGAAAGTGAATCACTTTCTCTCAGGCCACTGCAACCATATCCTTTGAGGAGTAGCTGGAGTTAGAGTCAGCAAAGTCCCCACTTGCACAGAATAGGAAGCCACCAAGGATAGAATTAGACTCCCAGCAATAGGAATTCATCAGTTTATGAGTCCATAAAATCATTCACTTTCACTGCTGGAACAATTCAAGTCTCCTAGGTGGAACAATTCAAGTCTCCTAGGTTAATAAGTGAAATCACTTTTGCAAACATCAAGCGGAGGACAGCGTGGGGGAATCCCGCCTCTGTTGGCACACTTCCTTAAAAAAACAGCTCCTTCCCCCGTGCGATACTGCTTCCACCTTCTGCAATAGCTGGCCCAGCCCACGCCCCCTATATATATATGTTTAAAGGTTTTATTAGAATTTATTTTTAGAGAGAGGGGAAGGGAGAGAGAAAGAGAAGGCGAGAAACATTGATGTGAGAGAGACACATTGCTGGGCTGCCTCTCCTATGTGCCCTGACTGGGGACTCAACACACAACCCAGACATGGGCCCTGACTGGGAAGTGAAACAGCAACCTTTCACTTCGCAGGACGATGCCCAACCAACTGAGTCACACCCTTCAGGTTGAGATAAATATATATATTTTTATATATTATATATAATATATTTATATATTATATAAATAAATATTTGTTTATTTATTTATTTCCCCCTGAATCTCTGGAGAACCCTAATACATCTTGCAAAAGGTTTCTTCACTTTCAAATAAACTCGCTCTTCCTTTATAGTTGTCTAATGTGATGAAAGTTGTGCCACAGTGGAAACCAATGAGGTAGATTTCTACGTACAAATACAAATGCATCTCTAACTCATACTACTGAGTGAAAAGAGCAAGTTGCAGGGTGATACTCTTATGTAAATTTCTTTCCTCCAAAACTCACAAAAGAAAACTATATATTCCAAGGGAAAACACCTGCAGGAATGTAAACATCTACCAAAGGATCTGGAAGCATCCATAGCAAACTAATAACAATTGTTAATTCTATAAAGGTGAAGAGAAGACCAGATTGGAGTCGGAATATTTTCATTTTTACGAGGGGGACATGTACTATTTGGGAAATTAAAATTAATTTCATAAAGAAAATTAATCAAGGAGTTGACCAATGATTTGATTTACAAGAACTGAACTTGCTTGACCTATGTTCATGTTACTGTGGGGTGTAGGGGGGTATTTCAGAATATGATCTGTGTTACTCTGAGGAGGGTACTTTAAGGCAGGATCATTATTACTTGGAAGTATTACAGAGTAGGATCTATGTTATTATGAGGAGTGTATTTCAGGACAGGATCTATGTCATTTTAGGGTATTTCAGAATAAAATCTATGATACTGTGAGGGGTGTATTGCAGGACTGGACTTATGAGGGAGATATTTCAGGGCAGGATCTATGAGACTGAAAGGGAGGGGTCAGGGTCAGAAGGTGATGGTACGTAAGTGGTTGTTGAGGGGGAGAACTCTGATTTGTATCCAAAGCTGGTGAGAGGCCATCAAGAGGTCAAAAGGTCACCAGAAAGTTCACGAACAGAGCCTTCTGCCTGCCATTTGTGGGGAAGGTAACTGAAACAGACAAAGGATCTGCATTTTCAATTAAGACATGAGACTGCTATACATAAGGAAGCCTCGTAGTAACATCCGACCCCGAGATTGCATTTCTTCTACGTGCAGATCTGCTCTCCAGTGAGACACGTCCAGGGAGGCAGGTGTATGGGGTGGCAGTGGTTGAGGTGGGGTGGGGTGACTAGATAAAAGGCTGGGCAGGTCTACTTCTGAACCTCCGGGTGTCCTCTCCATGCGAAGGTAAGGCTCTCCAAGACAGAGCCGCACAGACTCCTGGAACCCACGGTGCCCGTGAGGCCCCGGGAATGCTGTGATGGGGTTGCTGGTGGGAGGTGAGGGGCAGGGCCAGGGGAGAAAGCAATTCCTCAGGGGCCCCCTGAGGTGCTCAGAGCCCCTGGATCAAAGGCTGCCTGAGAGCCAGGCAGAATGTTAGAGTGAAATCGTTTCACATTTATCTTGCAAAGGAGAGGAAAACTGACTCTTACTGCACGCTTTCTATGTGACAACGTCTTTATACATAACACATTTCATGTAATGCCCCACCCAAATCCGAAGCTGAATGTCAGGAGTGCCAGCTCTATGCCAGGTACCCTATTTGCGTGCTGTAGGTTGTGCTCATTTATCGTCCTCACAGTCCCTGCCAGGTGGATCATGGATCAGAATCCGAATGCCTGCGCCCAGGAGCACAGGCTGCTTGAGCTAGACTGTGTGACCTCTGCTTAACCCCTGCCCTGGGGAGGAGTAGCTTGCCCCAGGGCAGAGAGCAGCTAGGGGGCACCTGGTCTGGCTGTTGCTCCTAGTGTAAAACGGATGCAGTGGGATTATGACCATCGCCACATATTTAGGGGTGCAGGGCTTCAAGCAAAAAGACACCTACACACAAGAGTATATTCTATATTGGGGGGAAATGAACTTTTTTTCTCCTAAACTGGAAGAAGACCTGCTTCCCATTCCTTTTTCTTCTTCCCATATTTAAAGCAACATTTCCCTGTCCCTGCTTTTATGTGTCTCTCAGTTTCCGTCGCATCCACATGTTTTCATCTTTTCCCCTGAGACTTGAAGCCTGTGTCCTGGAACCCTTTAATTTAAGGCGTCTTCTCTAAACCTCAAGTTAACCTTATAAGGGAGGTGGCACAGCATCGTTTGAGGGATGTTGACACTGGAGATCAATGGCAGATGAATGGAACCAGTTGCGGAACACCCATTCAGTCCTTCATGGGCGCATACAGGCCGTGTCGGGATCCTGAGGTGACACAGGTATCACCTCTCTGTTCAGCTCAGCCTCCACATGAAAAAGAGCCGCCGCCTAGCAAGGTGAGAAGGTCAGCCTCGCTCTGCCCTTCCCTCTTGTCACCTTGCCTCTTGTGTGCCTTCGGACCCCAAGTTACATTGTTTCTTCCTCTGCCTGCACTCTCATTGGCCTGCCACAGCGCATCCCCATTGGCTGTCGGGGCTGGGGACACGCCGCGATTGGTCTGTGTCCATGTGCCGTGGCGCTAGGTCTGTTACTCGGCTGGGGCAGGAGCCGTGGTTTCCACTCTGACTGGCGCGAAACCGGTGCTCACTGTCATCGCCGTCACCACTGTCAGGGCTTCACGAGGCCTCCTGCGTGTCCCGGGAGAGGGGACGTTGTGTGCATGGGTACTCATCCCTCTGAGTGTGAGTATTGACTAAAGGCTGAGGTTATTGCACCCACTCACCTCCAGAAAGGTGCACTTGGTCTTGCGGGTATTTTTTTTACATGCGAATTGAGCCAAGCTGGTGCCTCTAAATAGGTGAACATTTAGGTCTTAGGCTAGATTTTAATACAAACGTTTGTATCTGTCATTGTGACTACATATTTCAGAGAACGACTTTGGATTTTTTTTCTACATGATCTGATAGGTTTGCCTAGGGTTTGAATGGATCACACTCGAATGTTTAAAAGTGATTCTGAGTTTTCAAGGCTATTACAATGCAGATTTCCAGGCCCTGGGGATGGAGTCGCAAACTATACGCACTACACTGCTCTAATTCCTTATAATGCTGGGAGCAGCGTCCTTAACACGCTTTGCATCTGTATAGGACCTCTGGGAAAAAAGGCTTGTCTGTGTTTTCAACTGTTCTTAAGGAAAAAAATGATTTCTTAATCTCGTTTTTGGAGTTAGTTCCCCCTGTCCTAGCAAAACAGCCAACCTTGGAATAAGGCAGAAGGGGGTCCTGCCCTCCCCTCCCCGGTCCTAGACTGTGACTTCCATGGCACTCGTCCCGGGAGATCCGTCCCTTCACACAGATCACAGGCACTGACGGGACATGTTTAACTGCATTACTGCCACAAAGAGCTCGGTCTGAAAAATATCAACCTAAGCTCTAGTCAGGCCCACAGGGCAAGTCAGTAAAGATAACTTAGAATGTTTTGTGTGAGATCTAATCAAGTTCAACATCTAGTTGGCGTGACTCTCCCCTTAAAGCAGAGAGGAAGGATCTTCACCCATCTTCAGTGTGCCCCACCCCCACCCCAGCATCTCCCAGCTCCGGACCGGGAGCCCGGGGCCGGCGGGGTGAGGCGGAGGTCACAGCTCCTCGTTGCTGGGCAGGGTGCTCTAGCGCCACCTTCTCCCCTAGCGGCGGCAGTGAAAGCTGACCCCAGGGATAGCAAGTAATGGGAGGGTCTGCCCCCTATGGTAGAAGCAGAGGCCTGCGCCCTCATCCAGTGATAGGTATTTCAGGAGAATGTTCGGAAATAAGCCTAGGAAGAAACCCAACTTAACTGCATTGGCAGAGGGAGAGCTCCAGAATAGTATTTCTAGACTCTTAGAGAATTCGAGATCTTGGGAGGGCCCTGGTGTTTTTACCTCTATTCATTGACTTAAATTCTCTGGTGTCCAGGCACATTCATTTTTCTTCAATATAACGAAAGAGAACCTATGTCCTTAGGTTCAGAAGGTTCTCAGGTTGCCCTAGGCAAGTCAAACACTTCACTGTTTCACTTTGCTTCCTATGAAAGATGTGCTGGTTTCTGGAAACTGGAGACCAAAAAGGTACCGTCCTTCCCATGCTGACGGCATGACTCCTGGAAATGTCGCTGCAGCTTACGAGGTTCAGTGCAGGCAGCTACAGGGGCACCCACTTGCCACCTTCCTGCTTTGGTTCTGGGAAGCCACCCCAGAGGAAGTAGACACTCTGGTGAAGACCACATGGTTGATGGGAGATTTGCCTTCTGACCTGAAAGGCATTTTCAGACGTTGCACTGCCTGATTGGGTTCGCAACCTCTGGCTGATTTCCCCCCTAGAATTTAGTGGAAGTTCTCTTCCACCTCCTTCCCCAGTATTCCCTCTGCAGAGGAGATTCTGTTCCCAGCTGCTGCCAGCGGTGGTGCTTTGACCACTCGGTCACCCTAGTATCCAGCAGCAGCGGTGCTTTGAGAGAACTGTTGCCACGCATACGCTCAAACTGTGAAAGTCTCAGAATGACCTGGAGAGTGTGTTGACCATCACACCCCAGTAGCTTCAGACCCACTGTTTTCAAGGCAGGGCCTGGGCATGTATGTTTTCAACAGTCTCCCCAAGTGACTGATGTACATCAAAACTGGCCAAGGTCGTGCATTGTCCGTGCGCAGTACGACTGACCTCAGGGGAGCATGGACCCAGTGAAGACCTCCCATTCTAGTCCTCAAAACCCCAGCGGCTGAGCACCTACCAGGGTCCGGAGGTGAGGAAAACATGGCCTTTCTGTCCAAAGAACTGGCAGAGCAGCGGTGGGGTGAGCGCCTGATGGAGGTGGCCATGCATCAGGTGAACGACACTTGCCCTTGTCTCTTCCTGAAACTGTATGTATCAGTCCCAGAATTGCGTCTCCTGGAGGAGGGCTCCTGGTCCATAAATGCAGATGTAACAAAGGACGACATGACGGTCCCCTTCAGAACCCACGAGAGGCAGGACAAACCAAACCCACTCCTCTGTCGTCATGTGACTTTCTGCTTTCACAGGTAGAAGAGCGCACTCTCTTCTTTTTGGAGAGCATCTAAAGAATACACCTTGACAGATTTTTTTTTTCATATCTATATTACCACTACCTGAGCCACTGTGGGATGCGTTCTGGCGGTAGGAAATACCTCAAAGGGTGAGCCACATACCTGTTCAGCTTTTAACAGCATGTAAAGAATAAGATCTCAGGGTACAGTTTGCTCTCCTTGGCCACAGCAGTCAATTTACAAGTATCTGATGAGCACCTGCAGTGTCTGGAAACTTCCTGGGGTAAGGCAGCACTGCCCTTCACCCGTAAGTCACATTTGAGCAGGCTTGTGTTTTAAGTAGTTGAACTTAGCAGATTTTGTGTCATCTGTTATTCATGACATACCTATTATTGATTCTCTTCACTGGTTTCGGATCCTTTACTTTCTTCCTGCTTCAACCTGCCTTCCTTCTTCTTTAATGTTGTATCTTTATTAGGAAGAGCCCCACAGAAAGCATAATATTGCCTTGCAGATTTTAATGGCGACCTCGGGTGAAGGCAGCCACCCCAGTGGCAGAGCGATGCCCCAGCCCCTGGCACAGGTGCAGCAGCTCGAGCTTCGGGTGGCCCGCAGACGCCTGTCCCAGGCTCGCCACCGAGCCACCCTGAAAAGGCTCTTCAATAACCTCAAGAAAATTGTTTACCACCAGTCTGACATCACAGCCTCAAAGGTATGAGGTCCTGAGTGTGGGGAGGAAACGTTCCTGCAGGTGAAGGGGCTGGGGAGCGAGGTGGGGATCGGCCCGGAGATGTTGCTCCCCGCACCGCACCCCCCCACCCCCGCCCCTCTCCCTACCACTGAGGGCTGGGGCCGGCCTGGGTGGGTCTGGAACCAGCTGTGGACGCCTCCTCATGCTGCATCCGCTGCTGTCTCACTCTGCTCCGTGCCCACAGCCCTTCGCTTCCACCCCTTTTAGCATTTCCCAGATGCTAGTTTGTGTTACAAGCAGTTGTTTCCACGCGTGTCTTCCCTGTTAGAATGTCAGCAGCCTGAAAGCAGGGGCTGTCTTTTCTGCCCTGCGTCCGCAGGCGCAGCACACGGCTGTGTCCCCGTAGACGTACACGCCTGATGAATGTGTGTCACTCCAGGCAGGTATCAGTAGTCAGCATAGTAAACAGTATTTAGCAGTTCTTGTTTTTGAATAATCTTGCAGTTAGCATTTTGACTTCGGTAATATTACAGGAAGGAAGGGAAGGGGGAGATTGAGAGGGAGGGAGGGAGAGAGGGAGGGAGGAATGCTTGTGATTCTGCCTTGCAGAACAGGAAATTCAGAGTTCAAGTTGACAAAGCATTTAAGTTTTTAGGTCAACTGGAGTGTACGCATTTAGCAAATAAAAAATATTGTTAGAAGGGCACATTCAATATTAACCGGGCAGTTAGAGTTGCACATTGTGACAAGTGAGCAGACGTTAGATGGGAGCCTTGTGACAGCCTGGGGCTGATATTCATTCAGACCTCCTCTGAGTCACCATTTATTCCACCTTCGAGTAGAGGATGTAGTCGCTGGCCTTTTTTGCAGCCCTGGCAGTTTGCTGAACTCAGCTTAATTGTTCCCGAATACTTTCAGTAAGAACCATTTCCAGAGTACAAATTGAACTTCATGCCTTCTGCTCATCAGAACAAGTTTCCTACTCTTTTTATCGACAACATGAAAGACTCTGACTTCGAGTCTGAGGGAGCGTGGCCTCAGACCCGGGGAGGGGCTCCTGTGTCCACAAAACCAGCCTGTGCAGTGGGAGGCCCTTTCAGCTTTGTTCTTCTCTGTCCTCAGTGGCAGGTTTTGAATAGGGCGAAGAATCATATTCAGGAACAGGAGAAAATCTTGGATCACCTGCTGAAGGTGAAAGGTAACAGGCCCTACCTGCCGCCCCATCTCCCTCCCAGGGAAAGAGAGGCTGGTTGGGTTTTCTATTGAAAACAGAAGAATTGGGTTAAGCCAAGTGAACAAATATTTACCGAGGGCTTACTGTGTGCCAGGCACTGTGCTTGGGTCAGGGGTACAATGAGGTTCACAGCCTGACCTCAGAGGTCATCAGCCTGGGCGAGCGTGAGGAGATCCCTTTGGGGCGCAGTTGAAGGAACTAGATCTTATCTTGAGAGGCCAGAGAAGAAGTGGGCTGGTGTATGTCAGAATGCAGCTCCCTTCATTAGTGCTCAGTTTGGGAGAGATGGCTGCTGGGAATTTGAGTTTAATGGGCTGGTGGAACCCAAACTGTGAAAGGGACACTTTGGATGTCCCGACTGAGACCGGCCAGTCCAAGAAGCTCTTCCCTCTCACATCTAGAAGAAGGAGTGACACTGGGCTCTTGACTCCCTAACTCAGAACCCCGGGTGGGCCCAGGGAGCCCCCATGCTCCCCCTGCATCAGAGAGGCAGGAGAGACTCCGCAAAGGCCTGGCTTCCCCCTCTGTGACCCTTGCCTTCAACTGCCCAACAGAATCCTTCAACCTGGAGGATGGGAATGCAAACAGCCTAGAGGAGGTCAAAGAAATATATGCCAGCATGTTCTCCAGAAATCACAGGTAAGACCCTGCACACCGCGAGCACCGGCCCCTGCTGGTGTCGCACTGTTCCGCTGTCGCAGGAGCCCGGTTGGCTCCGGAAGGCGGGTGGCGGAAGAGGGGCGGCTCTCCCAGGGAGCACCCTCCTGTGCTGGAGAGAATGCTTTTCTTTTTGAATCTCATAGCAGACATGACATTTTTTTCCCCCTGATGATAAAAACCCATGCTTTTTACAGAAAGTGTCAAAAATACAGAAAAGCTTAAACAAGAAAATAAAGATACATACGGTTTCACTTCTCAAGGAAAACCAATGTTCATCTCAAAGGGTAGCCTTCTAGTGTTTTTTTTTTTTTAATTTTGCACATTATTTTATAGAGAAATGAGATCATAGTGTTTATTTTCTATTATAACTTTAAAAAACTCAACTGCAGACCTTCCTGAAGCATGCGTATGAAAATAAGGAAAATCACCTCTGACTGGGGTGGCGCAAGTTGGCTGGGCCTTGTTCTGCAAACCAGAAGGTCGCCAGTTCGATTCCCGGTTAGAAAACATGCCTGGGCAGCAGATTCGGTCCCCAGCTGGGGACGTGGGAGAGGCAGCCGATCAATGTTTCTCCCTCACATGGATGATGTTCCTCTCTCCCTTCCCCTCTCTCTAAAAATAAATGAATAAAATCTTTAAGAAAAAAGAAAATAAGGAAAATCCAAATCTCAGCCTGCTTTCCAAATTTCACAGGAATCTGAGAAAAGCCCGACCGGACTGGAGAGCCAAGGAAACCGTGGCCCACCTGGGTGTCACAGGTGCTGAAAGGGGCAGTCGTTCACAATGTCAGATTCAAACATCAGACCAATCTGAGAAACGTCTTTCTTGCACTTTGATGATCTCATTTGTTATATTTTAGCTGCTATGCCGTCTGGGCTTTTTAGGTGCCCTGTGTGGCTGTGTTCCTTGCTGCTCTCTCAAGACAACATAACCCTCTGCCTCCCGTCTTCATCCTGCGGAACAGCCTGGACTTTGGGGGCGCCAGCCGGGCCTGCATCGTCTCTGGTAGCTCCAGGGCGTGTCTAGCACAGTGACTATCCGGGTTGGCCTCTGATGAGACCCAGGAGTATAAGCAATTTTACTCACTCTCAAAACAGGACCGCAAACGGCTTGCTATTTAGAAACCACCCAACCCTGCCTAGATGAAGTGGCATACTATCGCCTTGGGTGGTGTTACTAAAGATGTTTATTTTCTTCTCTGTGCTTTTCTTTATTTTCCAAAAAAATTTTTAAACAACAAATGTGCATTTTTATCCTAATGGGACACAATCAGGGGGAAGTGAGAAATTATTAAATTAAATTCACATTGTAGACCATATGAGATATCAGTATTTGTATTACTTGTCCATATGGGAATGGCTACATTCTTTTATTTTTTTTAATTTTATTTTTCAATTACAGTTTGGCTACATTTCTATTAAGATCAAAATAATTGAGGATTTCTCACTAGTAATATTATAAACCTACAAGAATTAAAACTGTGCTACCAGCATAAGAATAAATGAATTATATTTTATAATTATCATTACAATTAGTAATTTAATTAGTAACTTAATATACTAATTACTAATTATAATTAGTAATTAGTATAATTAGTAACTTAAGTGCCTTCATTCAAGATCACTTGTATTTCCCTTCCTGAGAACATTTTGTACCTTTTCTTTGCCCATTTCCCTGCTGCACTGGTGGTCTTTTTCTTATGTAATTGTAGAAGCTCTTTACATATCTGAAAAATTAGCTCTCTTTCTAGTATATGACTTTAAAACAATTTTTCTTTGGTCATTTATTAGTTTTGCTTTTGATGTTTTTGCTTTTTATGTTGATCATGCAAAAATGAAGCCTAATCTATCAATCTGTTATGGTACCTAAATTTGGGGGGAATATCCAAGCTTCCCTCGCTCTGAGATCTAAAAAGAAAAAAAAAGAATCCTCCTATGTTTCCTACTGGCTCACGCGCTTTTTAACTCAACACGATGCCTTGGAGATTATTCCTCTTGCTAGGAAGACCCCTGAGTACAAGTCCTGGTTTTCCAAACGATGTCATGTTGCTTCATTCTTTTAAGTGTCTTTTGAAGAACAGAACTTTAAAATTTTGAAGAAGTCCAACTTTTTTTTTCTTATATAGACTGAATTTTTTATTTATATCTAGGTTTTCATGGGGGTTTTTTTTGGTGCTGTTATAAGTAGTACTTTTTAAAATTTCAATTTCCAATTGTTCATTAATAGTATATAGAAACACTACTGATTTTTTGTTTATCATTCTTGTAGTCTGCAGCTAGCTAAACCCCTTTCTTAGTTGTGGTCAAGTGTTTGTAAGTTCTTTGGGGTTTTCTAAATATACAATCATTGTTTGCAAATCAAGACAGTTTTACTTCTTCCTTTCCAATCTGTATACCTTTTATTTCTTTTGTTCACCTTATTGATCTGGCTAGAATCTCCAGTGCGGTTTTGAGTAGAAGTGGTAAGAGAGAATATCCTTGTCTTGTCCCTGATATTAGAAAAGAAACATTCAGCTTTTTATTGTTAAGTGTGATGTTAGCTCTAGCTTTTTGGTAGATAGCCTTTATCAAGTTGAGGAAGTTCCCTTTTATTCCTAGTTTGCTGAGAGTTTTAATCACGAATGGATGTTGAATTTTGCCAAGTGCTTTTTTTCATCTATTGAGATTGTAAAAAATCATAATATTAAAAAATCAAATATTGGAAAGAGTTTTAGTCTGTTGATATGGTGAGTTACATTGATTAATTTTCAAAGATTGAAACAGCCATCTTGCATTCATAGAATAAACCCCACTTGGCCATTGATACAGTAACACGCATACACACATATACATATCCATGTAACATGTGTTAATATATCATGTATTTATATATTTGCTAAGTTTGTGTTAAGAATTTCAGTGTCAACCTTTCCAAGGTACACTAATCTATAGTTACCTTGTGTCTGTTTTCTCCCCAGCCTGTTCCCAAATAAGGTTCATCCAAAAGACTTTGCCCACTCTTGCCCATTTGAGGCAATGTGGAATGAGGCTGAGGAGGAATACGAGGAGGAGGAAGAAGAGGAAGAGGAGGAAGAGGAGGAGGAAGACCAAGAGGAGGAGGAAGAGGAAGAGGAGGAGGAGGAGGAGGAGGAGGAGGAAAAAGTGGATCTCTTACACTCCCCTGTCACTTTGTCACCAGACCTCATGGAATTTGAACGGTGTGAACAGCTGAGAGGTGGCTTCGTGCACAGCTGGAGCTCCTTTGGGGAAGGGGACCGAGGGTCCAGCTGGGACATGCTGCAGGCCCTGAGTCAGGGAAGCTCCAGAATTTCCATACAAGCGGGGCTTGGGGATGGGATTGGCAGAAAAGCTAAAGAAAGAGTCTTGAAGCTACATTTGTGAAGCACATGCACTGTATTTATTTAGACTGGGTGTTTACTTGAGGGGCCTTTGTGGGGTGGTTGATGGGGATTATAAGAGCTAAAGCCCCCCCCGCCATGCCCCTCCCCCAAGTCTGTTTTGGGCAGCTTTATAGTAAGATGGCTCAGACCCCCACTGCCACCCACTGCCCCTCCACAGACTCAGGACCCTGGGCAGCCTTGTTGGATTCAGAGGCATTGGCTCAGTAGGTGGAGGCTCTGTCCACAGCTGAGCCTGACTTTCAGGCCTCAAATTAAAATGGATGTCACATCATGTCTGCACATTCATGGGGTCAGAATTTTAAGCACTTTCCCTGTAGGGTGACAGCTGAGCCAGCCACGCCTCTCATCTTCTCTACAGAAGGCAGAGCACTTCCCAGGGGGCACTGGGAGGACATGAGGAAGGACCCCGAAGCAGAAATCTGTCCCCCATGGCCCCCAAGATGGCTCTGCTCTCTGAGGGTCAGCGGCACACAGAGGCTAGTAATGCGAAGTCTCTGGTACAGCACAGAGAGGTGGCCTGGCCCATGTGCTGGGGACCAGCCCACACACGCACTCCCGAGGCGAAGGCTTGGGGAGGGCCCGTGGGTCTCGAGCCTCAGGCCTGGGAGATGGTGTCGTTTCCGTTCCAGGTACCTCAACTTTTACAAGCAGACGATGGACCTTCTGACCAGGAGCGGGGTCGTCTCCTCGCAGGAGGTGACACTCCCTGTCGTCTCTGCGGCCATCTCCCACCTGTGGCAGAACCTCTCCGAGGAGAAGAAGGCCAGCCTCCTGGAGGCCTTGGCGCAGAAGCACAGCGGCCTCCTGGGCCTGGAAGGGGCCACCCAGGAGCCGGCCTGTGCCGAGGGCAGCGTGAAGGACAGCGGAGTCGACAGCCAAGGGGCAAGCTGCTCACTCATGTCCACCCCGGAGGAGGTGAGTCTGCCCTGTGGCGAGGGGTGGAGGGACGTCACCGGGGCCAGGAGATGCCGGGGATTTGTCACTTAGGAAGTCTGAGAGGCTTTTGGGATCCTGGCTCACGTGGTCAGTTTCTGATTTTGCTGACATCATTTCCTCAGCCACAGAACAACGTTTCTTATTCTTGGGTTAGTTTCCCGGCCTTTCCATGGGGATGATAGAGGAGAAGCCTTAGAAGGTTGGATCAGCTGGGATTCTTCAGGCTGCCAGTTACTGGCTCATCAAACCCTGAACCCAGGGAGGTTCCAAGGCAGGGCAGGGTTCTGGTCACGGTCTCAGTGATGGCACCAGAGACTCGGTTCTTCTCTGCTCTGCTTCATCTTAAGGCTGGTGTCTCACCTTTTCTCTCCTCCCCACTCCCCTGCCCCCCGTGTAACTGTGCCCTGGCAGCTGACAGCAGCCAAACTGCCATTCCCCTTCCCCTGTGTCAGATGTGAGAAAGATGTCCTATGCCTTTTCCTCAAGGGTCTAGGAAGAACTTTTCCAGAAATTCCCATCAAACTTCTCCTCCTCTCTCATTGGCCAGATTTGGCCAGATTGACAGAGTACTGAGCCAATGACCTGCATAATCAAGACAGGATTACATTTGGACCAACCAGGCCCAATCCCTGAGAGGAGGTCAGTTCTCACCCCAAAGGGCATTGCTGCCACTCGGTGAAGTTGGCTCGGGTCAGCCCAGGGCCGGGTGACAGTTATGTTCAAGGTACGGACAGAGCCGCTGTTACTGTCGCTTCTAAATGAGCTGCAGTGAGACCTCTGTAGCTCCTGGCCCCTCTGGAGCAGCTGTGTTTGGGGCCAGGCCCTAACAGGGGTCGGGAAGGCCCAGGAGGTACCTGGACATTACCTTTTTCGTTCTGAGAAGGGTGTCCGTAGTGTGCTGGGTGCTCCAGAAGGGCCGTGTGGCCTGGCTGTGCCCTCCCAGCTGGCTTGTCCGGGGGTTTCCTGGGGAGCAACTACTGAGGGCAGATGGGTTGAGGGCAGGAATTCAGGCCCTGGGTCCCTGCCTCTGTCCTGTGGGGAAGGACGCCAGACAATAAGCTTCTAGGCTGATAGACACGGAAGCTCAGTGACTCCAGTTCAGGTTCCGTTTGAGGGGACCAAAGGTTTTTTAAAAGGACACCAGAAAATGTCCAGGAGGTGGCTGTCCCCATGGCTAGAGTCCCAAGGTGTTCAGTTCAGGGGAAGCACCCTGTCAGACGACCGGAAGGGCTAACACAGCTCCGGGCCAGAGAGCTCACGCTCCTCTCCCAGGGGCGGCCTTTGTGACCGGGGTCCGATTAAAATACAGCACGCCAGCGACACTTGTAATGTGAGAATGTCCCGTGTTATAGTTGGTCTAAAATTCAAATTTAGGTAAGCATCCTGTATGTTTATTTGCTAAATCTGGCAATCCTGAGTGTATATGACATTCCCATGGAATATTTAATACTCTTCAACAAATAACAGAAAAGCAGGACCCAAAACTGTCTAAATAGCAAGATTCCAAAGTTGGAAATATATGATGCAATAATACACCTAAGGAAAGGATGAAGGGAAATAAATCAATATGTCAACAAGGGATCTCCCCAGGTGGGATTGTTTCTCAGAGATTTTTGCTTTTCCTGTTTGATTTTCCCAAACTTTCCATGATAAACATGTGTTTCTCTTATAAACCAGATAACATTCAGTAGTAGCTAACATGTTTGAGCCATTTTTATGTGCCTGGTGCCTCGCGTATCTCATCTTATTTAATCCTTGCAGCAACCCTGCGAGTAGGCACTGTTGCAATTCCGTTTGCAGGGGAGGGTTGGAGAGACGCAGTCACTTGTCCGAGGTCGCACGGCTTATTGAGTGGCAGGACTGGGTGTCGGCTCTCCTGAACCCTGACTCCGCAGCCCCCTTGACCTCTACATCCAGCTGCCCCGGCCAGAAACTGTGCGATGATCAATCCTGGGCTCAAATAGTCTCTCCACCCAGGGAGGTGAAGAGGGGCCCTCCTCCAAGTACACTGAGGCTCAGGTCCAGCTGCTGCATCTCATGCCTGAACTCTGTCTGCTTTAGAAAGAGGAAACCACAGCCGCCATCACTTCCCTATGGGGTTGGCAGTTTGTTCTGAGCGAGCCAGAGCTCAACATTCACGCCCTGGGAAGGTCACCAAGCAGAGCCCCTGGGATTGAGCCTGGCTTGAACAGGCACGCCCTTCAGGAATGAGGGGTGAAGAGAGACCGCCTGCCTACTCCTCTGTCCAGGAGCAGCCCAGGGCAAATGTCGGCCTGCCAAGTTATTTCTGACACGCAAAGTTCTGTGCTTTCTTTCAGTTCCTTTTTGAAGATGCCTTCGATGTGGCCTGTTTCCTGGACAAAAATGAAGATCCAAGTACTTCGAGCTCCAGGTGAGAAGGGGATGTGAGACGGGGCATACGTGTGTGGCCATGTGCGTGTGTGTGTATGTGTGTGAGCGTGGGTACCCCTGCTGCGATTTAGGAACCTCGCCCCGCAGCCCCTCAGGGGGGTGCCTGATTCAGTGGCCGTTCCTGGAGATCGGCTTTTTCCAGGAACCCAAAGAGGCTGGTCCTAGGGTTGCGCCATCGCCCTGGGGATGGTCTTGTCTGGGGTTCTTCCGAGCAGAAAGTTCTTCCCTCCTGGCCCAGGGTTGAGACACAATGGGTTTTCAACTCCAGGTTGTTCACACTGCACTGCTTTCTCAGGGTGAGGTGGCGGGCGGTCTGGTTGGAGTGTTGGGCGGGGGCTCTGGGGTCCGGAGAACCTCGGGCAACCCGGACACAGGCCCTGTGCCCAGAACTTAGGAGAATCTCTGAGCTGTATAAGTGGGGGAGCTGTTTGTCACCTGGTGTCAGAGGACATCAGAGGAGGGAGGGGAGGTAGGATGGCTGGCCCCTTGGGGTGACACAAAACAGGATCTGGGGAGATTTGTAAACAAGCAGCAGCTGACGGGGCCTGGGCCACTGGAGCGTTGTCCCAAAGCAAGTTCAGGACTGAAATGCGTTTGCTGCTTTCAAAAGCTGTGGGCTTACAGCCTGAAGGCGCAGGCCTTTCAGACACCTGTGCTTGGGTCGTGGGTAAAGAGAAGCCCGAATATATAGTGTTTCTGCCGTGGGAGTGTGGGTGGCATTCATGTCCTCATGATCCCAACGGACATCTCCATTCTCCCCTGAGGCTGTATGGCTGCAGCCGCCCCTGGTAGCTCGGCATTTGCCCTGCCCCACCACCTGCTCTACTCCCGTCCCTCAGGCCTAGACGGCCCTGTCCAAAATCGGCCCAGCGACTGTATGGGGTGACCCACGCTGTCCTCTGCTCTGCGCGGGGCCGGACTTTGCCGAGACTGGCTGGAGGCAGCTGCTCTGAGCTGGGCTTGGGCTCTGACGACAGTGTGGCCGCAAAGTTGCTCGAGTGTACTTGACAAGCAATGTTTGAAACTTCTTGCCCTGCTGGTAGAACAAAAAAACAACCTATTAAGACACTGTTTTTTAGGCTTTCCCTAGAAAAGGCAGGGTCTGCTGCCAGAGGGCTCCTAGCTGGCTGGGGACTTCATTCCAGGGGGATGTGAGGTCAGAACGCCAGCTGTCAGGGTGGGACTCACGGCTTCTTTGCTCGGTGGTCCCTGGTTGTTGGGCTTCTCTCCTTGTCCTGGGAAGACAGTGGGAAAGGAGTCTGCAACACAGGCCTTTTCTCTGCATCCGTCTTCCATGTGGGACCCACTGGGTGGAGGTGTCTGAAGGGACCGACCTTCAGTGTGTGACATACCCACGGGTGGGCCAGAGCCGGGGGGCTCCGATGCAGAGGTTGACTCTCGGGGAAGGAAGACATCTTGCTCCCTTGTTCCAGAAGTCGCAGCTCAGGACACTAAATTAGGACATGGCAGCCAGTCTCCCTGTTGTCCCGCTTCCCCAGTGGGTTCAGATAGGACATTGAAACTGAGGTGAAGCACACCTTCCAAGAAGGGCTCCTGGCTACCTGAGGAGCCAACGGGGTCTTTAAAAGTGCTCGGTTCATGCCATAATCCAAGTATTTTAGGAGCACGAGAGGTCAAAGGCTAGGATTCTAAACATTTGCTGTTTCTCCTTCCTCTCTGTCATCAGTTCCATGTTTGCCAGTTGCAACCCAGAAAACCCAGAAGAGAAGTTTCAGCTCTATACGCAGATCATCGACTTCTTTAATGGCCTTTGCTGTGTCAGCGCTCAGCTGAAACAGGTCAGACAGCCTTGGCCGGGTGGCTCCTTGGGTTGGAGTGTTGTCCCAGTACACCAAAATGTTGTAGGTTCGATCCCTGGTCAGGGCACATACCCAGGTTATGGGTTTGATCACCAGTCGGGCTGTGTGTGGGAGGCAACCAATCGCTGTTTCTCTCTCTCTCCCCCCCACCTTCCTCTCTCTCTAAAATCAATAAATATATCCTCAGGTGAGGATTAAAAACACAAACAGGTAGGACAGAGCAGAGTGCAAGGAGAGCTCCACCCACCCCCCCTTAGGGCCCAAGAAGGGCTCATGAGGGGAGCCCCTGATGGACCTCACACAGACCACGCCACACCACAAGGCCGCTGGTGGGGGACAGTCTTTCATTCTCTCTGGCCCACCCCATGGATGGCCAACTTCTGCCTAATGCAGCCTGTGGAGTGGGAAATGTCCAGGGAAACCGAGGGGAGAGACAGAGGGATGCTCTTTGGGGCGGCCACCAGGCCCCAGGGCCAGGCTCTTCGCAGGCATCCCTAACTGGCCTGGGACTCCTCAGCACCTTTCCGAGGCTGGGCTGCTGCCTCACCTCCTGAGACGCTGGGGTGATATTTGCCGTCAGCTTTGGAAGGATATTAATTGCTGCTTCCAAAAAGCTGACTGAGCAGCATATAATGACAAAAGTAGTGAAGATTTTGGTTAGGAGGAACATTCTGGAAGCTTTTATGGGGGGAGGGGTTTATGGCTGAGCCACGAAGCTTCAGAGCCATAGCTTTTCTCTACTAATTCAGCAAAAAAGTACAAGTGTGAATTTTAAAAGCTAAGTGGTACTAATGAAAATGTTTATCTAAAAATAATTAGGGCAGCTTTTCAACAGGCTAAGGGGTAATTTGGCCCTTTTCCCACTAAGCCTTCACGAGAACGCATCAATGGGACAGCATTTGCTCTCCCTGCTTCCTTTCTGCACAAAGGGCAGAAAAAAAAAGGACAAGCAGGGACAGGAGAAGCCACATAAAGCAGAAGCTCTCAAACTTGAATCACCTTGCCAGAAATGCCAATCTCTGATACCCCAACTCCCAAGATGCTCATTCAGCATTTCGCGACGGGGCCGCAGGAATCCCTATTTTGAACCAGTTGCCCTAGACGTTCTGGCGCAGGAGGCCTGGGGCTTTCCTAGCCACTGGTGTAAAGGGGGAAATTCCATTCTCTCCCCATGCACCTCGCCTGTCAGTTTGTGGGAGGTGCCTGAATGACAATTAGCACTGGATCAGTCTCCTAGGGCACTGTAAGAAACCATCACAAACTCAGTGGTGTATGGCTGTCATAGCCTGGAGGACAGAAGGCCAAGTGCAGGTGTTGGCAGAGCCACTCCGCTGGAAAGCTCCAGGGAGGAACCCGCCTTGCCTCTTCCCAGCTTCTGGTGGCTCCCGCAGCCCTCAGCATCCCTTGACCCGTAGCTGCGTCACTTTCAGTCCCTGCTTCCATCTTCACAAGGCCTTCTTCTGTGTCCCTCTCTCCCTCTCATCTTCTTATAAGGACATCAGTCACTGGATTGAGGGCCACCCCCAATCCAGGATGAGTTCATCTCAAGATCCTTAAATAATTATATCTGCAAAGACCCTGCTTCCCAATAAGGCTCCAGCCGGACGTGACTTGGGGAGACAGTCTTCCACGCACCACCACGGCACCAGTTTCTGCAGACTCCTCTCACAGCCCGTTGCTTCCGCAAACCTGCCTCTTAAAAATGCCTCAGACACCATTTTCAGGGGCTTAAGGAGCTAGAACATTTCTAATGATGTTCAAGCACTTTGTGCGACAGAGACTTGAGGGCGCGGTGCACTCCGGGACCCTTGGCCCGCCGGCACCTCCTGCGCTCTGACTCCTGCATTTCTCAGCCTTTGCTGCTGTCCTCGCCCTAAACAGGGGGCCCGGGTGACCCTCCTTTGGCCGCCGGGTCCCCCTCCGATACACCAGCTGCCCTTGCATCTGCCCCCATCGGTAGAGCACAGACAAGGAGGACCGTTTTCCAAAGCAGAAAAGGCTTCCCTGCAGCCTCATCCCCCGCCCTGGCCATCACCCTTGGGGCCAGGCCCTACCTTCATGAGACGGTTGACCGGGGATGCTTCCCAGGGCCCAGAGGGATCAAATCCAGACCAGCAGGGCCAGCAAACTACAGGGCTCATTTTCTGCGGGGGTGGAGAAAGGCAGGAAGTACAAAACCCCCTGAAACATACTTTTAGGGGGAGAAGTCATGTGGATTTGGAGGGGTTGGCTGGAGTCATTATAAAGGGTATGAGAAATCCTTGCTAAATAAATGCAGTGCTGCTGGTTTTAAAAGTTATGTACTAATAGTAAGCCATATACATGGCTTTAAAATTCAAGTTACCGAAAGATATACAAAGAAAACTTAGTCTCTGTCCTACCAGTGCCTCTTGGTTACTACCCATTCCCTTCCCCAAAGGCAACTCCTGTTATCAGTTTTTTGAACAGCCATCCAATATCTATATATTCTTTCAAACACAAATGGTAGTGTACTGTGCACATTGCTTTGTATCTTGCCCTTTTTAATTAGTATATCCCACAGATAGAGAGTGATCACATTCCTTTTTGTCGAGATAGCTGCATGGTGTTGCATCGCTGTGTGCGTCACAGTGTAATTCACCATCCTTTATGGATGGGTGTTTGAATAAAGCTTTAAGACTTCCAAAGAAGCCAGTTCCAGTTCTGTGGCATCCAGGAAAAGCCTTTCTGGCAATCACTGAGTGAAATGGCAATGGGCCTCCCCCCGCCCACCACCCCCCTGCCATCGCCCTTACTTCCTGGCGGGACGCTGGAGAAGATGCACCTGAAGAGATGCGGGGTAGAGACCGAGGGAGCGGGGCGCACCTGAGGCGGTGGGGCCTCCTCATCTGCCTGGGCCAGGAATCCTTTAATAACAAGTAACCCTCTTCCGTCCTTTGTGTTGCAGGAGCCAGACCCTCCCATGGACGATGAGATGTTGATGTTGCAATGCATGGAGACCTTCGACGATGAAGATCTGTAATGCAGCGGAGCTGGGAGGAAAGGGCATGAGTAGGGTAGACAGTCTCCAAGTTTGAATTCCGGTAGCCAAAGTTGCACATGCCTCACTCAGCCTTCTGGGATTTGTTTGGATGGACTACCCAAGAAGCATTTTGATGGTTTTTGTTTCTGGTTATTATAAAGCATTAAGAGCAGCATCAATCCATGTTGTCTTTCGTGGTAGTTGGTATAAGGGACTGGCCTGCAGCAGGGCACACACTTGCTCTCCCTGGGCTCCTATGGGGGCAGGAGGACGGGTACCGGGTGAAGCTGAGGCCCAGTCCATGGGCCTTCCAAGAAAAGGACAGGTAGGGCTGTCTTTGGAAGTGCCGTGATAATAGCAGGCACTTTCAGCACATTCCGGGTTTAGGTTGTTGTTCTGGTGGGTTCTAGAGAGTTCTGAAGACCACCTGCTCATCCTCCATGCTCTGGGAGCTCAGGAATAGTGCTGACCTCAACCACGGGACATCAGGGTAGAACCAGCTACACCTGCTTCTTCTGGTAATAAAGACCTGAATGGAGGCCAAGCCAGATTTCACAGTGTTCTGGGCACTTTCTGGTGAGGCTCCTGGACGAGGAGTGTCTAATGTCCCTGAGCATGTACACAGGGTGTGACATTTGGCGAAACATTATTCTAGATGTTTCTATGAAGGATTTATTTTAGATGTGATTACCATTTAAATCAGTAGACTTTGCGTAAAACATATTCCCTGCCACAGTGCGGTGGGCCTTGTCCAATCAGTCAAAGGACTGCCTTCCCCCGAAGAAGAGGGAATCCTGCCAGGGACTCCCCTCAGGGACTCCCGCTGCAGCCTGCCCAGCCTTCTGGTCTACCCTGCAGCTTTTGGCCTTGCCAGGCTCCACAATCCCAGGAGCCCATTGCTTAAAGAATTCCCCTCCCTCTTCTGTGTGTGTGTATGTGTGTGTATTTATATATCAACCACAAATGTGTATACACAGCCTATATCTAGTAACACGTGTATGTGTGTGGACACACACGTTTGTCATAGACATGTATGTATACATGTGTGTATCTCTATGTGTACACACAAACACAACCTATGGGCTCGGTTCCTCTGGAGAATCCTGACTAATCCACTGAGTGTGCAGAGAGAATTGGTTAACCTGGCTCTTTACAGTTTTCACATCATAGCAGCAGTGGCTCCCCTCCTCTGAAGGCCCCCACATGCCTTCGCTGCTTCATCTCTTGTCTACTCTGCTGCCCAGCCCTCACCGCTCACCGTCCTGTGACATAGGAGCCGACCCCCAAGGACTCCCACGGGGTGTGTGCAGGGGTGAAAAACTGCAGGGGCCCCGAGGGGAAGGGCCTGGAGGGGCCGGCAAGGCCACCTGCCTCCTTGGGGAGGAAGAGGCCTATTCTTCCAGCCAAGAGCCCCATCTCCACCCCCCTCCCCCACTCCCGGCCTCTTTCTCCCGAGGCATCGAAATACTGCCAAGAACATGCGGACTGGGGGTGTTTCTGCTGGGCCATTGGGCGGCAGTAGTTTACACTAGAGATGAGAGGCTGGTGCCCAGCGAAAGGATGCAGTTTGAGGTCTGGCCTCGGTGACTACGTGACCAGGTCCCAGCACGCTTGTCACGGTCTTCATCTAACGCTCATTTGGCCGCTGACGTGGATGGGCCACCAGAGGTGCTCAGGAGGGTGTGGTCCCCGCCCATGCGTGCACTGGTTCATCAGCACGTTCTGGGGTGAGGGGGGGGCGTGGAGGGGGCTTGGGGATGTGTGTCAGGAGAGACAGTCTCACATCCTGGTTTCTGGGGCTCCCCTCGGGCGATCTCCTGAGGGATCCTGGGAGCAGAGTGTGAGCTGGCTCATTCCCATCTCTCCTTTCCCACCGCCTTCCAGTCTGGGCCAGAAGGGGAGACACCGGGTCCAGGAGGAAGCGCAGGGCTGGGTGCCAATCCCGCAAGGGAATCCGTAGATCTCCAAGACCTTCGTCGTCTCCGCAGACTCTTGCATTTGATTCCATGACAGGAGGCCTCTCTCCTCCAGACTCCCTGAGAGGAGACAGTGCGCACTCAGGACTGAGCACAGATAGGTTGGAGGAAGGCGGGCTGGAGGGGGCCTCTGGCGCCCCCTGCAGGCAGTCATGAGGTCTCGTCTCAGCACCCGCTACCTGCCAATAGAGCCGGCTGCCAGCCCATCTCAGAAATTGCAGCTCAGCCTAGCTCAGCTCCCTGACACCGCACCGAACTCCGGGGTAGGAACTCGGTGAACCACCCTCCTTTCATGGGGGGCTGGCCTTTCCACATGTTAATGTTTCTGGAATGCAGGCACGTTTTACACTTGGAGGAGAAGAGAAAAGAGGAGAACAGAATACCCTGAAGCAGGTGCCATCATAAAGGTCCTTTTGGGAGCCTGTGGGCGGGTCAAGAAGGGAGGATTAAAAGCCATCAGCGATAATAACTCTGTGCTCTCCACCTTCCACAGCCTCAGCACTTAGAGACTCCATTTGCTCATCCTCTCAGTTACTACCCTGTATTGCAATTGTCTCTTTTCTTGCCTCTCCCCATCATTAGCCTGCGGGTTTCTGGAAGGCAGGGGGTGTGTCCTTCTGTTTTTCGTAGCATCAGTACACACCTACCTCGGAGATATTGTGGGTTCAGTTCCAGGCCGCTGGAAACAAATGAGTATCCTAATAAAATGAGTCACAATCTTTTTGCTGGTGATGTGTGTAAAAAAAAAAAGAGAGAGAGAGAGAGAAAGAAAGAAACATAATATCTGTGAAGCATGATTAAGTGAAGTGCAATAAAATAGGGTGTGCTTGTATACAGCACCTGAAAAACAAGTGCTCAAGGAGTTTTTATTGAAAATATGAATGATCGAAGGAATGAACAACTGAGTGAATGAATACCCATGTTCTCTCTCTCACTGACTAGACTGCAAGCTCTAAGAGAGCTGCGGCTGGGTCTTTCTCTTTTTGCTTCTGGTGTATTTCTCAGGGCCTATTTCTTAGGGCCCTGTTATGGGCTGAATTGTGTGCCCCCAAAACCATGTGTTGAAGCCCTAAGCCCTGTACATTAGAATACATTAGAATGTGACTGTATTTGGAGACAGGACCTTTAACAAGGAGGCTGAGTCAAAGATGAGGGCTTTAGAGCAGGCCCCAATCTAATCTGATGGATATCTTTATAAGAAGAGGAGCCTAGGACACACGAGGAGACACCAGGGATGCACATCCACAGAGGAAAGGGCAGGGGAGAACACGGCCAGAAAGCAGCTGTCCGTAAGCCTAGGAGAGAGGCCTCAGGAGGAACCAATCCTGCCAACACCTTGATCTCAGATTTCCAGCCTCTGGGCTGTGAGAAAATACCCTTCAATTGTTTAAGCCCCAGACTGTGGTATTTTGTGGTGGCAGCTCTATAAAGCTAACCCAGGCCCATACACCCCGCCCAGACCCAGGGCCCGCTCCGACGGTGGTCATCCTGACCTGGTGTAATCGGGACTGGGGAAGCAAGGAGAGGGGCCCAAATGCTGACCACCTATCCAAGCTGCTAGCTTACAGAGAGAAGGTGAACCCTACCAGGGATGGTGTTGTCCAGTAGGAAGCCCAGAAATCCACCGACGAACATGCCCGTGGTCAGCAGCACCTGGATGACCTGGTCCAGCTGGAGAATCCCTAGAATGGAGATAAAAGTGACAAGGATTCCCCAGGATGACAGGTTCTGCGGGCTCTGCCCCAGAAGTGGTCCCGGCCCAGGGGATGGGGAATCACCTGTTTGAAGCTTCTCAGTGTTCTTGTTCACCCAGTTAGGAATGGTGAGCCCACAGAAGATGGAGAAGCCAAAGACAAAGAGGTTCCTGGACGAGTTCATGTCCACGTACTGTGGGAGAGAGGCCCCGCAGCAGACCCATCAGCACCTTCGCTGCACACCAGCCTATCACCCCTCCGAGGGCCCCTCCCCTTGCAGGCCACCAGAGGTGGGGGGAGGGGGCTGAACTCAGAGCAACCCGCATTCTCAGCAGACAAGCCAAGCCCCAATTCCCACTTGACCTTGGGAGCTGAGTGGTTTGCATAATCCAATTCAAGCTAATACAACGTCCAGTTTTGGATGCTTCTGGCTATTTCTTTCTTCCACTGGGGCTGGGGGAGCAGTGTGATTACTGGGACCAAGGCGCCCCTGCTCCTCCCCTTCCCCAGCCCTGTTCCATTCACCTGAATCTCCATGGGCTCCTTTCAAGACATGAAATGCTGCCGTTTGCCCAGGGGCGCCTGGCTCACCTGCAGATTGGAAATCCCCACGGCGGTGATGACCCCGAACATCACGAGGAACATGCCTCCGATCACGGGGGTTGGGATGGTGGCAAACGCAGCCCCAATCTTCCCAAACACGCCCATCAGGAGCATCACGCAGCCCGCGGCGACAATCACCACTCTGCTCCCCACCTGCAGCGCTCAGGGGCACGAGGACGAGACACTCAGCATCGGCCAGGTCACACGCTGCCGCAGGGGCCTCTGCCCTGCTCCTGCGGCGCCTTCAACAATGCTCTGCGTGGACTCGCAGGGACAGCACCTCTTAACCCCAAAGTGTCCCCCCGCTCTGCTCCCACACGGGGTTTGGGAAAGGATGAGGGTGTGACCAGGTGGCAGCTGAATATTCAGGTTCAGAGGTCGGACCCCCAAACCTCGGAAAGTAAAACATCTCTTCAGCGCTCTCAAGGTGACTGAAGTCTGCGATCGCCCGGCCAGACTTCCCGCCTGTGGGGTGACCACCACCGCCAAGGACAATGTGGTGGGCAGAATGGTGGCCCCTCGCAGAGGTCATGTCTTAACCCCCAAACCTGTGAATGCACAGCCAAAGGGACTTTACAGGAGCGAAGAAGTTGAGGATTTTTAGGGGGAAAGAGTAACCTGAGATAGCCAGGTAGGCCCGATCTAATTGCACGAATCCTTGCAAGCAAAGAACCTTTCCTGGCTGTAGTCAGACGGATATGCAACAATGGAAGAGGGGCCAGAGAGATGCGACTTTGCTGGCTTGGAAGATGGGGTGGGGGGCGGGGGGATAGCCAAGGAATGAGGGCAACCTCTAGATCAGCGGTCCCCAACATTTTTGGCACCAGAGGCCAGCTTTTCCACCGGCGAGGACCAGGTGGGGACACAGGAGGTGGAGCTCACAGGAGCTTCCCTGACAGCCTGGCACTAGTCCAGGCCCCGGGGGTTGGGGACTCCTGCTCTAGAGAATGGGAAATGTGAGGAGATGGCTTCTCCTCTCGAGCCTCCAGAAAGGAGCACAGTCCTGCCGGTACCTTTATGTTAGCCCCCTGACTACTTCTGACCTCCAGATGAGGAAAATAATAAATCTGGGTTTGAGGCCAATGAGTCTGTGCTACTGTGTTGCAACAGAATAGGCGACTAAGACATTGAGTGACAGATTGGGGTGCCTCGCTGCCCCTCCAGGGCCACCTACCCTGGTGATTCCCAGTGCCCCGACATTCTCGCTGTAGGAGGTGGTGCCGTTCCCTGTCCCCCAGGCCCCTGCCAGCAGGCAGCCGAGGCCCTCGATGCCGATGCCGCGGTTGATGGCGTGCTTCGGCGGGGGCGGGGCCCCCACCAGCCGGGCACAGGCGTAGTAATCGCCTACCGACTCCACCATGGAGGAGATCACCCCAGCGAAGATCCCAAAGACCCCAGCCAGGCTGATGGTGGGGAGGCCCCACTGTCCTGAAAATGCAATGCAGACGGAATGTTAACCCAGGGGATTGCTGAACCCCAAGTACTGCCTTTGCCGGAGGGGTCTCTGGGCGGCTTCAAAGACCCGGCAGCATGTCTTCGGGCCCACAGCTGTCCAGAGGGTTTGGCACGGACTCCTGCCCTACCATCCCTCCCTTAGGGTGGGTCAGACGCGCTGACCTTGAGGTCACTGTGACCAAAAAGAACCAGCAATGGAGTGTCTTCCCAGAAACACCTCAGAGCATTTGGAAGATGAGATTCTTCCTCAGGGAGGCCCCGGCACCCAGAGGCCATAGGCCAGGGCAGCTCTCCCTGGAACCTGGTTATCGACACACCCTCAGAGGGGGAGTGGCCTAAGGGATGGCCTTGAACTTGTCTCCCCAGAAACGCTTTCATTCAGTCCCAGGCCTCCCTTGTGTGGGATCTGCCGAATCCAGGAGGAGACCCGAAGACCCAGCGAGGAGGTGGGGCCCTCTCTGTCCCCGGCCTGCCGCCCCCCGCCCCCAACCCCAGGCCCATGGGCTGTGAGCAACGTGGAGAGAGGATGAGAGACATAGGCCGGCTCACAGGTAGGGCTGGGAGTGGGAACCTCTTGTCTAGCGCTAAAATAATAAATATGGGTTGTTTGAAGCCACTAAGTCTGTGCTAATTTGTCACAGCAGAAATAGGAGATTAAAAGCACTCACAGACATGGACAACACTGTGGTGCATGCTGCTGGGGGGGTGGTGTAAGGGGAGGGTATAAGGGGACTAAATGGTAATGGAAATAATACAATATCAAAATTCTTTTTAAAAAGAGAGCTAGGAGACTAATACATTGAGTGACAGATTTAGGGACCCCACCTGCCCCAAGAGCCACCGTGAGCAGGCTTCCCCAGTGCCCCGACATTCTTGCTACCGTTCCCTGTCCCCAGAGGAGTCTTAGAACAACCCGGGGTCTCCTTCTCTTCTCGGGCCTTTCCCTCATTAGCAGATTCCTTGGAGGAAAGCCCGCCTGCAGCCTTATTCAACGCTCCATCCCGTGCCCTGGGCCCCACAGGCAGTCCCAGAGAATGTGTCCCAAGCCAGAAGGGACCCGTCTTCTCATTACCTGGATAAGGGAAGCGAAACCAAGGGGCCTGGCTCAGGACGTTGCCTTTGGTGTCGGTGCGGGCCAGGTACCCATAGGCCGTGGGGGCCGAGGGGAGGGCGTTCGTCACTGTGAGCACGAAGCAGAGGAGCCACGAGAGGCAGAGCGCCAGCAGCACCTGCCGGGGGAAGCCGCCTCACCACCAGGCCCGCCCCAGCCCCTGCCAACCCCTCCTGGAGGAGCCTTTCCGGGGACCACAGGAAGCCAGTGCGCATGGATAACTAGCTCATTAAAGGAACATAGAAAACAAATGACACGGAGCCCTTGCATCAAATAGAGGCGGACTGTCTGGTCAAGTGGGTGCTTATCACGCAGTCTGTCTCTTTCTACTGTTGGCTGGTCACATGACCTTGGATCGAACCCTCTGAGCCTCCGTTTCCTCATCTGTACAATGGAATTAGTCACTGTCCTGCAGGGCCCGAAGCGGGATTTCTCAGACCAGGGCCTATAATTTTTATCTCTGGTGGCTAAGCCCTGGACATCTGTATTTTAAGCACGTTCCCATGTGATTCCTATGAGCACTGAATTTTGGAACCACTGGCCTACAGGGGTGTTGAAGGACCGCTGGGATCATTAGGTGGGAATCTCTTCTCACATCATGAAATGGAGATTACAGTTCAATGAAACCTGAAAACATGCGTGGCTGACAGCCACCCACACTGGGCAGTGTGGCACAAATGCAGCAGGGAGGGCTCTGAAAAGGCGGGTCCCATCATCGTCATGGGGCCCTTGGATTACCCATGAGCCACTGAGAAAGAACCTGCTCTAAGCATCTCGGCCCCTCCTTTGATTTAATTAGCAGTGAGCCTGGCTGCTTCCCTAGCACCTCGCTGGGAGGACGGCCCAGGGAATGTGAGAAGCCTGCCCCACGCGGGTGCCCAGAGTGGGACTGAGGGCAAGGTTCTGTGCTCTGGGGAGAGAAGCAGAGGAGAAAGCCCAGGAGGGCACGACCCCGACGGTGACAGCGTTCCCACAGGGCGGAGGCCTCGCAGAGGGGGGAGCATTTGATTTGGGGGTCATCAGGGAGCACAGGAGGCTGCCCTGCACTCTCCGGGTGAGTCAACTAAGAATGGAAGAGGGAGGGGAGTGCTTCTTACAGGGAAGACCTGAAACAGGTGAAACTTAGAGATGTGACACCCCTTCCGTCGTCCATAAATGGGCACGGGCACCGCAGTGTTTTTCAGGTACTGAGAAAAGAGCGTGATGAGGAAGACGGTCCTGAAACAGAAACAAACCACACCTGACCTGGTGAGTCGGTTCCGTCCTGAGCGAGGGGGCAGGGCGCTGAGCCACCACGGGGGCGGGGTCCCCATCTAGGCCCTGCTCAGCAGCACCGGCAGCGTCCTGCGTCTCTGACAAGGAGGGCTGTTCCCTTTCAGAAGCTGCTGGTGGCTGGAGAGGAAGAGTGGGAAGGGGGCCAGCATTGCTTGGTGGTGGCAGCGGAATGGACGCAGCAGTTGGAGCCACGGAGGCCGGGGTCTGAGACCATATTCTCTCCCAGGTCACTCTCCAGTTACTTGTAGTCAGACCACAATGGGCAGAGTGAATGACAGCGTCCGGCATCATCCTCAAGTCCCTGTAAAGCTCTGTTTACATGCTTATGGCCTCTTCCTCCAGGAAGCCCTCCTGATGCCCCCAGCTGGCTGTCGCCACCCCCGCCCCTGCGCATGCACACTGTTCTAACTCTCATCACTGTCTCCTGGTGTCTAAGTCTTCCCTCTGCGACACTGTAAGGCGCCTGAGACCTGAGGCCGTGTCTTTGCACCCTTCCCGGGTGCCAGAGGTTTACAAACATTTGCTCAGTGAAAACCTAGTAGGCAGGGGCCTGGCCGTACCAGCTTGTTGTGAACCCTACACTAAGTAGCCTATACTGCCTGTGGTTAACTCATTGTCTCTGTGTACTTATGACATCGTAAATAGTAGTAATAATAATTTATAAGTAGCCATTTCATTGCTTTTCAAAGCATCATAATGCTCATGAAAGTACCTGTAAAGCCCGGCATTGGCCAATACCCAGGGCTCCAAGTATTCTTACTGGGTCACCTTCCACCAAAGAGAACTTGGACGGCACTCCCTCCGCAGAGAGGACTTACAAGGTGGCGATCCCCCAGTGGGCCCCGGCGTCACTGCCCGCAGAATCGAAGAGAGGCAGGGCCACCAGGGAGATGGTCGGAGCAATGGTCAAGGGGCCAATGAAGCGCATGAGATAGCCCATGAGTCCCGAGAAGCCCACGAGCATCTGGAAACAGGAGGCGACCATGATGACGCCCTGCAACTGAAGAGAGGGCACAGCTGTGGCATCCTGAAGCTTGCAGCCGCACGGGGGGCCTCAGCCCAGCCCAGCCCAGGCCCCCTCTAAATCTAGTCGCCCCTGGGTGCTACTTTCAAAAGCAGTGCAGGGGCAAAACGGGACCCCAAAGGACCTGGGCAGAGAGCTCTGATCTCATCCTCGCTCTAGTTCTGGATCACCTGTTGGACACTTTCACTGAATATGAACCTCCTCAGGAAGTGGCCTTTAAAAGTATTCATAGATCACAGTGAGGACGGTGATGATGACTCTTAATACCAGTGTCAATGGTGTGCTGAACGCCTTTTCGCTTTACTTTTCTCTGTGTCCCTATTTTCTATTGCAGGACTTGGCAATTTTTTTTTTCTTCTTTAAAGGACCAGATAGTGAGTATTTTAGACCGTGCAGGCCATAGGAGCTCTGTCAAAACTTTTCCAGACAGTGTGGGAACAAATGAGCCCCGCTGTGTTCCAATAAAGCTCCACGTATAGGCTCTGAAATGGGAATCTCACATAGTGTTGACATGTCATGATATATGATTCTTCATTTGGTTTTTTTCAACCCCTTAAAATATAAAACCATGTTTAGCTTGTGGGCTGTGCAGAAAGAGGCAATAGGCCAGCTCTGGCTTGTTTGGCTGTTGTTTCCCAGCCCTTGATCCACTGGACTGATTCGGTTTCCTTCATTGTTCCTTTTTTACCTTACTAGCCTGGATGTTATAATTCCATTTTATTCCTGATAACTCTCCTTGCTTTGAAGTCTGCTCTTTCTGAAGGTCACATAGTGACTTCTGCTTAGTGTTAGCACAGCATATATTTTCTCCACCTACTTACCTTTATTCTATGTGTGGCTTTCTATTTAAAGCAGGTGTCTTGTAGACAACAGGGAATTGGGTCTTGTTTTTTGAGGCACTCTGACAATCTCTGTCTTTTCATTGGTGCATTGAGACCACTGATGTTTGAAGTGATCATCGATGTGGCTGAATTAATCCTATCCTATTTGTTACTGTTTTCTAATTGTCTTTGTTCTTTGTTTCTATTTTTGTCTTCCACTCTTTTTCTGCCTTTTGTGGTTTGAATTGAGCATGTTATGTGGTTACATTTTATCTCCTGTCTTAGCATTTTCTCTTCTTTTTAAACTTTTTTTAGTGGCTGCCTTAGCGTGTGCAATATACATTCACCGCCAAACCCAGTCCAGTTTCAGATAGCACCGCGCCACTTCTGGGGAAGTGTGAGTGCATTATAATAACACAGTGCTCCTGATTTACCCCGCCCATCCGCTGCTGTCATTCATTTCACTCAGCATGCATAACTGTATAAATAGAAACTACCATGACGCCGGAAGGCGAAGTTCAAACGGGTCTAATGTGTTAAAGACTGAACTTGCCATCTCTTCCCACAGTTCTACTTTTTCTGTTACCGTCAATCCCTTAAAATCAAACTGTTGCTCAGTTCTACCTCTCCATTACTTCTCACATCCCGGTGAGTAAGAGCATCCCTACAGCTCCTATATTCATGTCACTTTTATTTGCGACCAGTATTGTGATGTACAGGTGATCTGCTGACCACCAGTGGTTTCAAGACTTGAGAGGCATCTGGACACATATAACTCAATGGAACACGGAGAATCTATCTTAAATGCCAACAGGCTGGCTCAGTGAGTAAAACCAACCAAGCAATCCATTAATAAAATGAGGTTGAAACTTGTAAGAACCTTCTCTTGTTTGTAGCACTGGTGGAAAATATTGGACCAGCAGATGGAGCTCAAGCACCAGACACGGGTCTGGGCTGGGGCTCCCTGCGTGGAACCCCGGGAGGAGGCCTGGGAGAAAATGACAGCGTCTCGGGTCTTAGACCCAGCGAGTTGAAGTGCTGCCTTGGGGCCAGCGCTTTAGCGCACCGGGTGCTAAACTTTGTCTGCGATATGAGGTTTCCGCTACACATTCTTTTTTTTAAAAAACAACATTTTAAAATGTAAAAACCATTCTTAGTGTGTGGGCAGTTGAAACTAAATTAAACCAACATACAGCCCATAGGCTGGGTTTGGTTCAAGAGCCCTATATAGTGTGCTGAGTCCTTCTCAGAGGACTCCATGTCTCACCAGTACTGAAATGATCAATAAATGTATTGAAGAAAATGTGGGCGTCACTCAGTGCAGGGACAGCATGAGCCACATCCCTAACGTCCTCTCTCACCACTAATACTTCTCAAGCCCCAGGGGAATTCCTTGTCATAACTCTTGCCCAGTGTCCTCAAAACGCAGATAAGTGCCTCTGCGTGTGGCCGAGGTTTGCGCCACTGAGGTGTCGGAGGCAGTACTTTCATCAGAGTGCAGAAAGGGTTTGGGCAGCGGAAATCATTTGATGAGAGAAGAGGCAGATGAACTGGCCAGGTGTTTCCTCTTGGACAGTAGGAAGGCAGGAGATGCGTGCAAAAGGAACTATGGTCTTCAGTAGGTCTGCGTGGACAGGGAAATTGGCCCTGGCATCTAGCCAAGTGGGGTGAGGCAATCCTGCTTCTTGTCCTTTGCTTAGTTTGAATTTATCAAAGCCAAGTATAGGCTCGCTAGGGGCGGTGAAAACAAACAATAACAAAACACACACACACGCACACACAACACAACACAAAGAAAGCCCTACAACCCTGGCTGGTGTGGCTCAGTGGATTGAGTGCCTGCCTGCAAACCAAAAGGTTGCTGGTTCGATTCCCGGTCAGGGTGCATGCCTGGGTTGCGGGCCAGGCCCTCAGTTGCAGGCGTGCAAGAGGCAACTGATCAATGCTTCTTGTGCATTTCAGTGTTTCTCCCTCCCTTCTCCCTCTCTAAAAAATATGTAAATAAAATCTTTTTTTTTAAAGTCCCATAAACCTCATATGTTCTGTGATTCATTCTGTTGATGAGATGGTAAAACTAGGCTTCACTGAAGAATATCCTGATTTGGAAAAGGTAGCACAACACACAGCATTCTGAGATTGGGCAATCAACCGGGCAAAAACCCAGCGCCCACCAGCTTGGCAAATGCAATTCTTAGGGGTATCTTGGCCTGGAACTAAATGAAACTGTTCTTTAAGATCAGAAAGCCTCGTTAACTCAGGGTCCATGCTGAGATCAAAAAGGAGGCGCAAGGACATGATTCTATGTTGACGTGCACCTCATCCGGGTAATCAGGGCATAAGCACAGGCAAAAAGGCTGTTTTTCAAAGGGAAGAACAGCAGAAGGTTCTGGCTGAAATTCACCAGCTTTGGCTGAGAACAACCCACTGTGTCCTTACAAGCACAGTGCTCCCGAGGTGTTGGAAGTGCTGGTGGTGGGGTCCACAGTGCACGAGGACTAACCCTGCTCAAAGCCAGGTGCTTCAGCCCTGTCATGGGGCTGTTGTGTGGACGTGGCCTGGAGCAGCTACTCAGTTCCCCTCCTCTAAAAGGTTGGTACTCAAGTCGGCTAGCGGGTACTGCTTAGAATTAGACCACTAGCGAATGGCACCAAAAACTCTCGCCTCAGGGATCCCATACCTTGAGTGATGTCAGAAAGACACTCAAATGAAGGAGATGATCGACATTTGCTGATTCAAGGGACATAATTAAGAGTCAGGAAAAGAAGAGGCAGTTACACAGTAGGGATTCATCGGATCTCCCATTCCCTGGGGCAGATGCTGCATCACAGGATAACCAAACTCAAGCCATAGAGACTTGGGTCCCACTGTGCGGGTCCTTGAATTCAGAAAGGTCTGGGCAGGATCTTACTGAAGGTGCTGCTGAGCAAGTTGGAGTCCGGGAGAGCCTAGCATTTCAACAGAAGGGCCTTGGGGGAAGAAGTAAGGCAAGTCTGAATTAGACCAGTGGACTGAGCTACATGGGACGCGGCTGGCAGGGCACACATACCACGCAGCGTGATGGCTCTGTAATCATGTGGGTTCCTGGGGTGTGGCCAGTGCATAGCAGTTTGATCTGGCAAGTGGATCGCGGAAGGCACTATGCAATTTCACCTTTTGGGGCGCAGGATTTACAACTGAATCTCAAATACTGGCGGTACATGTTGATGCCCTTTGGTCTAAAGAGAGGAGGGAAGTATGACTTGACATGTAGTCACTAAAGCCCGTGAGATGACACCTTGGGCCACAAGGCACACACACATGTCACAAACAGCATAATCCCTATAATCATCTGAAGTCACTGATGTGGCCAAAGTGAGAGGTACATGTGCCGTTGGTGGGAGAATGTGAGGGTGCGCGACCCAGCACAGAGCTGGCCGGCTGCCTCCGCTGGGCATTTCGCAGAGCATGGGAGGTCTGAGTATTTTTAAAACCGGTATCAGTGGTGTTTCTGGTTTGTGCTTTGCCTGTTCTGCAAGTGAAACCATGACCCAGATTGCTATTATAAAAACACTGGGTCACTATTATTATATAAAGCTCAAGAGGCACTTTTCATGGCATGAACAGGGCAGGAGTGAACCAAGAAGCGCAATATCGAGCCATCTTTCCATATTTCATATCATTTCCTAAAGGCAGTGAAATTATTGAAAAATTAGAATGTGTGCACAGAACCATAAAACGTGGGGGATGAGGGCACACGGGGCTGGCTTCCCAGGGTAGGACACGGCCCGATCAGGCTGCACGCAGGAGACCAAAAATGAGTCACCTGCAGAGCCCTTTGTAAAGGACAGGTTGGGAAATGAGGACAACGAAACCCTCTTTTCCCAGGACTAGGAATTTACGTGTGTTTCCTGAGACAGGAAAAACGGAAGTCAGTTTAATAGGACTTACTGGAATTCTGATGCTATTTCTGGGCCAGATTGGAAAGTCTGGTGTTTTCAGGCTGCGTCCTACCCAGGGGAGAGGATCCAGTGACAAGATACTTATTAAATCATTTGAAAGTGCCTCGGCGAAGGTCACACAGGAGGGCTTAACAGTGTTACCTTTGCTGCCCAGTATCTGAAGGACAGCAGCGCAGGACTCAGGACAACCCTGCTTCGAACAGGAGCAAGGGAATGGGCTGAGAAGGGAGCTCAGTGGGGAAAATGGAAAATGACACGGGAAGACCAGGAGCCACCTAACAAGTTACTTTACTAAATGATGCTACTTCTTCCCTTTACATTTAAAATAAGTTGAACCCTAGCTGGTGTGGTTCATTTGTGTGGAGCATTGTCCCACAAACCAAAAGGTTGTGGGTTCGATTCCGGGTCAGGGCACACGTCTGGTTGCAGGTTCGGTCCCCAGTCGGGGCGCATATGGGAGGCAACTGACCCATGTTTCTCTCTCGCATCGATGTTTCTCTCATTCTCTAAAGTTCCCTTCCTCTCCCTTATAAAATCAATAAGCAAGTCCTCAGGGGAGGATTAAAAAAATAATAAAAATTAAAAATAGAATAAGTTGCAAATAATGAAATTATTTCTCAGCAATATTCCTAGATACATCTTCAGTCTGAGATGAAGGGTGGTGGCATCAGAGTTGATTCGATTAAACTGAAAGACATCTAACGAAACTGGACCCAGAATTACTGAATGGACAAGGAGGAGCGAACATTGTGAATGTTTACATTAGGTACATTAGGACACGTTTACATAAGATTAAGATGGATCATGGACTAATTGAGTTCACAGGGGAGAAAAAAATAAAACTAAAGCAATCATTAAACATGCAGTAGTAGTAGATGCATCGAAATGTTTTGTTGATTCTATCCCTTCTCATTGGTCAAATGTGGGTAAGAACAGGAACCTTGTACCATGTCCCCCCTCTCTGACTTCCCTCCTCCTATGTTTCACATACAGGGGATGAGACCGTTGTCACAGCTCTGAGGCTGTAAGGATGCTGAACATGGATTGCGGGGGGCGGGGGGCGTGCTGCAGAATCCTCCCCTCCCCCAGCCCCTGGTCTAAGGCTTGCTAGCTTGGCTCCCAGGGATACCTAGGAGGCAGACTCTGCTCTGAGTTCAAGAGCGTCCTTGGTCCAGTTCTAGTGAGCCCGGGAGGGGCAGTGCTAAAGGCAATGAGTGGGAGTTATTTCCAGGTGTGAACAAACTTTGTGCTGGAACCCCATCGTCGTGTGGTGCTTGGGTAAGCCTGGCCCTGCGCTGGAGGAGGCGCGCCCTGGCCCAGCTCCAGGCCTAGGTGTTTGAGGCCAGCTGGGCAGGAGACGGCTGGGCTTCCTAGAGCTCTCAGGTGACCTATATTCTCTCATATGGGGCCCCGCACACAAGCCACCTTTGCCCCTTCGACCACCACCGTATCAGGTGAGGATGTTTAAGTCTGCTGTCCCTGAGGACGTGACTGAACTCTCTGCAAGAATCCTGAGTGTGCAGACTTCCTTAGATAAACCAACTTGGAGCATGGCCAAACTTCAGTCTATGATGGGGGACCCGCCCCCCGCAAAAAATGGAATCTTTTAAAGCCTTGGAGTACAGGCTTCCCCCAGCTAGGTGAGTGTTCTAGGAACCCATCCGTATCAGTGTACCAGCTGGTGGTGTTGTGAGAGGCTGCACGTGGCTTCAGTGAAATTTTTTTGAAGACTCTTTCAATGTTTGCCCATTTAATGATGGGTGATTAACGAGCGCACCTGCCCACACCACACTGTGTGTTCAGCAGTTTTGACCAAAAACAGCATGACTCCTATACCCCCCACTCCCTATTCACCCAGTCTCTCCAAGAGACTTTCTTTTGTTTCTCCTATGAAAAAAAGTCTTCGAAGAGGAATGTTTTGCCAACAAGGAAGAGATGAAACAAACAAACGAACAAACAAACCAACAAAAACGGCAGGCGGCACTAAAAAGCATCAAAATCAGCCAGTTCAAAAACTGTTTTGAACAGTGGAAAAAACACCTTGATGGGTGCATTGCATCAGCTGGAGAGTCCTTTGAATACGACTGACGTTTAAACACGTAAGAATAAACACACAATATTTTATAAATAAATTCGGGGATTTTGGGGGGGTTCCCCCCTCGTCCATTAAGGCCACCAGCGCCCTTGGCCCTGACGATGCAACTGAATTAAGAACGCGTCAGGTTCCGCAGTAGAGAGGCACAGGGGCGGGACTGGCCGAAGTGGGCGGGCAGCGCCCGCAGCGCCCGCAGCGCCCGCGAACAGGTGGCGCGGAGCCAGACCCGGTCCTGCGCCCCGGCTTTCCCCTCAACCGGGGCCCGCTGTGGAGACCGTCAGCATTGCGCTTGCGCCTCTGTGAAAAGCTCGTAGCAGACTGTCTGGGAAACTCGAAGAGCTTAGCTACTATGATCTGCTGCGACTGTCATCTCCATCATCATCACCATCACCATCATCATCATCGCTGCCATGTGTCTCTTCGTCTCTGCACAGTCCTAGCACTGAGCACCACACGTGGCGTCAACGATGACGTTTGAGGGCTTGATAGAGAACCTCTCTGCCTCCTGGGACTGGCAAGGAAAGTGCCCGCACTCTCCCTCCTTGAAGGATGTGAGTGTTTCTAAGCAAACCTGAGTCCCCTCTCCCTCTTCCCACCCGGGCAGCCCCAGTCCTCTCTTGCTCATCGCCCTGCTTTATTGTCTTCATTGCACTTATAAATTCCCTGACATTGCCCTTTTCAATTTACTCTTTGGAGTGTTCTTATCCCTCCCTCCCACCCTGGTCTGCACATCTACACACTGTTTTATCTGCAGCAGCGTCTTGACGCCCAGGATCCTGCCGCCTGGCGAGTTGAACAAGGAACGCTGGACAAACGGATCAACACAGGAGCCCCCGGCGAGTCTCCCTCCACTCCACGCAGCCACCCACGCGCCCCACCGCCGTGTCCCATTACCTCCCGCATCCTCTTCTGCCACTCCTCGGTGAATTCAGGAGAGCTGGCGTTCACCTGGCTGGCGTTGCGTGTCCAGTCGGGACACTTCCAGGTGGGCAGAGACAGCATGGCCAGGGAGGGTGCCAGAAAAGAAAACGTCCCTCCCTGGAGGATGGGCAGCCTGGAGGAGGGGACGGATACAGTTACCCACACAACCCTTCGGCACTGGTCTGTCCCTGCCTCCGCCTAGGGGCGCCTTTTACCCGCAAGTATTCGCTGGGTTTAGAGGCGGCGCAGGATGCCTGCTGTCCTAAGTGCACAGGGAGCTCGGGCCCAGCCTCAGCCCAGACCCTCGCGCCCTGCCAAGCTTTGGACAGGTAGGAGGCGTGGGCGGGTGCAAGGCCAGCAGACCTGACCCCGGTCTTGAGGTGCAAACCCAGGGGCAGACAGGCCCGGGGAAATCATTCGGAGACGGCGCACAGCTCAGCGAACTCGGTCTAGCCCACCCGGCGATCTTTCCCAGACCCCAGGACCGAGGCGCCGCTCGCCCAGGGGACGTGCCCTCGCCCGCAGAGGGGCACAGTCTAAAATCTGGGTTGCCAGAGCCCCTCGCATCTCCGGAAAGGAACCTCAGTCCCAGGCCTCCCCCTGCAGGCTCCTTTTTATCCCCCCGTCAGAACAGGCTTGAGGTCAGTTAGCAGGGCGTGCTCCCCGCCCCGCCCCCAGTCAGCGTGTCACTCGGCTTCTATGAGAACCTCCGGCAGTGCCTACCCGACCTGCCTTCGCTCCGAGGTGTGCACAAGGCCTGCTAAGTCCACCTCCACCAACCCTCTCTTACTATCAAGGCAAACCTAGTCTGCCCGCCCTTGGACGCCCGAATGTGGGGGTGGGGCGTGGACCGAGGGACCCCGGTATCCTGCATGCACCGGGCACTGGGGCACACACCGAGGTCAGATGCCTTTTTTTTTTTTTTTTTTTTTTTTTTAACAACACTAGAAGGGTGTTTTTGAACTCAGGATTTCCTGGAGACATCTGAAGGGATTATTCTGGAGAATGACTCAACACATTTTGTGAAATGAGGACTCAAGTTTAGGAAGGGCTTCACTACGTGGCCCTTGTAGCCTGGTTAGGCATTGGAATCAGCGCCGCCTGGCTCAGACGCGGCAGCGGGCGGCTCAGGAGCGGGCGGGGGCCCGGGCGGTGCTGGGTGGGGGGGTCCTCAGGGAGCTCTGGGCCAGCCCAAGGAGCGGCCAGGGTTGAGAGCGACTGATCTAGGGCAGTAAGTCTAGGCCCATAGTTCTCCAAAGGAGAATGGACACAGGGCAGGAACATGCGGCGGTGGCAGGGGTGTGAATAACTTTATTTTTCATTTAAAAACTATGAAGCTAAGTCTTTTGACAGAACAGGGAAACATGCTGTACTTATTGCCAAATCCCTTTTGAGCTTTAAAATAAAGATCTTTATGTGGGTATAACCAACGAATACATAATAACTGAATTTTTTTTTTTTTTTTTGCTATAATTTCATTCATTCAACAAATGATTATTGAGGACGGGCTAGGTGGTAGTAGGCATTAGGTGTCATGGTACTGGGGACCCCATGGTGAGTGAGATTAAACTCCCACTTATATTCTAATTCCATATTTCTCTGTTAGCCCTCGTTCGAGCAAACCAACCACCTGCAGTACCTTACCCTCAGGGGTTGCCTTAAACACTTTACAGCTACGCTTACAAACACCCCCCCAGGTCAGCCTGTCCCCACCGCCTCCGCCAAGTCTGTATGCCCAGTCCCGTGAGGGAGGGGAGCCCTTGGTTCTCATCTCCATCCCTTGGGCCTGAGCCTGGTGCCGCAGAAAACCAGCCAACGCTGGGTTTCATCATTTTACCTTTCAAAAAGTTTCTTAGGCATGTAATGAAGCTCTAAGAAATGTGAATTTGCATTTCATTAGCCGTGAAACATGTGGACTCCTTCATGGGATTTTATATCTATTTTTCCTTGTCTATGAGCTATCTACTACTTATTATATAGAATTTGGATACTGCCAGAATATAACAGTTCTTATGATTATGAGGTTCATTTTCATATTTTAAAAATGGTTTCTGTTACTCTATGCAGAAATTTGTCCCCACTTCAGACATTACTGAAGGGAGTATTTAAAATTTTTCAAGTAGATAAGCACTTTTCTAATTCTGTTCATGTTATAGTCTTTTGAGATAATTTTACATATTTAGGATAATGCAATATGTGGGCTTTCTGCCTTTTTATAATCACTAAATACCTCTTATGTTCAAGATGAATTTTTCCATGTATTTGTTTCACTGTTTTATCATGTCCTACCTTAGGTTCACAAAATGTAACAATAAATTCTTCTTTATGCTATACTCAGACTTTCCAATTCTGTTTTCCAATCTTTCTTCTCCATCCCACCCATCTTGCTAGGCTTCCACATTTCTTTCTCATAACTTCTTGTCAGTACCCTTTAGATAGATAGGGAAATAATTAGATGATAGACAATTAGATGATAGATAAATAGACAGGTAGACAGACATTTTTGCATGTCTGCCAATTTTTCTTTTATGCCCTTTCCTAGTACACGTGTGGGATATGCGCCTAAGAGACAGACCAGCCCAAACCCTGTATTTATTTGTATCCGTGGTGGGGGGTTTGGGAAAAAACCTGGGCTCACAGAGGTGGTGTCAGAAGAAGGAAGAGGGAAGATGGAAAATAACCTGCCAAAGATGTAGACGCTAGCTTACCAGTCCTCTCCAGGGAACGGGAGAACTCGAGCATTGTTAGCGCTCCCGGGAAGGGCAGGGGAAAGGAGCGTGCTGGGAGGCGCCAGTGTTTGGCTTAGGCAAAAAGGTGGCACCAGGAATGGGCACGCGTCTCCGGGTGCTGTCTGCACTCAGCCCGTCCTGGAAATGACGGGCCAGCCCCGTGCCACTCTACACCGGTATGGCTTGATTCAGACAATTGATAAAGAATAAATGGATATTAATTTTTCCCATCAAGTCATTTTCTCGTAAGACAGGCCAGGCACAGATTAGGTCCAAAGCAGACTTGCAGGGAGGGCCCCTCTCTTGTACGGCTCCTTCTAATGTCCAAGGAGGGGCCAATGGGCTCGCGAGCCACACACCTTTGTAAAATTTGCAAAAGTGAAAGGCTTCAGCCAAACCGGCTACCGCTGCTGTCTCTGTCCACCACCACCTCCCTAACTCTACACATTGCATCCGATGGCACTTTTAAGGCCATGAGCACTTTTAGGATCTGGCTACGTGGAAGGTGAGTCAGGATAAATTTAGTTTGGATGAAGTGGGACATATTAATGTGGTTGGAGACCACTAAACTACCCATGAAGAGTTAATTTATTGCTAGTTATCTTGATGTAATCACAGTCCCAGCTCACTCTACATTGTGACATGAAGGTGCAGAACCAGAGGTCACGCGATGATCTAAATGTGTCCTATAGCACCTGACATTTGACGTATGTAATTGGTGGATGAGAAACAAGGTTTCCGATGTGTGAAGCCAGAAGCAAGGCTGTGGAAAGTTTGACAATATGCTAAATGGTCAGAGAAGGCAATTTTTTGAAATGGTTTGAATTGTTTGGTTCTCATTGATGTGCAGGGAAAATGGAAGTTTTTTCCTATCAAGAATATCCTTAACAAGGCAGCAAGTACAATTATAGATGCGCCATGCATTTAAATTTTTTTATAGGAATCAAGAACAAAAGAATTTATCAGAATCAATGTGTCTGAAGGGCATAAATCTATAGCATGGTAAGGCATGCTAACACATCCCAACTCTCAGTAATAGCAAACAAATTTGGACCAGCCAATGCTAGGGAAATAGCTGGATACCCTTTCTTTCTCGCTATAAAATGCAGAGGTAATCAAAGAGTGTGCAATCATAAAATGTAGGGAGGGTGGAAGTATTACAGTGAACTGTGGGAAAATGAAATAATAAAAGATATCAGGCTATGTTTTGAAATCTGTGGCATTTGTGATATTTACCTCCTTTTAAAACAATTTGTAATGTGTTGTGGTTTTTCTTTTTATTCTAATGTTCTCTTCTTTAATTGTTCTCTTTTTTTTGGTACATGATTTTGTATTCACAATTTTGCATCCTTTTTCTTAACGAGGACACCCAAATCTGTCCACCCTTCAGGCTGCCCTGGGACTAGATGCTACATCAATGTTAAAGGAAGAAGACACAGGCTCCACAGATTTGCCAGGAAAGGCCCAGAGGACCCATAGGGAGGCATTTCCCGGTAACCGGATAGAGCCACTGTGCAGGTTCTCAGGATTCAGGGGGCGCCGCGGGTGGAGGTGGAGAATGTGAGGAGACAGTGGAAATCGGAGGAGGGGGGCGGGCTCCAAAGACCTCTTTTCCAGGCCTCCTTCCCAATTCTGCCTAGACCAGCTCCAGAGCAACAGGGCTCCATTTTACTCAGACTGAGTTGAGCAGGTCACATATTAACATAAAGGTCTTGCTGGTTTAAAGAAAATGAATTACAGTCATTATACCAATTACTTATCTCAATGCTACTGTGAGGAAGCGGGGCACATATCATCATTTGCCTGATTTGACAAGTACCAGACCACAGATCTGGTTTAGTCCATTTCTAGTGCCTTGTTTACTCAGAACAGAACCTGCCTTTCCTACTTCATCAGGAAACCTTCTTGAATGGAAGTTGCCGTGTTTGTTCCCCTGGTAGGTCCAGGGCTGGGCATTGGGCTTACGCTGTGCCAATCAGAGCTCGTCCCTGGAATTTTACAATGTGAGGCCAGCCAGAGCAGTTCTCGCTTGCTGTAGGGGTCGGTGCTGGCGGCCCTGTCCACAGTCAAGGCAGGAAGCCTGTCTGTGAGAACAGGCCCTGGCAGGGTGACGAGGAGACAGCCCTGCCCTCGCACAAGGAAAGGGGTGCCCCTGCACTTCGCCCGATGTTCTAGAAGGCCCCACTCTGGCCTCCTCAGGGGAGGTGCCTGCAGGGCCAAGGAGACATGGCCACCTCAATCTATGGGCCCTTCCTCTTTGAGCCCCAAGAATTCCCTGCCCCAATGGCCCTGAGCCTCTTCTAGGTCCTGCCTGGGCCTCTCTCCCAGGTCTGTCCTGCTGAAGGCAGACCATGATGCCAGTGTGCACACCCTAGGCCTGAGGCATGGCCGGGGCAGCTGTTTCGGGGGATCTGCTGTTGGGGGCGGGGGATGAGGTGTGTGGATGGAACTTCGAGGTAGTGTCCACAATTGTGCACGCAAGACCATTTGTGGTCCGGAGCAAAGCTCGGGGTAGGAAGAGAAGGGGGAAGGCCACAGGCTGAGGGCTGCCCCCCGCCCCGCGCCCCCAGACCCAAGGTAGAACTTTGAGGAGTCAGAGAATTCTAAATTCAAACCTGGCCTCCCAGGTAAGATGATCAGGACATATTTTATTGAAGAGTTTGTAAGCTTGGTTCGTAACTCTCTGGTACTCAGACATGGAGTGTGTGGGTCTCCATTTGTGCTCTTAGCCTGGGTCTCACCTACTTTAGGGGCATGTCTGAGTAGAGACAAGAGATGGGGAGAAAGCCCCAGTGGCACCTGAGTCCCTGGTGCAACATGTTCCTGATGCGCGATGCACCCTGCCTTTCTCTTGGCTTGATCTTCTGAGTTAATAAAGAACAAATTTGTGTCTCAGCTGATCTGGGTTCTTGTTACTTGAATCAAGATTGCTAGTTAATATAGACAGTAAGTAGTAGAGGTAGGATTTGAACCCAGGCCCTGCCTCCCAGCCCTGTGCTCCCTCTATCATGCCCCACCAGCCTCCTAACCACCTTTCTGGCTACAACCCAACCACACCTTGTTGACAGATAAAAGTCAGAATCCATGCGGAGACGCTGTACCTACCTGACCCCTAAACACACTTGCAGGAGCGTGCAGATGCCGGAGACGAAGAAAATGGTGCTGATGAGGTAGCTCTGGGTGAGAGGGTCATGCTGCAGACACAGGCCCTTGGCCAGGATGAGCGGCACTGCCACGAGGCCCCCCAGGGCCGTGAGGAAGTGCTGTGGGCAGAGCAGAGCAAAGGGAAGGGCGCGTGCATGCCGTGGCGGCCAGCTCCACCTTCATTCCCAGTCCTACTGAGAGGCAAGAGCTCCACCTCTGGTCTCCGAGGAGCCTGGCCACGAGTGACAGGCAGAGGTCCAGGCAAGCAGTGGGAACTAGGAACGCCTGGGAGCAAGAAGCAGGGAGTCAGCCAGGAGGTCTGGAGTTGAAAGGCAGGACTCTAGTGCCAGAAACTGATCTCCTGGATAAGAAGCAAGGTGGGAACACAGCACTTGAGGACATAACAGGAACCAAGGAGAGAGCTTCAAGGACAAGAGCAAGGTGAGAGGCTCATTATTAAAACAAGGCACAAGGTAAGGGCAAAACCATTGACCGGAAAGACTTGAACATATTCTTCAGAATAGATCGTATGCTGAGTTACAAAACAGCCTTAGCAAATTTAAGATAAAATTCATACCTCAAAGGAACTAGAAAAGTTAGCAGAAGGAAGAAAAATAACAAAAAAGCAGAGCGAAAGTAAAGAGACCAGAAAAGCAACAGAAAAGATCAACAAAACTGAGAGCTGTATTTTTGAAAAGACAAAAAACAAACAAGCAACCAAAAAGAACCTTAGCTAGACTAAGAAAAGAAGAGACAAGACAAAGAAATAAAATCAGAACTTAAAGAAGAGCCATGACAACTTATACAAAGTACCATAAGACATAAATTGGATAACCTAAAAGAAATGGTTAAATTCCTAGAAACATACAACTTACCAAGACTGAATCATGAAGAAATAGAAAATCTGAACAGATCAATAAGTGAGACATTTGAATCAGTAATCAAAAAGCTCCCAAAAAGAAAAGCTCAGGACCAGATGCTTTCACCAGTGAATTCTACCAAACACGTAAAGAAGAATTAACACCAATCCTTCTCAAACTCTCCCAAAAAATTGAAGAGGAGGGAACATCCCCAACCTCATTGTAGAAGGCCAGCGTATAACCCAGATACGAAAGCCAGATAAGGACACTACAAGAAAAGAAAACCATAGGCCAATATCCTTGATGAATATGGATGCAAAAAATTCTCAGCAACATACAAGCAAATGGGATTGAACAGTACATTCAAAGGATAATATTGAATCCTATGCCTTGAACATGAAAACAACTTTTGGAGATAGAAAAACTTCAAGGCAACGTCAATGATGAGGACAAACAGAAGATTCTTGACAAGCGCGATGAAACCATCAACAGGCTTGACAAGAACCAGGCTGCAGAAAAGGAAGAATTTGAACATCAGTAGAAAGAATGGGAACAAGTCTGCAGCCCCATCATTACAAGTTGTACCAGCATGCAGGAGGCATGCGGGGAGAGAGGCCTGGGGCTTCCCTGGTGGGGGGGCCCCTCCTCTCTTGGTGCGTCCACTGGGCCCACCATCAGAGGCTGACTAAGCCAACCTTGAGCAGAGATTTAGCGTTGTTCCACACAAAATATTAAAGGACCCAAGTTTGTAACAAGTCCCATGGCAGTTTTAAAAGTTGAGCTGTTGTAGAGTTCAATAGCTTGGCGTTCTTGATACTTGAACATGGACTGGGTGCACAGACGAAGGAAATAATGCACGTCATATGCACTGCGCTGTAAAGTGGAAAATGTAATGTCTTTAATAAAACCATTTAAAATTGGTACCAAAAAATAAAAAAAAAAAAGAATCATGCACCATGACCAAGTGGGATTTATCCCTGGAATGCAAGGATTGTGCAACACACACAAATCAATAAATATGATACACTACATTAATAAAATAAAGGCTAAAAATCCTATCATTATGTTGATAGATGCAGAAAAGCATTTGACAAAATTCAACAACCTTTCATGATAAAATATCTATATTATCCATTTTATTAGCTCATAATATTGTAAAAATAGTGTGATATTTGTACTTATTTTATAGAAAAGCAAAAAAAAGCAAACAAAAAAAATGTATATCCCTTCTCCAATATTCCACATGGAACAGTTTGTAAAATTAAAAGAAACACTTCTATGAAATTAGAAAATTCATGTTATAAAAAATTATGAAATAAAAAGAGTTGAAATCTACACTCCTTCTCTTATTTCCTCTTCCAAAGGTTAATTACCTTCATTAGTTTCTTGTGAATCCTCCAAAACATGCAAAATTATTACAAATACTTATTTCTATCATCCTCTTTTTTGTTTGTTTTTAACATGAAAAAACACTACACACAGTTATTTACTTAGCTTTTTTCACTTACTGCATCTTGGAGAACATTCCCTAACTTCAAAGAAAATATATATTTCTGTTTTTAACAGCTGCATAAAAAAGTCATTTGTTAAGTTTTATCACAATTTATTTAACTGGTTCCCTATGATGGATATTTTGGCTGATTCCAGAGTTTTGTTTCTTGTGTGATGCTGTAAGAACATCTTTGTACTTATCTGAACAAGCCTTATCAACATGTTCTCAGAGAAATTCTTAAGCACTGGGAACTGGGTTAAAGGGAGGAGGTCTGTCTGAAAAAAGTCCAGCCATTATTAATATAAGGAGAAAGTTTTGCATGACATCAATGTAACCTGGCAGCCAAGGAGAGTGGACAGGAATGCGCATGTGTGGACAATGATGACTTCACTGTACTAGTCAGTGGGGATGGTAGATGTTGTTGAGTGAGCATGTGCACTGTGTGGCTTTTGCATTCAAAATGACTGAGCAAATACAGCAATGAATCTACATCAAATTTTGTTTTAAGCTTGAAAATTCCTCCGTGGAAACTATTCAGATAATTCAGAAGGCCACAACTATGGGCAACTGGTGATGGGCAGCTTCATCATGACAATGTACCTACTCATGCATCATGTCTCTTGCAGAGTTTTTTGGCAAAACATCCAATCACCCAGGAGACTCTGTTCCCCTACAGCCCAGATTTGGCATCCTGTGACTTCTGGCTTTTCCCAAAACTAAAATCACCTTTGAGAAGGAAGAGATTCCAGACCACCAGTGAGATTCAGGAAAATACAATGAAGCAGCTGATGGCAACTGGGAGAAATGTGTGAGGCCCAAGGTGTCTACTTTGAAGGGAACTGAGGAGTCATTGTCCTGTATACAGTGTTTCTTGTATCTTGTATCTTGTTCAATAAATGTCTTTATTTTTCATATTACATGTCTGGATACCTTCTGGACAGACCTCGTATGTATTTTACATGTGATAGGAATCACCAAATTGTCATCTAGAAAGGTTGTACTAAAAAACATTCCAACAAAAGAGTTTGAGAATGCATATTTCCCCAAATTTCCCAAGCATTGATTATCAAACTTTTCAGTTGTTGCCAATCAAATAAAGTTAGAATCTTTTCTAAAAAATGCCCCAGTCATTGTCTTTAGTGTAATCTGTCAGCCAAGCATGAGAGAGAATCCTCCCTAATTTCTTCCCTCACCCCCAAACTCCTGGACAGAGAGAGACCTGAGAAGCCTTGAGTTCCCCTGGCAGTAAACTATTATACATGGAAGGCAAGAATATCTGCAACTGAAGTATGGATATTGACCAGTTTGACCTGGGTATGTATTGACGTGGCTTTCAAGGAAGAGCCCCATTGGACCCAGTGCTTGCTGGGTGGCATTACCTGGATCCCCAGGAAGATGCAGAGATGCCATGGTGGGACTTCCAAGATGCCATAGGCCAGGTGGCTGCTGCTGTGACTCCCGTGCTGGCCCTCCTTCTTCCCGCTTTGGCCAGCATCATGGAATGTGAGCACGTCTTCACTCCTCTGCTTGGAATAAGAGAAGGATACATTTGGGCCTTTCACAAGGAATCAGGTGGACTTCCTGACTTCAGCCATACAGAAGGACGGTCTTCCAGAGGCAAGATGCAAGGAGACAGGGTTGACCGTTGGCCAGGCTGGGATTTCTATCTAGGTCCAGACTCCAAAGACCGATGGTTTTTGGTTTACACTTCCCTGCGATGTCTGGCCCATGCAAGAGGAATGGATACTGTGCCCAAAGCCTTGGCAGAGAAGGAGCTTTGTGCAGGAAGGGATGGAAGTCAACCCCAAGGTCAGAAAAAAGGCAAGTTTTCCTCCCAGCCAGTCAGGAAAATGGGGATCCTGGTCCCAGAATCCCCAATGTCCTCATCACAGCATGTTTATTATGATAGATGGTCTCCTTTTTGCATCCCTTCTGCTGGGCTGTGAGTTCCTAGAATGCGTTGATTGTGCCTTACTCTTCTCTATTGTTCCGGTGGTCCCTGTACCCAGTGTAGACTGAGTGGATGGTGAATGAATGGAAGTTACGTGCAAACGTGAGTGAGTGCAGTGCATACAGACTGCTCTGGGGGCCACAGCCGACTTACATTCCTCCTACCAGTTCCACCAAAGTTAGCTCTGAATTCTAAACGTTCCCCTCCAACTTATTGGCTGTATAACTTACCAACCTTGAGCAAATTACTAATGTTTCTAAGCCTCACATTTCAGATTTATGTAACAGAAATGTCGATAACACCTACTTCACAGGTAGTTGAAAATATTATTAAAGCGTGAAGAAATGGGGAGGTATTGGTCAAAGGATACAAACAAATATTATAAGATGAGTTAGTTCTGGGAACCTAATGTGCAGCATAGTGGTTATAGTTAACAGTACAGTGTTATAAATGGAAAAGTTGCTAAGAGAGTAGAAAAATATTCTCACCACAAAAAGGAAATGGTAATTATGTGATGTGATGCAGATGTTAGCTTATCTTAAATTAGTGATCATTTCGCAATATATGTGTATCAAATTAACACATTGTACACCTTAAACTTACACAATGTTATGTGTCAGTTACACCTCAAAATAAAGCTGGAAAAAATTGGAGCAAGAAGCACAGTTCTGTGCCTGGCATGGTGTGTTGCCCAATGAATATTAACTGCTATGATTGCAAAGAGCTTCCAGACTCACGTTTCGAAGGCTTTAAACTAGTGCTTAGGGCTGATGTTTGAGCACGTAGCAGTGGGTGACAGGAGCATGAGAACAACGTCCCTGGTGTGGCCAGAAGGCGGCAAGGCCTCCAACGTGTAAATCAGGCAGCTCTAGCTGATGGGCCCCAGTGAGGTTCTGGGTCCTGGGTCCTGGTCCGGCCACAGAGGACAGAGCCTGCACAGTGGCACAGCCAGGTACTGCAGGCCTCTCATGGAGAAAGTTCCAGATAGAGCTTCCACACCCACCTCTGTGCCTAAGCACACTTTACTTCAGCCCATCCTCAGGAAATGGCTTCTGAACCGTGGCTGCATTATGAGCCCCATGGGTAATGCAAAATTTTACTCTGTGCACCCCTTCTTCCATGAAAATGTCTATATTTTGTGACTACAGTGGTATAAAGGCAAATTTACTATTATATATTAAAACATTTTCTTTGATACAGACGTTCCTTTTTTTTTCTTTTCGGTTTTCAAACAAATGAAACCATTTTCATGGGTGCCTAAAAGAATCGTGGGCCCTGGGTGCTGTGGCGGCTGTCTTGTTGGGAGACGCCTGGCCTGGTTTCAGGAGCTGTAACCATGCCAACAGGCTGGAGGGCCCCAAGGCTGAAATAATCAGGAGGCCTTGGAGAAACAGGCTCCTGAGGCGACTTGACCTGTTCCTCTGCGTTGCCTTGTGAGGTCCTTTGCCAAGGACGGGGAAGACCCCTTGGGGGAGGGGCAACCTAAGACAGGCATTGGCCAATATGGGCAGCAGATAAGAAATTGGGGGACATGGAGAAGGGGCAAAGAGGCCCTGCAACTCTCAGCTTGGCTTGGACACAGCCAGAGTCCTCATTGCAGTCCAGAAACAGTCAGGTGGTTCCCTCCCTACACCTGACTCAGGCTTGAAACAGTGCAGGAAAAACAGACATAAATCAGACCTGACGGTTGCCAGCGTAATCAGGCCTAAAAGTACATTCTTTAGAGTGTGCTCTGTTCCTCCCTCAGATCTCTGGTCAGCTCATGCTGCGAAGGACCTTCACGTTATTTACACCCCTTACCCTTTACGATTAAGGCGCCTGCCCCATCTTCATTCTCTTTTGTTTAGACTGGTCTCCTCTCGGACCCAAGTAAATCAGTGAATTCCTGTCACTTGTTTTCTTAAAGGTATCTATTCTCTGTGAAACTTAACATGCTAAGGTAACATGTGTACGTGTGCATTCCTGTTACCTAGCCCACTGGTAAGTTTTTCGATAAAAGCCTTGGAACAAAGGGCGACGGGGCCTTCCCCACTAAAGGGATGTGCCACGGCCTTCTCCAGTAGGAGGGAAGTGCCCCTGTCTGCTCTCCCGGCCAACAGAGAAGTGTTTGCGACATTTTGTGTTTATCCCCCCTCATCCGTGACAATCCCCGGGTTCACCTCAGCTGGCCCCGGCCGGTTTCCCTCGGGTTTCAGGGAGCGCTGTGCTCTCTGCGGAGCTCCCCTGAGGCCGTGCACCCCTATAGCCGCCGCTCAGTGCAACACTGTCTAAAGAAGTGGGAGGGAGAGACGGAGGGGGATTGCCATTTGTTCAGAAGTGAAGAGAGCCAAGAAAGCCACCAAATCAAGAACTAGATGGTTGTCCTCAACCATCTCGAGGACGCCACTGGTCCCCACAGAACTTTATTCTAAGACAGGGTTTCACAACCTCAGCACCATTGGCATTTTGGGCAGGATAATTCTGCATTGTGGTGAGAGAGAGAGAGAGAGAGAGAGTGTGTGTGTGTGTGTGTGTGTGTGTGTGTTGGGGCTGGAGCTGTTTTGCACGCTGCAGAGTGTTAAGCAGCATGGTCAGGCTTGCTGACGGTGGGTTGGCTGATCTAGCACAGCACAGTTCTGCAGAGTCATTTTGTTCCTGGGATTCTGAAGAGCATTTGCTCACTAATCTAATATTTATGTCCTAAAACATAGATGTAAGATTTTTGCTTCTGCTCTTCTATTTAACAATGCCTGGAAGCATGCATCCTCACCTAGTCCAGGAAGCCTTCCCTGATTTCACCCCACCCTGACCTCAGACTATACTAGGTCTCCCCTCCTCAGAAGCTCCTACAAAACCATGGGCCCAACATGCGTCACTGCAATTATGTTTCTTTGTCCAAAGACCATAAAGTCCCATAACGTCTCTATCTCCATCTCTAGCACATAGCGTTCATATAACTGTCTGTTGACTGATGACTTCTCAACCTGGGTGCTGCCATTGAGGTTTTGAGGAAAATGAAGAGAAGATACGCCGCTGAAAAGAAGACAGACATGTGCCCTGTTCCCTCCACTCTCCAGCTGGTCTCGGATAAGCCAAAAATGTGGGAAACATCACAGCCTTCAGAAAATGGAGTCTTCAACTTATTTCCCAAGATGTGTTTTGTTTTTTTAGCTTCCAAGAAGTAATGGCTCCAGATTGGCTCCAGGGGACAGCTCTAGAGCCCAGTCCAGAATCGCGGGTGGCACCTGTCCCGAAGACACCTGGGCTGGGCTTCATTAGGGCTACAGCCCTTGCCTGGTGCAGAGGGAGAGTCTCTTACCATCTGTAGTGGGCAGCGGCGAAAGCAGAGGGTCTCCACTCAGTTCCCCCTGTTATTTTCAAGTGGCCAAAATAGGTTGGAGAGGTGCTAGGACTAGGGCTCAAGGACCAGCTGGACGAGTCTCCAGGTGGGTTACCCTGACTTTCCTTCTGTGGGCCTCAGTCTCCCCATCTATAAAATGGGGAAAGAAGAGCCTGCTTCATAGACTTCAAAGGGACAAAATAAAGTACTTAAAGCGTGTGGGGATTTTAGTAAATATCATCTCTCTCTCTCTCTCTCTCTCTCTCTACTTCCCTCTCTCCTTCCTTTTGCTTTGTTTCAGAAAGGGCTTCTGACCAAAGAAACCATAAGCATGAGAAACCTGGAAATCAAACATTTAGGTTCAACAGCGACTAACCTGTGGGTAAAGGTAAAGCAAAGGATTTCCCACCTTTTCCTCATTCTTTTGTGATTCATTCAGAGGTCAGCACTCAGGGAGGAATCTTTGCCCCAGTGAAGGCAGGTCCAGAGTGTAGCTGCCACCCTCATCTAATAATTTAAAATCTCACCTAGATCTGTAAGCCATCGTCCTTAGCATTGACAATGAACCAGGGCACCAGCACTCCAGGCTTGGACCCTGCACCAGGCCCCCTCCTTGCTTGCTGCATGCCCCGCCCTTCCCCTTCCCTCCCTCTTACCAGCACTCACCAAGGGGTCGGGGTGCTCACAGCTGGTGACGGCAGAGTTCATGGCCACTCAGGGTCTCCTCCTTTGGGCATCCTCTCAGGATAAAAAAGAAGCGAAGTCGCTCTAGTAGAGAAAGATCAACTTCTCAACACCTCTAAAAATACTAAATGAAAGAGAAAGACAGGGATCCAGGGCTGGCTCTGGGGAGGGTGGGGCCTCCAAGTCCCTCCCTGGCTGCTGATGGATGACAGGCTCCCCCTCCAGCCCTCTCCCTGTATGATGCTGCAGGAGATCGAGGTGAATGTTTTATAATTTGATGAACTCAAATCATGTCAAATCATGGAGAAGTTAATGATCCTCCAAAGCACCAGGAAACAAGTCAGGGTACTGCCCCTCAGGGTGTGGCAGTGAGGCTGGATAATAAACTAGAGAAATTCTTGGCAAGTGGAATAGGGAAACTGAGACAAATAGGTGAACATAATGGCTGAGCAATTTACATCCTGGAGCAGTTGGTCACCAGGACAGAAGGTCTGGCAGAGGCAAAACTGGGCAAACAAGGACCTCACCCCTAGGTAACCTCTTCTGCGCAGGCATTTCTTCCCTAGAGATAACATCTAAGCCTCAGTTATATTTCAACTCCAGGCTCCAAAATGCAGCAAAACCAGGCGGGCAATACCAAAACCAACTATAATGATTAAAGACCCCCTGGTCTGGCCTGGCCTGGCACTGACCAGTCAGAGGAGTCCATGACCCTGAAAGGACGCACCTGGAGTGCTGATGACTATTCTACGGAAACCCTCTCCTGAGATCTCCCCTAGAATGCCTGCCTGCAAGAGAGAGATAAAAGCCTCAAGACAAAGAACCAGCATGAGTACTCTCTGTCTGGGGAGCAGCCGCACCATTTCCCTTTTCCTTTTCCCGCTCCCCGCGCCACCTGACTTCTTTCTTCACAGGTGTCTCCTAAACTCTAAGGCAATGGGCAGTTGGCAGCTTGTCTCTGTACCTGTCCCGAAGGCCCCCTTTTCTCTGTCTCCCCAGTGAGCCCAGCCTCAGCTTTCCTGTTGCTTCTTCTAGGCTAAGCCCTTCCTTGTTTTACTGTCCCCAGCTTTGATAAATGTATCCTCGTAGTCACCTGGACTCATGTGCAATCTTTCCTACATGAGGTACACACTACAGCTGGCCCTTGGCAGACCTACTCGGGGCCAGGCCCCTGTCACCATAATATGGCAACCCAGATGGGACACTCCTTCTTGACCTCATACAGCCAAGCTGGCTCACTCGCAGTGACTTAAACAGTCTCACTGTGGGTAGAATGGTGGGATTGCAGAGAGGAGTCCACCCAGGGCCGCCTCACAGACCAGGACTGTGCTAGGTACTGCAGAGGTCCCTTGTGCCCCACCAGCTTCTGCATTTGCATCAGGTGAGCTTGGGTGAATTCCCTTGGAATTCTAGACATCTCTGCTGTTACAAAATAAGAGTCTGAATTTATTTCATCTGTCTTTTTAAAAATCATCAAGGTAGAGCTAGAGGATGAGGTTTGAGAAGAATCCAAGCTAAGATAGGACAGAAGGGGGGAAAAATGGATGGCTGATTTTTAACATTGGCTTTCAGTTGAAGTTGCTTTCTGGTGGTCTTAACAAAACCATTTGCTGGGTAAATAAAAGTCTAAACTCAGTGGTTCAGCTTTGAGGATGAGGGGCACTTACTCCCTCTGGCTCAACTCAGACATTCTTAGGCGCTAAGAATCTTTGGAGGGGAGGCAGAGACATGTGAGAGGGTTTGACGTGCAGGCATGCAATTACCAAAAAGCCTTTACCTACTTACAAGTATCTACAAAAATGGGAAGATTTAACTAGAAGTGACCAACCTAACATGGCCAAAATATATCTCTTTGAATGCCTAAGTTAACTTTTGCATACAAAATTAACAATGACAGGTCTAAAACTAAATGAATGGGAAGCTTATATTTATTACAGATTAGAAGCCCCTAGGAGGAACACAGATCAATTAAAACTATAACAGAAAACCAAAAAATCAAAAAACCAAGCTCTGGCAGCACTACCCCTGGGTCTGGGGTCTTGGTGACAAGCAGGCTGTTATTCGGTTGTTCTGCCCACTTCCTGAACCTTCCATACCTGGTTTGATCTTTCCCCCTGGCCTTTCCCTTTCCTTGACCTGCTGGGGTTCTGTGTGGCCTGTCCAGTCTGGTCTTTCTCCCAGGTTTCCTTGGGCTGGGCTCTTTGTCCCTTTGTGTTGCTACTTTGACTACTGCTGTGTATACCTCCAGGGTCCTGCTACAATGTCTGGTTTTTGCTGCAGGTGTACCCAGCAGATGGTGGGGTTTTCTTTTCCTGCTTTTCTTTTTCTTTTTTTAACATGTTCCTTTTTTAAAAAAAAGATTTTATTTATTTACTTTTAGAGAGGGGAAGAGAAGGATAGAGGGAGAGAAACATCAATGTGTGGTTGCATTTCGCATGCCCCCTGGTGGGGACCTGGCCTCAAACCCAGGCATGTGCCCTACACTGGGAATCGAACCTGCGACCCTTTGGCTTGCAGGCCAGCGCTCAGTCCACTGAGCCACACCAGCTAGGGCTCTCCTGCTTTTCTGATAGTCCTGATGCCTCGCTTTGGTTAAGCCCCAGAAAAATGCTTCCTGCCCACCTAGAGGATTAAGTCCCAAGGTCAGAGGGCATGGAAGCTTCCTGGGTTGTGTGAATAAACCTGTAAATGCTATTATTTCCTAGTAAATCAGGCTTGACGAAATGCTGGGGCTTCCCAATGAAGCAAGCTCGGTGTCTGGTTCAGCTTCCCCATTTGTTAAGCTAGAAGTATTAAATAGGGTTTGCAAGGAAACTCGAGAAGTCTGTTTCTATTGCAAAAAGCCAGGTCACTGAGGAGGAACTATAAGAGGCTGAAATGAGAGTGGAAAGAAAAGGCAGGCAGGGATGGGGTTGTTTGGGGGCATTTCCCTTGCTGCTGGCTGATGGTTTGGGCGCAGTTGAAATTGCCATGGAGGGGAAACTACTAAGGCCCTTATACATCGTACTCTATCGGTTCTTTTTCAAAAGTATAATTTACATTCAATATTATTTTATATTAGTTTCAAGTATACAGCATAGTGGTTGAACAGTCATATATTTTATAAACCAATCCCCACAATATTTCAAGTACCCACCTAACACCATACATAGTTATAATATTATTGACTATATTCCCTATGCTGCACTTTCTACCCTTGTGACTTTTGTGACCACCAATTTGTGATTCTTAATCCCTTACCCACCTAATCCTCCCATCCCCAGGCAACTATCAGTCTGATCTCGGTATGAGTGTTTCTCATTTATTTTACTTTATCTGTTTTTAAAACTACCCAATGGAGTGTCACCTTTCTCCCAGAGTAAACTTCAATATCAGTGATAAAAATAATGATCCAATATCTGTTTTTAAATTAAAACCTATTCCCTCCCAACTAGGAAATATTATGGGGCAACATATATTTTTACAAATCAAATCTGCCCCAATTCACCTAGTAGGGTGAGACTTTTGAAACCAACAATGATGCCCAATGTGTTGTTTTTTTTTTTCAAAACGGTGAACTGTACTTAAAACTAAATAAATCTAACTAATACTTGACCAAATGGGAAAATAATGATTTTGAACAAACCGCCCAAGACAAAACTAATTTTGAGACTGACCAAATGTTTGCTAACCCTCTTTTCATAATTATTAACTTCCATGAGAGCCTCAGGGACACCTTAACAGGGTACCAACGCCACTCAGAATGGCCCCAAACAGTCCAGAGACTTGCAGAGATGCCTCTCACGCTGTGCTGGCTACACACCTGTCTCTACCCATAGATGTGAAACCAGTCCCCTGTGCCTCGAGAGTCCTGTTTTGGGGTATACACGCACAAACTAGGAGAAATTTGACCCTGAGTTCCTCAAGAAAAAGGCTAATCTTTTTATAATACAGACTGATCTCAAAAAAAGTGGGCAATGGAGAGGTTTGGCCTACTAACTTTAATGCTATCTTGCAGTTGGATCTGCTTTACTACTTTCCAGAGAAACAGAGAGAAGGCCCACTTATCTAAGCCTTTATGGCTCTCAGAGCTGACCCAAAGCTGTATGCTGTCTATAAACTGGAAAAATATACCAAGATAGAAACAACATTTCAAAAGTGGGTAAATACAACTGTCAACCCTTCACAAACATTGGAGCGGTAACCCAGCTATTGAGGTAATAAAAACAACTGCCTTTGTTTTACAGCTGCAGTGCTCACAGGGCCCAAGTGTGGCTCCAGAACATCGAGGCCCACCAAGTCCTCGTGTCTTCCCACAACGTCTTTTATTCCTTTTCCAAAACTTACAAATATTTGACTTGATGAAACCAAAGTCCTAGGAGAAACTTGCTTTCTTTTCCCTACATTTTAAAAAGGCAAATACTGTGTCTTCTCCAAAACGCTTGTCTGGGTCATCTTTTAAAATACCAATTTGGGGGAGATAATTATCATCAAAAGGGGGAAAACCGTAGCTATATCTGAGCAAATCAATTGAATTTATGTCAGCTATTCCTTTCTAAATTAGTAAATTCTGGTAAAAATTACTTAATATCTAAGTATTTTCAAATAACATAAAATACAGAAACATTAATTGCTGGACAAGTCTTAAATTCACCTGCTTTTGGTTTTTATTGCAAAGAGACTGTAGAATGGATCTGGAGCTGCAGGTAAATATCTTATGCTTTATTAGAAACGTGTTGCCTGAATGTGAGAGTGTGTCAATAGAGGAACCTATTTTTCTAAAGATCATGAAAAGTGTTCATAAAGGTCAATTTAGGAAATGCTGGTTGCTTACTTTTTGGTCATTATTGGAAATGGAGGTTTCTAAGGCTTAAAAGTTCAAATTAAATTGGAAAGAAATTGTATGGTTTTAGCAATAGAAAGCATAAGGCATGGAGATGCAATTCTGAAGGACAGGGGTTGAGAGTGAGTTATTCTAAAGACGAATAAGATGAATAGATAGGAAAGTTTGTGAATGTTATAAAAAGGTTTATAGACGGTTGTGA